ACAAATAAATAAGAAATACTTTTATTTATTTATAATTAATATAAATTATTTTTTTATAGAAAATAAAAAGTTTTAAATATAGAAAAACATATTTATTTATATTTTTTTAGAGAGAAATCAATGAGTTTTGATCCGGTTTTTCATAGATGTATATGTTTTGTTAATTAAATTGATTTATATTGATATTTATACAACTAGAACTCTTTTAATATGTAAAAAAATTTAATATTCGTTTTTTAGTCTCATGAAAGAGCAACTACAATATTTACAGAAATAAAAGTCTTATGCTTCTAAAAAAGACAGTTGTGTATTTAATTTTTGAGATTCCCTTAGAAAAACTTATCAATATATTATTCAAAATATTTTTTAATAAATGTTACAAAAAAAAAACCCAGTAATATATTCATTAAAATTCGAGTTCAACTTCAAATTAACATAAAAGCAACAAAAATAAATTCTACGATTAGGAACACTAGCTATGGATGTTTAATTGGCGCGCCAGTCGTTCATTGTTTGATCAAGAAGGGCTTGAGAGATTCGAGCATTGGCCCATTTTTTCCATGTATGACGGTTTCTTGCCATCAAACCCTATATAAAAACATGTAAATAAAATTTTAGATATATATGAATTTGAATACAATAATTATATAAGTATAACTTAAAATATAATAATTAGGTAATACTTACGTTAACTTCTACGGAGTGTGAATATTTGAGAGATTCTAAAATTGTTGGAATATCGTTCGTCAATACTTTAATCTGAAAATGTCAATAAATAAATTAATGAGTAATTATATTCTAAAATTAAAAGTGAACATATTTGTATGAAATAAATAAGGGTGTGTTCGTTTTGTGTGTTTTCCCAACATATTTTCTCAAAAAAAAATATATTACACCATATTTATTATTTTTATATTATCTACACAATTCCATAACTCACATAAAAAAAATACTTCAAACTATTTAACAAAACAAACACACCCAAAAAAAAATTAAAAATACATGGTATATATTGTATATATACTTACGTGATTGAAAGTTGATATCAATTCAATTGATATCCAGCCATTTTTATCCATCTTTGATCTCAAATAAATGTCCTTAGCCATATTGTCATCACTAAAAAAATAATTTAAAATTATCAAAATAATAATAATAATAATAATAATAATAATAATAATAATAATAATAATAATACAACGTACGAGAAATAATATTCGATTTGCTTTATTATTTTTTCCATCAAAAACTTCTCAACAATGACTATTGGCGGAGGTCGATGAACAGTTGGATGGACTTGATATGGACCCATTGTTTGTTGAGCAAAGTAATAATCTGAAAATAAATTAATGCAAAAGTAAATATATATATATATATAATATAATATAATTTGAAAAAAGTAAATAAATTTAAATATTTTGGATATACTTGGCATAAAAGGCGCTCTATAATTTATTATAGGCGGTTGTTGCATCGGCATCCATGGAAGAATCGGCGTCGGCCTCAAATTCACATTATTATAATAGGACGGACACCCATAGACCACTGGATTACTGCCCATATTGACATTCATAGGCTGTTGGGGGACAGTTAACACTGGTTGGACAGTAGATTTGATTATGGTTGGAGGAGCCATTGATGTTCTGCGCAATTAAAATTTGGAAGGGAATTAAGAGTATGTTTCTTTTGCTGTGGATCGAAAAATTTTGTTTAGGTTTGATATTAAAATAACGTATGATAAAATATTTTGTGAGAGGAAATTCATACAACAAAAGCCTGGAGTTTAGGATTAAAGAAACAAAGCTTTGATAAGGCTTCTGGAAGTGTTTGCGTCGTGGCTATCAAAGCTGGGAGGGAAAAGAGGATGCTCTATGGAAAGATTATTTACGAGAGATGAATTATGAAAGAATGAAAGTGGCATATTGGGGTATTTATAGGTTAGGAATTAATTAATGGCGCCAAAGTTTTAAATCTGTTAGGAGTTGTTATAACCGCAGGGGTAAGTTAGTTTAGTTATTTTAGTTAAGTGAGTGAGATTAATTAATTAATTTAGAGAGTTTGTTAGAAGAGTTTTCCCCATGAATTTCTTTGCGATGCGAGAGTATATATGTTGTTGGAGTCCTGCGTGGAAAGGCTCGATCGAGTCCTAATGGAATATTATATTTGAATGTTTTTTTTAATAATATTAAAAAGTGTAAGTGGTAAAACAATTTCGAATATATATATATATATATTTATAAAATTGACCACTCAAGATATTGTAAAATGAAAATAGGCTCTAATCTAATCTCTATACAATTATTTTTATTAAAATATTTTTAAGGGAAATTTTAGAAAAGATATTACAGATTTGAGAAATCTTGGCGGATATATATCTTACATAGTCTATAAATACTACGTCATTAATCCCACCTTAATTCAGTTCATCATTCATAGTTAGTTTTCGCGTCTGCAATCCTCCCTCGGCCTTCTCAATTCCCCTTCAAGTCTTTCGACGGCTTTTTGTTTTCCTAACTTACGGATCTTAATCGCGACATTCGCTACTGCAGTTAGTTTGTTTGCAGAACATCAATTAATGTCTTCTTCTCCAACAATGATTCAATCTACTGTCGGGACAACCTCAATTGTTTCATCGCAGTATATGAATGTTAATGCTGACAATTATAGACCGATCTATGGCTGGCCGTCTTACTGTAATAATATGAATCAGGCAGCGATGCCGTTTCTTCCATGGACGTCGCAGCAGTCGCCACCTGTGATAGACACGTATTGTTGTTGGTCAGCGCCTTTGATTCCAGGTATATCCAAAATATTCATATTTATTCTCTCCCTCTAAATTTACTTATTTTATTAGCAAAATATTATACAAATATAAGGATATTTTTAATAGTATATTTTTATTGACTTTTTAATAATTTTTTATATTATTTTATATTAAAATACTATTATTTTTAATTTATTTTTGTCAAAAAAAATTGCATAAACTTTCGAGAGAGTATTTTTATTTTCAGGTTTTATATTTTATATTATATTTACTTTTGCATTTATTTATTCTTAGATTACCGTTGCAATTATACTCAACATACAATGATTCCGACACAAGTCTATCCGATTGCTCCATTTCCTCGGCCTATGGTCTTTATTGAAAGGTCCTTGATGGAGAAAATAATAAAACAAATGGAATATTATTTTTCGTAAGTTGCATTTATTATTATTATTATTATTATTATTATTATTATTTTTTTTTTTTTTATTTTTTATTTTTTATTTTTGATATATTTAATTTATCTTCTATAGAAACGACAATATGGCTAAAAGCATTTATTTAAGATCAAATATGGATAAAAATGGTTGGATATCAATCGAACTGATATCAACTTTCAATCGGGTAAGTATATATACAAATATATATATAATTCACTTTCAATTTTAAAGTTATTCACTAATTTAACTCTTTTGGATTTTTCAGATTAAAGCGTTAACAAATGATATTTTAATAATTTTAGAATGTCTCAAATATTCACACTCGGTAGAAGTTTATGTAAGTATATATACCTAATTGTTATATCTTAATTATTTTGATTTATATTTATTTGATTGTTGTATTCAAGTTTATATATATTTATAATATTCTTTCTATTTTTATAAAGGGTACGATGGCAAGAAACCGTTATTCATGGAGAAAATGGGTCAACGCTCCCCGACTCCAACTTCTTCATCAAGGAATGAACTACGGATATGCCAATTAAGAATCTAGAGACTAGAGCAATGTTCCTAATTGCGGAATGAATTAATTCTTTTATTGATGGTTATGATTCCTTGTCCAATCATTTTTTGGGAAATTTTTATCATATTTTTGAATAATATAATATTATTAATGCATAATTAATTTGGGATGTTTCGCTTTTATATTTCTAACTGTTAATAACTAGCAATTTAAGTATTTTTAAAAATGTTTCCAATTTAATTATCAATTTAATATTTTTTGTCCAATAATTTTTATTTTTTTTAATCGTATTCTCAATATATATAATATATATTTTATTTATTATTAAAAATTAACATTCAAAATAAAATATTATTTTTTATATTACACAATTTTATATATCTTATTTCTTTACTTTTTTAAATATACAATTAATTATATATAAATATGTTAAATATAAATATATTTAAAATAATTTTTAGGAGAAAAAATAAAGTTTTATAAATATATTGAAAATAAAAGTTTATTTGTATTTTATTTGAAACAAAAGTTATTATTATTTAATCAATATATAAAAACTATTTTCTTTGGCAATATGGCACACTTAAAAAATTTAAATTTAAAGTGTCCCACCTTATCAAGGTCCATCAAGATTATAAGTATCATATATCTACTTTGTACATCGCTTATTTATTTATTAATCTTGTGCTTACACAAAATCACATATTATCCAACGGTCTGAGTATATAAGAATATATTAAAAATTAAATAAAAAAACAAGTATATCACATACAAGTATATAAGAATATCACATACAAGTTTGTTTGGGAGTTCAGATTTTGAGTTGAAAAAAATTTTGAATTTAAATAGTTATATAATATGATATAAATAGGTATTGATGTGATATTTTGAATGTAAAATTGATTTTTAATATAGTATAAAAAATAAAACATAGGTGTTTGATTTGACGTTTTGAAAGAGAAAAAATGGGATGAATAGTGAAAATCTAATCCAATCCCCCAAACAAACATGTATTTGTGTTACATGTATGTGTGTTTCTTTAGCCATCAAACCCCACATTTAAATTATTTGAATTTTGCATTTCCGATAAAAAATACATTTATTTTTTTCCACAAAATATTTCATAATACATTATTTTAATACCAAATCCAAACAAAAATTTCTCAAACCAAATGAAAGGAAACACACTTAATTCAAAACAGAAAATATAAAAACCAAATAAAAGAATAAAATTCAAAAGCTAGCAACAATTCTAACAAACTTAAGCAACCAATTTGTTTCCCAAATCTTTACAATAGCAATTCTTTTTTTTTTTTTTCCTTTTCTTTCTCTCAAAAACCACAGAGTTTTTCTAGCATATTAAGCCTACAGCGCAAATTGTTTCATACTAAAGAATTTCGGGTCTTTTTCACTTCGAAATGCACAAAAGTACATAGCATATAGCATGCCGGCTTTCTCCAAAGTCAAAAAGGCGATTTTAGCAATTTAATTCGAATTTGCAGCGCCTGATCATTGTTGATTCAACTGATTGCATTGCTTCTTGAAGTTCAAGCACTCTTCGGCCAGGAAGTCGCTGCAACAAAAATTATAGGTAGGCATGTTACTCAGGTGCGACGATTTATTGGGCATAAGGAAAATTGTGTGGCTTACAAGATACGTTCAGCCATTTGTGATGGCTCCCATCTCGGGCTCCATGGGTAATTGTCCATAGTAGGCGATTTCATGGGAGCGCCATGAGAATTGAAATGCTGCATATGTAAAATGGAGATAAGGTGAATGCATGTGGATTATTGGACAAGAATGTGTACAAAAATGCAATCCATGTTGCGTGCGCTTATTTTGCTAGATTTGGCTAATTAAGGAAGCTTGGATCATACAAGGTCAGTGAATGATTCGATTCTAACCTGAGAACTCTGAAGAGTTAAAGCTGGCTGCTGCTTCGGGAACTGAAGAGAGAGGGAAATGTGGACCTGGCCGAGCAAAATTGTGAGAAAATGTATTTGGGGAATTCCACACAGAATGATGGTTACAAGAAAATATAGTTACCAGAAAAGTGAAAACCCCAGAAGAAGCTAAGAAGGTTGCCCTCCTGCAAAAGACCTGTAAAACAAATGGAATTTGAAGAAGATTCTTGTTACCAAATCGATATGTACATTAAGAAATAACTAACAAAGAAGTCGAAAACGGCAGCGAAGGCACAGGGAAGTTGGAACAAACCTGATCAGCTTCAATTGGCCTTCCAAAATGAGACGCCAAAGCCACGATAAACTTCCTTCGAGTTTCAACAGACGCAACAGCATCTCTAATCTGTGACGTAAGAACCATACTGTAAATGAACTTAACTTTGGACCAATATATATTTTACGATCACAAGTGTGGAAAGTTATAGCAAACCTGATTTTCCAGCATCTCCTCTAAAGTGACAAGATATTCAGCTGTGCACCTGCAGGAGAGAGGTAGGGAATATGCCAGCACAGTTTAATTCACGAAAAGCTCAATTTTCCAAAACATTAAACGTTAATTTATTTAAAGATACACTTACATTTCAGGCAACCATTGCTGAAGCTTGAAATCCTCAATAGAAAACAAAGCTTTCAACTCCACAGAAGAAATTAGCTTTAGACGAGGGGGTGGAGGAGAAGAGTTCTTTTTACCGACTGGAAAGATAACCTGCAACAATTTAAATGTATATAAAGACTTGTGTCCGCACTTGCTGATATTCTTGCTCAATTTATGTATTTGAAACAACACATAGGTAGACACGTTCCTTTCTTAATTATGACATTTATGAGAGTATGTCAATTTCAGTATAAGATCTCTTCCATCATTTCAATTATAGGTTTTACATTAAATTAGATTCATGCTTTAGTTAATTGTACTATTGCAAGCTGAACACCATAGTTCGAAGCTCAATTCATTCAATAATGCCAGCCATCTTTTGTGTTTTTTTAAAACTAACCTGCAAGTATATCTTCTGTGGATGCTTCCAGGAAGATGCAACAGCCAATTTATTCAAATCCATGTCCAATAAGGGAATTGCAAATTTAACCTCTTCGGGCTACACTACATTTAAAAGGACAAAAACATAAGATAGTTACAACTCATAGCAAACTCAAACAGTCAAATGCGAGCATTAGGGTCACCAAGAGGTTTTAATTACCTTTTCTGTGCCTGCACTCATATACATTTCAATTCCCTGTGCATAGAAGTATTAAACTGATAACAATTAATAGGGCCAAAATGTACATACAAAAGTAACAAAGAATGAATATATGCAATAAAATCCAGATATCCCAAATTAATGCACATAAATAACAAAAACAGTGAAATCCAATATTGATAACACATTGCAAAAAACAAGAACAATATTCCTTCTAGATAACTAACAAAATGCCAAAAATGATGTTGAAGTTTGTTTAACACTTCCATTCAATTAAGTCCGTTAAAGAAACGACAAACTTCAAGCAGATTAAGTCAGTAGTGGCTGCAATCTCTTGATTCCTTGCTGATTAAAGGCACATGCCATGGCATGGCATGGCATGTTATTAATATGAAATATCATTAATATGTGAATATATATATATATAAATATATATTTGCATTGACAATTCTGTCACAAGATCCTATTTTATATCTTTAAAAGTGAAAATACACATTATACAAACAATACTGTACTGAGAAAATAAATAAAACACTTAATCAGAGGCACAGACCTCTGTGCACGTGGTAACAGCCGACCTCGCCATACATATTGGCACAAATAATTTTGCACCATATATAATGCATCATTAATTCATTACGGGGTATATAAACATGATACTATGTACCCCCATCGTGGAGACACGCATCCTCTAACACACATTTAAGACAAAAACCATAATCTGACACATTGCAAGAAAGGCATGCTTGCATGCCTAACCATAACACAGGCCAATACGCTCTAAGTTCAATTCAGTCATAAATTTCTTATTGACAACGGATGATAAAAGTGCTCGAGAACGTCAAGTTGTATAAGCCCATAGGGAGGCACACTGACCTCTCTATAAATCAATGTACTGATTTCGAATTTCAATCTATCATCATCAACTTCTCCAATGCGTCTTCTTTGGTATGCAGTATATGCATCCCTAGGACATAAAATTAAAGCTAAAGTCATAAACCAGAATGCTCTTCCCAAATTATGATCGGATATAATAAAAAAGAATAGCGGACACTTTCATACCTAAGCTCAATAACAAGAGATAACAACCGAGAAGGATCTCTGCTGTTCCAATCACTCAAGCTGTTTTTAGATGATTTTTCAGTACCAGAAAACGGCTGAAAACTTTCATCCTCTGGTCCAAAAATTATATCAGGAGCGGCCAATGGATACATGGCATTATATATAATATCCCCTGATTTCGCCGTGAAAAGCATGAATTAGAAAACTACACAGAGAGACACAGATTAAACTCACAACATAAAATTGAACACTCACATTTGATATTATCGAGGCAGTACGGAATGACTAGAGTGAAGCGATCACATAAGGAAGGGTTTTTGTTGCCGGACCACATTCGCTCAACCTGCAACAATTTTTCTCCTCTCATTTCGAATCAAAACATCTCATTCCCACACAACCCTAAAACGTCTCAGCTACGCACAAATCGGACCGAAAATGTAAATTTTCACCACTGCTTACTCCGATCATACCTTGACAGAGAAAGGACAGTGGCTAAGCAAATAGTTGAGCTGCGCGGCTATGAGCGGCGGCACGTTTTCCGTCACCATACCTGCGGCCTTGCGGTGGATCAAGTAGAACCTGCCAAGCTACCCAAGTTTGAACTGCTGAAGACCGAAATGGCAGTAGATATTTGATAATCTCAAAATGGGTTTCAAACTTTATTTGGTCTCAATATTTATAGTAGGCCCATATTATTATGGGCAGGCCCAAAAGGGGTAGTAATGGAATTTCACACTAAAATGAAACCCTAACTACTGCCGCAATGGCTTCCTATTTAAACGGGTTGCTACTTACGTCCTACCCTGCCCTGCCATCGAATTGCAGAAGAGAATTTTCATAGTTGTCTCTCGGTCGTCATCGGCAGAGCTGCGATCATCTAATTATTGTTCGTGTCCTGAATGTAGCAGGGGTTATTGCTCGGATTCGATTCTATTTTCTCTTTTTTTTTCTTGTTTTTTTTTTTTTTTTTGATCTGTTTTTGTTGAATTTGTTGAGTTAACCGCCGACAGAGGATGATTTTGGATTAGCAATCTCACGACGGTCGTCTGAGGCGCGCATTTGTGCCGGCTTTGATGTTATACTGATCCGATTTTCTGATGTCTTCTATATCATTTTCCAATTCTCTGTGTTTGTGTGTATACGTATGCTTTTATTCTTCAGGAAACTTATGCACTTTTGAAAGGTCGATTGTACATTTCAAGTGAGGTTATGTGTAGAGTTTTGAAAAGGATAAGCATAATGAGGATACACTATAAATTTTCCGATTTAGATATGAAGGAATATTTACCTCCTACTCATTCTGAATGCTTCCTTTTCATTCCAAAATTTAATTTCCTTAAAAGAATTTTCAATTTTAGTTTATCTGAAGCTTTTAGTTTTTTTCAAATCATAGGTTTAGCTGATGTTCTGCACCATGAGGAGAATTTATACATGTAGAATGAGATCATACGATGATTCATTCCAAGTAACTAACAAGTCCTTTTCATTCTGAGTGCTAGAACAGTATCTAGTTTATAAATTTCTGCTCTGTTCTATAGTTTATAACGGGGCTGGAGTTTGACTCTCTGGCAATTAAATTAATACAATGCCTTTGGGATGAATGCAGCACCCTATAATGACCCTTCTTCTTCTGCTGAATTCAGGTAATCTTTTGACAGCTTTATCTGATCATTCGGGTGGAAAACATCAATTGTGGTGGGACGAAGTTGATATATAGTCTTAATCAAGGTTCCAAACCTGCAGTGCATCAATTCATGGAAAAATCAGAAATATAAATGCTTTTTTCTTGGGGATTTTGATGTGATCCACTAAATTATTTATAAGATTCAAATAAATCTTTGTTGGAATCAGACAATCAGTTATAAGTACGTAATGAGTAACAGAATCAGGATGAACATGTGAGTAGGTACCTGTAATCTGCCATTAGAGGTTCCTGCAAAGAACCTGTGCCCATCCCTGTCGCAGGCAGTGCCTGTGATTCTTGGACAACTCCCTCCTGATGTTCCAATCTTCATGCAACCAAGTTTTTTGAATCCTTCTTTCTCCCAAACTTCTATGCTTCCACATTTTGTGGCTGTAAATAGGAAGTCATTGTTCACATTTGCGTGCTGAACGTCCAGACCTGTGGCCAATGATCCTACAATTGCCCTGCTTGAAAGTTTAAATGCCTAGCATATGGAAAATGTGTGGAGATTAAACCGATGATAATGCTCAATTTTGTGTATATATATAATCTGTTAAGGTTTTTGGTTTGAATGAGCATTTGTACCTTTCCTGCTATACCATCAATCAATGATCCGCATGCATAGAGAATATTGTTATAAATCTGAACTGAATAAATTGTTTGTTTGCCTAATAACTTTTTGGCACCAGAGTAGAATGTAGATGAAGTTTGTGTTCTCAAATCCACCTCCTGTTTATTGTTTGATATAATAAAAGTGTCACCAATAGTTAGCAATGGAAAATAACTGTTGATTTATTTAGACACTAGCCTGGATTGTGTAACTTGAGCAGCCACAGTAGAGATTGTCATTGTTGAGCACCATGCACTTAACTTGCTTGTTGAAGTTTATGCTTTTGGGACTTCCAGTCCAGTTGTAAACCTGTGAATGCAATGCTAATTGCTAAGTCTTTGTGTATATGTATCGGCAAAAAGGTTAGTTAGCATGTTTAGTATGCCGCAAACCTTTAAACCGTATCCTTGAGATGAGAAACATGCTGTGTTTGCGTTAGCTGCCAGAACATGTACTGCTTCTTTTACATCATGAACTTGAATGCAATGGATTTCGTCGTGTCTGATTGACCAAACCTGTGAATGGAATTATGCTTCGGCTCTTTATTTTTATGGGTGAGATTGTATTCCTAAATGTTGGCTCTGCTAATGTATGTGTCCAACTCTTTGCAGTGTCTGAGATATGTAACACGACGACATACCCGGATGGTTTTGTCCAGAGATCCAGTGTACAGCTTGTCGTATGTAGGTGAAATGCAGAGGCACGTGACAGCCTTAGAGTGTTCGCGGGCTTCTTGTATCAGCCGGGGAACTCTTTTGTCAGTGTCCCAAACCTCCACACAGAAAGAAAACCTGCTGTAAATCGAAGGTTTCTTGCTAGCTATGGAGATTGCTTGGGATCTTGTTGAAAGCTTACCTTAATAGTTCCATCAGAATGGCTGGAGATCAACCAGTTTCTTACATGAAGTAATGACAGAATTTCTCCATTCATGGACACGTCCAGCTCGGGCCCTTCGACGAATGACCATAGCTCAGCCTGCAGATCATAGAGTCAGTGCCAGTGAAAAAATCGAAGAGAATTCATCGTGCCCAGTCGCAACTCACAGCATCAAGCGACTGCGACTTCATCAGTGCTTTTATTACATCGTGTGCTACGGCGCAGCTCTTCTTAAGCCTCCTCAAGGTTTTCCAGACGCTTTTGGCGCACGCCGTGATCTCAGTCTGCCCATCTAAAATGCGGAGCTTGTTCGTTACTAAATCACTGAAAGTAAAACACAGAAGACACTACCTTTTTCGCTGATGAAGCCTTTAAGAGCAAGGGCTGCCAAGATCTTCTCTTCCACATTCCTCGACGACTGCAGCACGTTTATGAACTCGTCGAGCAGAAACTTACGGGCGATTACCCGCCCCCCGCAGTCGGGAAGTTTATACAGCATGTGCACAAGCCATGTTGCTATAACTAGACAAGATCTTGCTATCTCAATTGAACTGCTCCTGAAGCATTCCTTCAATGCTTTGAAGATTACGCCTTTCTCGTGGCTCGAAAGCACGAAGGCCATTCTCTTCTCCCAAATCCTCGACGCATTTTCGTCTTCCCTCTGAAATTAATGATAAACCATGAGAAAATACTGGTAAGAACACATGTAATATATTTTGTAATACATATGTAGACGCGCACTGTCTCGGCTTCATATTCTGCTGATTCATCCGTGCTAATTGTTGTCGTGGAATGCAGGTCAAACCCGGCTAACTTTAGCAACCGGGCTTCAATGTCCAACTTCCTTGAGGATTTTTTACGCCCCAAAAGTGACGAAAATGCTCCAAGGGCTGTAACTTGGGAAGTCGGGAAGTCGCTTCTCTGCAGTGCTTCTATGAATGCATCCATGGCTTCTTCCCGGTAAATACTCATCTTCCTCGGCGCAGCCTGAGATGCGAAAGATTTAAAATTGATCGCGGGTTGTTCGTTTGTTTTGTCGTTGGTTGAAGAGATGCTATGAGAAATGAAAACAAACCAAGAGATCTAGCTGTAGAAGAAGTGTAGCAGTGGCAAGTTTTTGATCCATTGGAGACATCTGTAGATGAACCAATAGGCTGTGCATTGTGCTGAATGTTCCTTCTTCCTTAATTTTATGCAATATTTGGTTGCTCAATGTCCTCCTGTGAAAAATGCATACATGAAATGAGTTCGAAATCTTAGCTTATAAAATTTTAAAAACATAATAAAATTTAGCAAATGAATATAGAGTGTGTTTGTTTTATGTTTTTAGGAGGAGGTTGGATTTGTTTGTTCTTATTTCAAATACAAAATATCATATTAAAAATATATTTAAACAAAAATTTAAATAAAAATCAAAATGAAACAAATTTAATACTTTCTTTATTTCAACTGAAAAAGCGATATTCAATTAATATTTTTTTAAAAATAATGTCAAATTTTTAAAAAACATATATGCGCATGTAAAGGAAACTTTTATTTCTCATTAGAAAAATCACAAAGAATACCTTGTTTATATCATTCAAGAGATCCCTACTTTATTACATAATATAATAAAAGTAACAACCTTTAACTAACTCTTTTATCATTTTATTATCTTAATTGTCTTTAGGCAAGCTAGTTTTAGTGAAAAAATTTTGAATTTTAATTCGGAGATGCCTAGCTCATAGGAAGACACTGTCTGCAAGGTGGCATGGATTTTTATGTTTTTAATTTTTTTTTCTTTTGTCTTTTTTTTTGTAAAAATTAAATATTTTCAATAAAAATTTGAAAATTAAATTATTTCTTAAAAAATAAAAATTTGCTTTGCCAAAAGTGACATGTAGGCATCTCCGGGGCGGCTGAACAGCAAAAATTGCAAAAATTTTCTACTTACGAATTTAATTTGCAACTTTCTACTTACGAATTTAATTTGCAACATGCCCGTTTGAGGACTAAAAAAATAAAAGATTATGGCAACTTACCTGCTAAGTCGAACCAACTCAGTCAGAAACTCGACACAAACGCCTCTCACACCATCGTCCCCGCCATGAAACAACTCAAGAACATGCCACAACTCGATTCTTCCCGCCACAAACTCCCTGCATTTCACATCACTTCTCATGCACCAAAGAAGAACCACAACGATCGACTGCCTCCCATCGTCATCAACTCTGTCGAGGCAGCTCATCAATGCCGGAACTCCATTCTCTTCTACAACCTTAACTGCACCACCCAATGCATCGCCGTCATCTCCGACGACGATTTGCCGAAGCAACTCCACAGCAGCAACTTTAGGCGACAAAGGATAGTGAAAATCGCCGGCGCCGCAGTCTTGATTTTTGTTCGATATTATGCAGATTAGCGCCGCAACCAAGTCCTGGGAAGACAGAAGAGCCGCCGATGGCCGGAAAAGGTGCAAAAGCACGGCAGCTTCGGGGAGTCCCTTCTTCAGTAAATCGACCAAGCAATAGAAATCCGAGTCCACATTTGTAAGAAGATCGGCAACATGATTTTCGGAGCATATCAGCTTCGATAGGATGTGGATTGCTGTCCGGAGCACATCCTTGTTGAGCGACGCAGAGAGTATTTCCATGAAGCCATTTACGATTGCTGGCGATGATAAATAGGAGTGGATGCTCGAGCCAACATTCGAATCCTCCCATGTTTTGAATATCGTTAGAACAGCCCCTTCGCATTCTGTTAAATCTTCGGAGTTGCATAAGCATAGAACATAGGGGCTCAATGCATTGATCAGCGAATCGATCGAAGCTTGAGATCTTGCGCTCGTCGGCGATTGTTGAGGATTTGAATACGGCGCCTGTTGAGATCAACATACGTTACGATAAAACAAGCAAAAGGAAACAAAAATAGCAAATTCGAGTGATCTATTGTAAGTTTCAAGTAGTTAAAGTCACTTTAGCAGCTGTTGTTACCTGTTGAGGTTTGTGATCATCTCCAATACTAATGTGATGATCAGATGTTCCGGAGACAGCAGATTCGGATCGAATAGGATAATTTCTTGGTGTCTCAACGAATGAATATTCTTGGGCGAGGTCGGGATGCTGTTCTTTCCAAGATGTGATTAATCTCTTCAGGACATAGTTTGTTTTCGGCAGCGAAGCTGCCGAGAGAGGCTGCCGTGTGATCGGGCAGGTCGTGTTCCCTCTATTCACCCATTCCTGAATCGCTTTCCTCTCGTAGGTCTGCCCGGTTTCGAGGGTGACGGGGTCGTTGAAAAGCTGGCCTGTAATCGGACAGACAAAGTCTTTCGGCCTCGACAAGGCATCCGACACCGGAGAAGATGTGTAGCTCGGGCATCCATCATCCACATTCTTCCTGCGTATACAATTTACGACGAAATTAAGCTTTCATGGAATGGAGAAAATGGAATGCTTACTGAAGGATATATAACAAACCTCTTTTCGAATACTTGTCTCACAGAGTGCACACAATCGACGTCGTTCTTCACAGTCTTTAATCGTCCCTGAATGACATCGATGTCGATTTCAGCACAAGCCCGAAAACATAAAATGAGATGTTAACCAGAACTGATTACAGATTGAAACTTACTCTCGAATCGACTTCAGAATCGGTTGAGTTAATGCTTGAGAGTGGAGAAACAGGTGTTGAGTTGGAGATCAAGGGATCCGAGGCACGAGACGAGAGAAGGCGAAGTATTTTCCCGCCATCTGTCGCAGGTTTCGGAGATAGTTTCTTCATAGGAGTTGCAGGAGAATACACTGGTGAGCTATTCGGAGAAGATTGTCGGAAGCCGGTGAGGTGTATCCCTTCTCTGCTGCAAGATGTTTCCTCCTTTGGTATGGCGTTTCCATAAGAGACAGCTGCTCTAGATTCATTCTCCTTTTCGGCCTTAATAGCTTCCATGAATGAATCAGGATCTTCACAGTCCTCAGCGATTTCTTCCTGAGGATCGAAGTAATTAACAGTGAGTGATTTCGGAGAACGCAACCATATCGAAGATCTGAAATAGCCTTACCGGCATCTCCGAGTCAGCAGAAGCTTCAAGATTCTCATAGGCTGTCGGTGTCGCCTCCAATCTGATGAAGATGAAGATGAAGAACGATGAGTTGAGACTATAGACTTCTTCCCTTTTCAATTAGTATTTGATTCAGAAAAACATGTGATAGAGAAATCACAAACCTAAAGGTGTCGGTCGGATTCTTTCTTGATTTCAGGACAGGGGAAAAACCGGCGCTTGTAGGCAGGATTGGCCCGAACTTCACATAATCTGGAATCGACCGGCTACTGAGGTCGTGCAGTGGAGTAACCGGTGGCTCTACAATCGGCAGCATCGGCATTGCCTTCCTGCTAGTGGCAGAATCATACCTCATACAATCCTTGTAATATTTTGCATAGAGCTTTGTATTCTCATCCAAAGATTGGCCATAAAGATGCTCAAGCTGCTGAATTCTCTCAGCTTGCTTAGGTCTCACAGACATGATCAAAGATTCGTTGAAGTACTGATCAAAATCCATGGTGAATGATAAGTCAGAGGAGTCGGGGATGACATCCATCAGTATTCTTCTCCTTCCCTCGGAGTACCAGGCGACGACTGAGCTCATTTGGGGGAGGAAGATGGATTCCCAAAGCTCAGGAGCAAAATCGATCCGTGAAAAGAAAGGATCCACGAAGAACATCTCCAGAATGTGAAGCACTGCGGTCTGAAAGTCGTGGCGTAGTACGGAGAGGTAGGAGAGGTTTAAGTGCGCCCACGCCGAGAGGTAGAAGTTGGGGACACCCGCTGTTTTGTGGTTAGAGTTCAACATGGCACAAAGTTGTAGCATCTTCTCTGCATAATCGAGACGTGCCATTCTAGTTTCTGCATTGGATGTGTTGATTGCCTCTTCGAGGGCTTCGATTCCCCAGTCTAGATTGGCAAGAACTGCTTGATCGGAGTAGGGAACTTCTACAATGTCATTGCAAGGATTGCCTTCTCCCTCAGCTGCTAATCGTTCCGCACAATGCTCTTTCTGCTGCAATCGATGATCCTTATCGACCAGTCTAGCTTCAATGAAGCTCCTGACTGCTGCAGTTAGTGATTCGACCATGTCGTTTTGTTCCATCACAAAGCTGTGATTACCTACCATAGACAATATTGATTCACATCAATAGCACAAACAACTTATGATATGAGCATACACTGAAAATTGAATTATCGGATGTGAATTGCAGAATAGATTAAAATAGATATTCCCCATCAATGGAACCTAAAATGTCATCTGCTTATGCATCATACTATCGAGTATAACAAAACAGCGGCAATAAGCAGCATTGATGAACAATAAGAAGAAATAAGAATCAATCGCAAAACTCACTACAGTCAGGCACGTTAGCAGCTTCGAATCATCATCTTCAAATGGCGAAAACTCGAACAGAGGAATTCTCGAATCGGAGCTTGGAATTGTTGAACAAGCAAATGAAGGTTTGCCTTCCTTGAATGGAAGCTGCTTCAAACAGAAACAAAAACAACAAAGATTATTGAACTAGTTTATTCATCGAATAACGACAAACAGTGCTTCTGCAAGCATCACATAAAGTATAATCAACCAGCATATTGTTTAAACCAGTGGGTCCTCGGAGACTAATGAACAGGGAATCCATGCCGGCTACAGCCGGTCGACAGTAAATTGAAATTAAATTGTTCATAGAAACATCATAGAAATGGTTGGAAATCATATAGCATATAATATATGTATATATATAATATATTTGGATTATCGATGCTTGTCACATCAGAGGAAAAAGAAATTCGCGACGAAGTAAACTTGGTTTGAATTCCTGAGGCAATTTGTGCGTTCGATAATCATTACACACAAAAGATTATTCAACTAGCATGCCGTTTAGCGCTTCAGTTATTTCAGTTTAACACGCAATCGCATGGCAAAAGAAAACCCCTAATTTTTTAAGTCGTGATTTAAGAATAGAGAAAGAAAAGGTGCAAGATAGACAAAATTGTGTGACATAGATTTTGCTTCAGCATACCTTTTCGCATGGTGAATTTGCGCCGGCACCGACCAAGGCCCCGGACGCCGGCGAGGAGCGACTTCACCGGAGGAGAATCCATTTCCGGTCTTGTTCTGATAGGGCTTGGGCTCCATCAAGTATTTAACCCACTTTTAATTAACTATTGGGCTTTATAGGCCCGTTGAAACTCTTTGGCCCAAATATTAAAGAGATCACGTGACGCTCTTAGGAGTATAACTTTTCAAACTTTTTTCAATTTATTACATTATTGTATTAACAAATATTAAATCAAAATATTTATTTTTAATTTTTATATTATATAAAAAATTAATTTTATATTAAAAAATCGTGTCAATTACCAAATATACATTTGAATTTATTTGTAGCATAAGTTGCTCTTGGTTGTAAGTTTTGTTAGATTCTTTACCCAAAAAAAAAATATATAATATAATATTTATTTTTTATATTATATTAAAATTTAATTTTTTATTTAAAATATTATATCAATGTCTATTATATAATATTAACAAATTATTTCAATTTAATTTTTTGTAATTTAAAATTCAAATTCAAGATTTAAAATTATAATTAGATACACCCATAACCCGTTTATAGAATAAATATTTTATATTTAAACAATTAAAAATAAACATTGAAAGTACATAAATATATATATACTTCCTCCTTCCTATTGAAATGTTATCATTCCAAAACAAGATTATCATTTCCTAATTTAGTAATTATACTATCTACCTCATATAATAAATATCCTTTCAACTTACAATATATTACACAAATATCGTTACTTTTATACTACACCATACTAATATGGTATTTTTGTCTTTATTATTATAATCCAATATAATACTAATATTAAAAAATCTACTTGCAAAAAGCAAACGCCACCCTTCTTACGGGACGGAATGAATATATATATACTATCTCTCTCAATTTACTTTTTGCATATTAATATTTAAATATTAATTATCTCTATTGGTGTCTTATAATACTAATATAATGATATTTATAAAAAAAAAATTATACAAATATAAACACATTTTTAATATTAAAAACAATGACGTCAAATCCAAATAGATAGATTGGTTGTGGACGGAGGTAGTATATACTCCCTCCGTCCAGCTAGAAAGTATACACATTTCTATTTTGGGACGTCCAATTACAAAGTAAATATTTTATTAAATACCTTACTTTTTTTCACAAATACCCTTACTTTACATCACATCATTACTTTTATATCAAAAAGCAAGGGCAAAAATGTTATTACACTACTTTTAACTACCCACTATAATTAAATAACTATTATTTTTTAAACACCGCGCCAAAAGTAAATGTATACTTTATCCGTGGACGGTGGGAGTATTTTTTAAAAGTAATAATACATGAAGGGTATCAAATAATAATAGTCACAATACATAATATAATTGATATTTAAGATATAAAATATATTAGCATGAATGCATAATATATATATATATATATAGTGCGTACTAATAATTTATATAAATATAGCATATGACATACTTAATAATCAACAAATGCTAATTAACTCTCATTGAATACTAATTTCCGTGTAAACCGAGTCATAGGTCATATATATGAATTGTAGCCAAGCACGGCCTATTACGAAGTGTAAATTAATTACATAATTATAATATATATATATATAATCAAAATTGATACTTATATTATAATCATTAGCGCTAATTAAAAACTATTTGAGTGGGTCCCGCTGCTAAGCTTATCCATGAGCCAATCAGATGCCGACACGCAACAATTGCCACGACATCACGGCACGATTAATCTCTTAAGCACGCACGTACACACTACACAAACATTTATTTATTAAATAAATAAATTCCTTTATTTTATCGTGTATTTATTTATTTAAGGGAAACATTTCTTTGATTCCCATTCTTCTGACCCTTTCAATTCAAAGATGGGCCCCACTAATAAATCTGCGCGAGTGAATTTACAAATATGTCCTTGGTTTTATTTCGTTTACATCCAGAAAATAATTATTGGATTTATTATAATAATTAGTCAACATTACAGGTGTTGCTTTATACGGTTCGTATCCGTATAATTATTAAAACAACCGACATAATTCCTACAATTTGTCTTAAGCTGCAATAAATTACATAAAATGTTAATACTCTGTACGTCCACTAAAAATAGCTCATTTGAATTTGGCACGAATTAAAAAAAAAAAATGAATATTTTATTGAAAATGATATGTAGTTTGGAGTATTTTTGAAAATTTGTTTAGAAATGAAAAAATAGTGTAATAAAGTTAGTGATATTTGTTGTAAACAAGTGTTGAATGAAGGGTAAAAATTAAATAGTGATTTATTGACTTTGTCAAAATTAGTAATACGATAAATTTGACTGATAGAGGAAGTATTAGATATATGGATTTTTATGTTTTTATTATTAGGTATGGAATTATATGGGCATTACATATAGTAATGTCTTGTTTGTTTGAACTGTTGAATGCGAGTTGATATATGTTGTATATTTTCATAAGTGGATCCATATTGGGGTAAGGGCTTCCTACTACTTTCTGGATTTACACTTACACCCATCATATTTTAAAATTAAAATATTAAGTAATTAAAATTGAGCAAACACATCCAAATGTTATTTCAAAATTTTTAAATATTAGGGGTGTGTAAACCCACAAAGTGGTACTTGCATGGTGATTTTTTGTGAAATGATTGTTATATGCATATTTTGTATAGATAGTTTATATATATATATAATTATATTGAATTGTGGCTGAAATTTGTCAATGATGACTTGCCGAATACGTATATGTCAAAATAGATGCTAATTGGTTCAACATCCTCAAAGAAATGATAAATTTTTATTTGAGTAGGACTAAACTTGATAAAAAAATTTAAATTGAATCAAAATTGAAAATTATGATATTAATAACACAAAAAATTATTTTTGCTCAAAAATAAAATAAGAATGCAAAATAGAACCTGAAAGCAGCAGTTGAGAACTTTTTCTTCATTCTTTTCCCCTGTTTATGTTTTTATTTTTTTGTTACTTCCCACTTCATCAATTACATAATGTAATTAATTAACTTTCTCCCACGTCCAATTTCATATGTTTTTTTTGGGTTGAGCTACCATATAGGGTTCTAGTTTATTCATTTTGGAAGGTGTTTTTTTTTTAAAAAAAAAAAATATTTGGAGGAAAACTTTGCACGAAGTGTGAACTTTGAAATCTAATATTTTGTATGACATTTTGATGGTACTTTAGTTCGGGCTTTACATTAAAATTCTATCCCCGGCAACTCTTTGGTTTTTTTATAGACGTTTGGAATTGATTCATTTGTTTTTGTGCAGATCACCTTTGATCCTAGAAAATAGCTCTCTAGGCATCTCATTCTTTTTTTAAAATTCAGCCGGTCATCCCAAGATCATATTCAACCCCCAGGACGTATACAGTTGGGTTTAAAGCATCTCGAATTTCTTGACAAAGATTTAACCGTATCGACCTTGAAGTCATCTTAACACCATAAGACTCGCTCAAAATCTCGATTATTGGCTATGAAGTCGAGATTGACCTATGAAGTTTCATCATCATCGAGAGTCCTAACCATAGGTTCATCTTCCGGAGTTGGAGTTGTTTGGTCCTTCGGAGACGGTCGTTGTTCGGAGGCAATCTTGTCGTCCGGAATTAACTGCGTTGGACTCCATTCCTGATGTGTCAGAGCTGGTGCCGCAAATTAATTTTATCTTGTCGTCTCCTCTGTCTTGGCGTTCGAGTGAGAGGCTTGATCTTTATATATATATATATATATATATATAAAACGTGGGAACCCGTAGCGGCTAACCGAAAGTGTGCATTAGGTAAACCCCCGGTCAAACCTAATACCCTGCAATCTAGACCCGACAAGACAAGTCACACTAGGCGAACCATGTGTGGCAGGTGGACCTAGAGGCGTCGGGGTTTGAAACCATGACCTTACGGTCACAAGTTCACTCTCCACACCACTAGGTCATCCGTTACAGGACAATGCTTGATCTTCTTCATCCTACAGTTGTTGGTCTAGCTCCAGTCCTCGAGGGACTGTTCAGAGCGGCATGTAGGATGTCGCGTAATAATTACTTAATCCACAAAATTTATGTGTCATACTTTAGCGAGAAGGGAATAGGGGAGCTCTTTATTGTCAAGTCTCAAGTCCATCAATATTGGAATATGCGATGATTGTATCTTTGGGAAGTAACGAAAAATGGCGTTCTCAAAGGGTATGAGAGACCTGGAATGAAATTGGTTTATACGGACCTGCAGGAATCAGCTTTTGTATCGACCCTTGGAGGCTCACATTACTACACCGCGGTCATTGGCGACGTTATAAGAGAGGTATGAGTATATTTGCTTAAGTGTAAATATGATGCTTTTGATAACCTTTAGGAGGTGGAAAGCGCGTGCAGTGGGAGTAGTGAGCCGATTTATGTGCAATTCTGAAAGACAGTTTAATGTAGTGACCTTAGATGAAGTGAGTTTGTGTTCAACCTCAAGTGACCTCGATGAGTGAAGAAGGAGGCTTGGCGCTATCGTTGCCGATGAAGTAAAATGTTGAAATGGAAGATGCAATTAGTCTTCAAGTGGAAGATTGTTTGGATATGAAACTTGTATCCTAAAATCTAGTGATATGATTTTCATATGATTTATTTATTACATCATAGATTTAGATATATGATTTGGATATTATTCACATATGGATCTGCGTATTTTATAGTAAAATTTCTTGACTTGACAGCGCCCCTAAGTGTGTTTGTCTTTTTTTTTTTTTTTTTTTTAATTTCTTGAAATTTCTGTAACAATATTTAATAATATTATTCTTTTATAGTAAAATTAATTACTTTCTTATTTTTAATAACTATAATATATATAAAACTTGCATCTAATCTAATGTATTATTACAATAATATCATCCTTATATAATTATATTACAAATATATTCATAGCTCAATTAGAGGGAATATTACACTTTCACCTTTTTAATTAAAAAAAAAAAAAAAATTGAAAATATACAGAGCGACAATACGATACGGCAGTAGACTATAGACTGAGTAGATTGTAGAGATTTTTCCAACCACTTGCAATACACCAAACACCAATTTTATTAATTAATAAAGCAGACTTCAGTTTCTTGAAAAAATAAAATAAAAATAAAATAAAAATAAAATAAAATAAATTAAAATAATAAAATTCAATGGCGAAGCAGACAAGACAATGATATTAACGTGTAAAGACGACGACTCGATAGGAATGGTCAAACCTTAAAATGATTGCGTTATTTAAGCATCGTCTTTCTCTGCCGTGACCACCATTCACACGGCGGATCCGAATCGCCGTCCGGCGGAGAGGCCAATCGGAGTGGAGCAGGGTTCGAAGTCGAATTCGTTAGTGGGGGATGAAGTCAAGTGGTTCCTGTGGTTTTGATTGAGTTCGTTGAATTTGGTGGTTTTCCTAAAAATAAATAAATAATTAAATTGAATTCGATCCAATCCCAATCTTGCACCATAGTTGGTGCTCCAGTGTCACGCGGTTTTGCTGCCATCCCTCGCTGAATAAACTCCTACTGTTTTCCTCCCAACCTCTATTTAAAGGAACAGGTAGGTTTGATGATTTGAGATTTTGATTTTATTTTTTGGTTTTTTGGTTTTTGTTGCGTCGTTTTGGTTGGATTGAGCGGTGGATTATTCTGGCATGGTTGGGGACTTATTTTGCTTGTTATATTAGGGTTCGATCGGTTAGGTTCGGAACTGGGTAAACAATGGGAGGAGCTTGTTCGAAGAAAGCATCTAAGGAGAAGAAGAAATCAGCCGAGGTCGGGCCTGAAAAGGCTTCGGGCTTTTCGGGGAAGCTGAAATCCATGTCGAGTTTCGGGAAGCAAAAGCAGAAGAACGACGATTCCTATACGTATTCCGATGAAGTCGATGTGTTCGAGAAAGCGCCGCCGCAGAAGTTGTTCGATTCAGGCGAGCTGCATCTTTCGATTTCGCGTGAATTGAAGCCATCGACGCCGGCCAGAGCACCTGCACAGAAGGTAATTCGAGTTTACAGTTGTTTATTCACTGCGCTTAATTTACGGTATCGATGATAGAGAATTTAGTCATTTCAATCCTGGGTGATCTTGTTGGTTCGATGGATTATAAATTGTGGTTGTGAGTTTCGAAGAGATTCAAGAACAGTTTGAAGACTGCATTTACTTTAGCTGAGGCAATGATTCCTATTCTTCAAGATTGAATTAGTGTTGTATCAGAGCCATCAATGAGGAAAACCAACATGTTCCTTGATGGTTTAAACCCTACTCGAATTGGTACTTTTGCTTGAATTCTACTTCCAATGGATGTAATCTTGCTAAATGATTAGAATGTGAATACAATAGTGGTGGAGGGAAATCCCTTCAACTCAAATATGGCTGTGTTTTTACTAACCTCAGATTCCATGCCTGCTAATCTGTTTGTTGATATCACTAAGAGAAAGCTATCAGGCAGGTCCTATGTACAATGTGTGTAGCCTCTGTGAACTGAAATTTTAGAGATCGAATGAACTGAGGGACTTTTGCAGAGTTTGCTTTTAGATTGCAAATTTTCGAAACAATGGTGATACTCTACGAGAATTTGATGATTTTTCGTGTATAGAACTGCCAGCTGTATTGGTTACTTTTTATTATACATCGACAATAATGCTAGCAGTATCTTATGATAGGTTCCTCATAAGGCATCCTTTCTCGGAAAGGCTGGTTCAGTCGGCCTAGAGAAAGCCGTGGAAGTCCTTGACACATTAGGCAGCAGCATGACGAACTTGAATTCTGGTGGATTTACAACCGGCGTAACTTCCAGAGGGAATAAAGTATCTATATTAGCATTTGAAGTTGCCAACACTATAGCCAAAGGCGCAACCTTATTGCAGTCTCTGTCGGAAGAGAATGTTAAATGTTTGAAGAAGGAGATTTTGAAATCAGAAGGTGTTCGGAAGCTGGTTTCGACAGATATGGATGAGCTACTGAGTATTGCCTCTGCCGACAAAAGGTATGATCCTTATTTTTTTGTCTATATTCGTCCAGATTTATTCCTAGTTATTCCCTGTGTTGATGCTTTGAGTGGTTTCAGTTAGTTGATTAGATCTGTCGATTCGTATGCAGGGAAGAGTTTGATGTCTTCTCGAATGAGGTTATCAGATTTGGAAATATGTGTAAGGACCCACAGTGGCACAACCTCGATAGATTCTTTATGAAGTAAGTCAACCTTTTCTTTGTGATATGAATAAGCATATGCACTTCTGCGATGTGGATTTATATTAATTGAACATGCTGTGGTTATTAGATTGGATTCAGATTACGATGTTAATAAACAACCTAGAGAAGAGGCTGAAATGACTATGCAAGAACTGACTACACTAGCTCAGCACACCTCGGTAAGTTATCTATCTTCTTATTGGATGCTTACTTTGGAATGTATTGATCAACCATTTTTTCGTATTTTTACTGGAATTAGATTTGTGTTTTTATTACCTTTTTTGTGTTGAAATGTCATTTTTCTCATAAATATATTTCTACACGTGTTCTGGAAAAGTACCCGTCATAGATTATGTTCCATTGATGTTTGCTATGTCAAGTTATTTATGTAAGCATCCAGAGTGTGATTTGAAATCATTAATTATTTTCTTATTTTGTTTTATATGTTGTACGATGTAGATTATAATCTCTCAAAAACTGAAGATGAAAGCTTAAAATGATTGATTGAAGTAATCCATTATAATCATGATATGTGTTGTTGTAAATTCTTTTGAAGCAAGTCGATTCGAACCAGCCTAGTGTAATTAATTGTGATGACACCAACACTATCTTATTGAATTTCTGAAAAGTCGAAGCTCTTCTGTTGACTATGAAAGAACGATTCTGCTATTTCTGCAGGAGTTATATCATGAATTGCATGCGTTGGACAGATTTGAGCAAGATTATCAGCGGAAACTAGAAGAAGTAGATTCTTTAAACCTTCCTCGCAAAGGTTTGTGATGTTTCTATATTAAAAGACTCTTTTTCTCCAGCAGATATGATTTGTGATGTTTCTATATTAGAAGACTCTTTTTCTCCGACAGATATGATCATGATCGCCAGGATTTCATACTTAATATCACTTTACATTTCCTATGATTTTGTCGGTTTGCGCCTGTTTCCTTCCAGCATTGTTTTTCACAAATTGGCATATAATTTTCATTTTTGTAGGGGAGAGTCTCGCAATGTTCCATACGGAGTTAAAGCATCAACGAAAACTTGTAAGGAGTTTGAAAAAGAAATCCCTTTGGTCAAAGAGTTTGGAGCAGGTACGATTGTAAACAAATTTCCATTCAAGTTAATACATAACACGTAAAAAAAAAAAAAAACTTCATTGACAATATTCTAGGTAATTCAATAATAAATTAGCTACGACAGGCTGTTCCATTTACTGGTTCTAGACATGTCATAACGTTGTACTGTTTTTTATTTCTAGGTCTTGGAGAAGCTTGTAGACATTGTTACTTTCATCCATCAAGAAATTTCAGAAGTATTTGGAGATAATGGTACTTGTACATGCTCCATAAGATTTTCTCCTCGTGTTCTTTCTTTGTTCATTGTTCTGTCGATATTGAGAGAAATGGAATGTAATTCAAATCTATTCATTATAACATTAGCTATGAATTTCTGTAGATTAAATAAATGTCGTTTTATCTTTCAGGTGGAAAGAGTGCATCGGATAAACCGCAAAGATTAGGTGCTGCTGGTCTTGCTCTACACTATGCTAACATAATTACCCAAATTGACAACATTGTAAGTTAATTAACAACTCATTTTACTATAGTGTCATAGGCATCGATCGATGTACTTTTACTTATAGAACTTACCTGCAATGAAGGCATCCCGCCCCACCGTTCTTCCTCCAAATATGAGAGATACATTGTACAATGGTTTGCCACCGAATGTCAAGGCAGCACTTCGATCCCGGATACATGCTGATTCCAAGGAAGTGGTAATATTCTTCATCTCTTCCTCATCTTTTCCTCGATTTCTTTTATGCTCTACTTGGATATTGAATTCTGGCCCGGATATTTCCTTTACCAGCTCACTGCTCCTCAAATTAAAACCGAAATGGAGAAATCTCTTCGGTGGCTTGTTCCCTTAGCTGCAGATACTGTCAAGTATGTTTTATTATTTCAATGTTCAAACTTGGTTGTGTGGCCGGACATATACTGTTTTGGCGAAACTTTTTAGAAAGATTCAATTTTTGACGAACTAACGCAATCCTTTTCCTGACTGGAAATCAAAACCAGGGCGCATCAAGGGTTCGGTTGGGTTGGCGAGTGGGCGAACACAGGGTAAGCAAGAATTCATTACTTTCCAAGTCCCGTTTAGTCGTGAAGAAACTCGATAGAATCCTTACTTCATTGAGCTCATAATCTTTTAGTCAGAGGACTTTTGGAGTAATAATTCGATACATCCCTAACCACTTTCTTTCCAACAGTCACGAATTCGGGAAGAAGACGAGCACTCCGAACGTGGTCCGGCTGCAAACCCTGTACCACGCCGACAAGCAAAAGGTTGAGTCATGCATCCTCGACCTCATAACTCTGCTTCATCGTCTCATCAGTCTCGTTCGATACCGAGACAACGGCGGGTTCCGGGGACGCTCTCCGCCCGTCAAAGCAACCACCACGCTTCCCCCGGCGAGTAACGGAGGAGTCGAGCTCACGACGGAGGACCGAACCCTGCTGGACGACGTAATGAAGAGGAGGAAGTTCGTCTCGGGGCTAAGCAAAAGCCAGGAATTCGACATGGCGAGGATCAAGAAGAGCAAGGTGTGGACGTTGAGTCGAAGCACCGGGAACTCCCCAAGAAGGGAGACGATGAGACGGCAAAGCGCTGCCGATGTTTTGGATGTATTGGACGGGTTGGATTCGTCGTTCTCAAATGCCGTTGCCGCCGCCGGCCGAGGAACGGCCGCCGGCGATGATGGATTGGTTCATTCTTTTGTTTGATTGTGTGGTGTGGATGAAGGTTGGGGCGTTATGTATATAGAAGAACAGCTGTGGGTATTATGGTATGTATACTTATTCAGCTAGGCAGGCTGACATGGCATGGCATTACATATATTGGAAAATTTTGGGAGTTTTGAGACTAGTTTGTGTTTTTTTTTTATTATTATTATTATTATTATTATTATGACTGCAGCCGATGCCGAGAGTGAAACTTAGGTCAAACTTAATACCTTGTAAATTAGTTTCGAATGACAAAATTATGAGGAAAAAAAATTGAGATATAAATAAGTGTCGAGTAAAATTAATTTTTAGTATAATATAAAAATGAGATTTGATATTTATGAGGAAAAAAAATTGATAAATAGTTACATTTTTGGGAAGAATCCCACAAATTGGTGTGTTTGGGTGTTTTTGTCTGAGGATTTGAATACTAAATTTGAATAATTATATAATGTATGATAATATAAATTAGATATTTAATTTTTAGTATGATAAGAAAATAGAAAATAGATATTTAATCTTATATTTTTAAAAATTAAAATCAATAAATAACAGTAGAAATTGTGTATTTAATAAATAAACATAATTTTTTATTTTTTATTTAAGTGATGTAAAGAATAAAATATACTAATTAATTACTTTTAATTTAAAAATATTGCAAGGATATTTAAGAAAAAGAATATATTAACGGAATTGTTTTTAGTGATAACCATAAGTAGTAATACATGCTGGATTTGTATATATAATACAAAAAAACACACACCCTTAAATATTTCTTAAAATTTTCAATAAAAAATTCAAAGAGACATATAGAATATGATTATTGTAGACCATATCACCGTAAAACAAACTTTTGTTTTTCTTAGTATTTTAAATTTGTAATATACCAAATATGAAAAAAAAAAAAAAAAAGGAAAAAAAAAAGCTCAACAGCAAGGAAGTGGAAGCGGTTGGGATATTTGTAGAGAAATTTCATAAAGAGAGAAAAATCTACTCCTTGTAGACACGAGAATTTAGATTAAGTATAATTAGTAAGTAATTAAAAAGTATATTAGTAAAAATAATTATTATTTAGTAAAAATAATTATAGATTAAGATTAAAATAAGTAAATAGTTTAATTAAAATTAAAAAATTATAAAATTTAAAATGCGATTAAAGTGTATAATTATATTTTCAAAAATAGAAAGGACAAGTTATGTAGGACGGACGAAAATAAAAAATAGGGACAAATTATGTGGCACGGAAAGGAGTATTAAAAAAGGAAGTTAGAATGTGAGATTTTTGTAAGAATAATTTAGAAAGGAAAGTATTTTACTTAAACGGTGCCAAGTTGCCAACATCTCTTCACCTTCCACACTTATTTTTTCACGTATAATTTTTCTTTCAATTTTTTTTTTCTTTTTAATTTTTCATATTAATTTACTGTTGATTTTTACAACAACAAAATTAAAATTATTTATTTTTACAAATATTACACTAAAATCTCTATTTAAATAAAATTTTAAATAAATACCAAATTCAAATTAATTTTAAGTTATAACCAAATGAATTTTTATCTAAACTGTTGACTGAACGGCACAATATACGGGTCACAAATATCTGACGTGGAGATCAAGTCAAATCGTACTTACAAAAATCAATTTGGATAAGAACATAAATATATTAGTGATTTTTTTTATATATACGTATTATATTTAACAAAAATAGACATAGAGTTCTATCTAAATCAATATTATGTCACTTTAGAGGCATAAGATATACTCAAAATGCTTCAAAAACAAGCAAATACTATTCTTTGTTTTTCTTTTCTTTTTCTTTTTTTAAAAAAACTTTATCTAGTCAGCAAACCTGCTTTTATCCATATCCTATCGAACTCGACCACAACGGATAAAGCCACTTCATTGCTCCCACGACCCTCCGTCTCTATATAAGAGTCGCGTTTTTTAGATATGCTGCATGCAGAATCGCATTTTCACTTTTTCTCTCAATTTCATCTGCTTTCTCTCCTGAAGCAATCATGGCGTCCGCGTCATTCCTACTCTCGATCCACACAGTCGGCCGAAAATCCTCCGCCATTCCTCCAGCTCCCCGGATCTCAGCCGGAATCGCCACCATTTCCACGGGAAGCAGGAATGCCTCTCGGAATGCGTCGTTGTACGAGGTGCTGGGAATGAGGTCAAGCGCCACGTGCCAGGACATCAAATCCGCCTACAGGAAGCTCGCCAGAGTTTTGCATCCAGACGTCGCGGCGTACAGAAACGGAGACGACGGTAGGACGTCGTCCGACGAGTTTATGCGCGTGCACGCCGCGTATGTTACTCTCTCCGATCCGGAGAAGCGTGAGGTGTACGACGACTCGTTGTTCCGACGGCGGCGGAGCGAGGCTATTTCGCTGGATAGCTGTGTCTCCGGAATGAATGGACGGCGACGGAATTGGGAGACTGATCAGTGCTGGTAGTGAAGATTTTGAAGCTATAGACGGTATACTAAGCTTTATAGATCTGCACATAATGCTGTTAGCGTTAAAAAGTAGCGAGAAAGTACTTGTATATAGAGGTATGGATTTTGAAGAAATTGTGATGCGACATACTGCATTTGCATTATTTTCAATCAAAGTGCCTTTAGATCTTTAGTATAACCAAAACATATCCGATTTCCGAAGGATCTAGCATCCCGTGCATAAAAAACATTCGATCTTGTGTTAGTAGCTATGAAACTATTCCTTACTATAAATGTAAACGACTTTACTGAACAAATAATCCGTAGGCATATTTATAGAGACGTGATCGTACTAAAGTATACATGCTGCCAAAACTTTGTTGAATTCAAAGAACTGTCACGCAATTGCAAGTGCATAGCTGCACGCACTCTGTATGATTGCATTTGGTGTATTCCTGTAATTGGTTTCCTATTTTGTCTTGCTTGATTAGTTACAAGCTCTGATGTTGATCTTCAACTTCAATTTGTTTGCAAATTAGAATAATATTTTACAGAATCTCATTTTTCATTAATTTTGTGAGTCTATAAGCTGTGTTGTTTCTGAAGTAGTTTTATGCCCTTGAGTTGGGGAAGGTGATTCATTAATATAATCTGCATGGTCCATTATGTTAAATAAATGATCTGATTTGTTTTGTGTAAGATGAAATATCTATCTGGTTCAATGTTTGTGACTCTTCCCTTGATATTGTGTAACATGGAAAAGATAAGATGTTTGCTATACTTTTGCACGAGGCTTGCCTTGATGTTTGCGAAATAAGTGAAGTTGCTGTTCATTATTGATGAGATCCATGTTCTTATCTTAGAGAAATTGAGCTGAACATTTGGTTAACCAACTACAATTTCCTAAATATGGCTTCTTACAGTGTTCTATGTTTCTGCATTTTTCACAGAACTGAAGTGCATACTATATGACTTTACAAGACCAAACCATATCCATGTCTGCTGCAGGTAGACTGCCGAGGCAGGTGGAGCTTCAACTAATTCTATGGCCTTTTCAGGGCACTGGAGATCAGGACCCCGGAAAGTTTCAGGCATAGAAACTTTGGTCATTCTTGACGAGGAGAAGGCAGGAGCAAGACAATGCAGATGAGTAAGGAGAAGAGGTGCGTGAAACTTTTTCAATATTTTACCATCAGTTAAACCTATTTATCATTCTCGTTGTGTTGAGGATCAAGTGCATACAGAGCTTATATTTTTTATAGAATATCCCACGATCTTTTCCATATATCTTGATTAAATATCTTCGAAACAAACCTAGATGAATAAATTAACTGTGTTCTATGGAGAGAGATACATTTCAACCTCTTTAAACGATGGTCGTATTGTAAAAATCATTCATCTATTTCGCATAACTATGTTGATATAAACTTTGATTCTAACTGTGGATCTGTCCATGCATCTTTTACATTATCCTCAATGTGATTGTCTCTAATTTTGTTCCTTCATGATTACTTTATACTGATTAATTTAAGTGATATATATATATATATACAATGCGTTTCTTGCAGACTCAAGAATGTTAGGTGCCATGGATGATGACAGGAGGACTAAAAATCACTTGTCCTGATTGAAAAATACACAGGCCATTCGAATCCTTATCGTCGCCACCGCCTCGGGTCCCTTATTGCATCAGCTAAGTTAATTATCCTACTGAAATATCAAGAATGCTATAATTATACGCTTGTTCTTTTTAGCTGATATGATGATATCCTGTTGCAAAATTGTTGGCTGTCCACAAATTTCTTCAATGCTGTAGACACCATGAAACTAGTTCCAGTGTGGAAAATCCTTAAAAGCTTCGATGTTTATTTCTTTTGATTCTGACTTAACCATAATTGCAGGGCCCTCTTTAATCATCGCCCTGTTTGGAAACTCCAATGAAAATTAAGGTCAGTTTTGTGAGTCGATTGAATTCTAATTTTGTTTTTAATAATTCTTTTTACATGCAATGATACCGTGTTTGTTTAGCATTTTTTATCTGGAGTCTGTTTTTTTAAAAAAAGAAAAATTAGATATGAGAAAGTAAATATATACTTCTCGGTCATTAAAATTAGTTATAAAGAAAATTATATATTTTATTAAAAATAAATAAATGGCTGAATTATTTTTAAAATTTTAGGGCTTGTTTTAATTAATAATTAAAGAAAATAGAAATAAAATATAATAAAAATTATAAAGAAAATAATGGTTAAATTTTTTTTATTATTATTTTTAACTTTGTTAAAAGAAAATAAAAGTACATTTTGTGAACAGCCCGAAAATATACACTGTTATATATATTATGGGTCCGATTGTTTAGTGGAGTGAAATTTTAAATACGGGGTATTTTACTCTCAAAGATTTAATTATAATACCTAAATTATTTCTATGGATTAAATAATCATAAAATTAATTAATACTATGTTTGTTTTGTTTAATTAAATATAGGATAACATAAACTCTATTATAAATATTATTGGGATAAATTAATCATACTCATCTAAAATAAGATCAATTATCCTTAATTTGCTTATTAGTGTGGCGGATTTTAATCAATATGAGTTTTAATTCATTATAGTAAAGATGTGATTACATTGCATAAAATAATGTTATACACTCTAATCCTTCGTAAAGTAAACACACCCATATAGTATTATTGTAATGGATTATAGTATAATCAAATGCTAAAATATTTAATGTTTATTTTAATTGATTATTATATAAAACTATTGATTTTTTAAAAATAATCTTAATTATATTATTAAATTAGCTATTTATGAAAAAATAAAATATTTTTTTTTAACATTAATCTTATCTTTATCTTAATTAATATTTGTATTAAAATTTATAATTATTCTATAATTAAAAAAAAAAATGTAATGATTATATAATATATTGAAATTATATTTATGATTATAATTTTATTCGTACAAAGTAAACACATAATCTTAGTAAAATGGATTAATTATTTTTAATTAGGCCACACATCCTATCTATATTGTGTCAATGTGTTTTTCTTTTTTGGTAATATTAATAGGAAAAAAGGACGAGAAGGTAAGGGTGTATGATTTTTTTGATTGGGCGAAGATAATGAGTATTCTGGAGACGGTCAAGTTGTAATGAATTTTCAGAAGATATTTAGGAGAACAATAAAAATAAAAATAAAAATTCTAATATCTCTGAGGTCTACTGGTTCCCTTTACACAACAGCTGCACTCACTACCTTTCCAGCTTTCAATAATTCTTACATCATAATTTGCTAGTAAAATCAAATCTTTTTCAAAAAGAAGATAAGAGTACATAATCTCTTTTTATTTAATTTTTAAAAAAAGGAGTTGAAAAAATATTGATTAAAGCATTTGTTGATGTATTCTTAGGGATAAATTCAATCAAAATAAGATAGAAAATATCAACAAATACAGAGAAATGCTCGTCTATAAAAGTCGTGTTTCATGGGACCCCAAAAGCGTAAATTTGAAGGAACCTGAATTTCTGAGAACCGATGCTACACAAAGGGTACGTATGTATGACCCATTATTTCTGTCATTATTTATGTTTCTTGGTTATTAGAATAAGCTTTGACCTGGAGAAAATTCATTTGTTTGACATTTAAACAGTCAAATGGGTGTCCTAATTTACAAGAAGTTTAATAGCGTTTATCCGTTCCAGAGTGGTTAATTTAGCAGATTAAAAAATGTAATGAAAATGTAGTGCCACTAATTAATATCGTCGACAAAATTCTTAAATCAAAGAATAGAAACGAATGGATTGAATCAGTTTAGGTCCTACTTATGTCTATTATTTATTTTTAATCATTTGATGCATCCATATTCGTTTTGTTAATAAAAACCTGAATTATTTCGAAAAATACAATATGAAAATTATGATTTTTTTAAAAAATTTATTTCACACCCTAAATTTGAAGTCGCGTTTCTGTGAGGCGGAGGGAGACCGGTCCGCGTTGAAAGACATAAATTGCTATTAACTAATACTCCCTCCGTTCTAGATACCGTGTTTGTTACATTGTACATACGGAAGAGGAATATAATTAGTAGATAATTAATAATATATTAGTGAAAATAATTATTATATAATATAAATAATTATAAATTAAGATTAAAATAATTAATTAGTTTAATTAAAATTAAAAAAAATATTAAAAAATTTAAAATTAAATTAAAGTGTGTAATTATTTAAAACAAAAGTGACATAGTACGCGGGACGGAGAGAGTAGGTTTTTTTATTTATTAGTTTATTAAATAATATTTAAATGAGTTTCTGTTATTTAATCCACGTGGCGCGTGATTATTAAGTACACGTTGTAGTCAGAGCCATGCCGTTCGTGGGCCCCACAGGAACAGAATATGCAAGCTTTACAGCACCCTGCTTACTCGCCTTCTATCTATTTATGTGAATCTCCCATCCTCCTTGTATATATATATATATATACACATATACACACATAGACGTGTGTATCTACCATCCTCCTTCCTCCTGCATTCACCACCGCCTTCCGCTTACGTCTGAAGGAAGGCTTTAGTTCTCCTGTTGCTGCCTTGTGCTTCCATCTCTATACAGGCGTAATGGTGAATCTATGCAGTATTCTCTTCCTAATTCTCGGCAATTCGTTTATTGCAGGTGAATTTTGTAGAGTTATGTTTTTAAATTGCTTTCTGTTCTCTCTGATTATTTGAGTTTGTTGATTTCTTAGTTGTGAATGGTTTATTAATTGTGCTGTTTGTTTTGTTTCTCTGTGGAATTGGATTGAGTTGGTTTTGGTTGAATTAGGTAATAATTGCTTCTCGTTTGTCGATTATGCTGTTCGTTTTGTGTTCACTGTGGTCCTGTTGTTCGGGCGAATTCGTTCCTTAGTGAGGTGTGGAATTAAGGTTCTGAACGGCTCTTTTATGTTGATTCTGTGCAGGAGTTTATTCGTCGGCGACATTTACGGTTGTCAACAAGTGCGAGTTCACAGTTTGGCCTGGCATTTCGTCCAACGCTGGAATCGCACCGCTTCCGACGACTGGATTTTCTCTACAGAGTGGGGAAACTAAAATCATCAATGCGCCGTCGTCTTGGGGAGGACGTTTTTGGGGGAGGACTCACTGCAGCGAGGATTCATCGGGGAAGTTCTCCTGCGTAACTGGCGATTGTGGCTCCGGCAAGCTAGAGTGCGCCGGAGGCGGTGCTGCGCCGCCGGCAACGCTCGCAGAGTTCACTCTCAACGGTGATGCTGGTAAGGACTTCTACGACGTCAGCCTCGTCGACGGTTACAATCTGCCGATGCTGATTGTTCCCAAGGGCGGCTCCGGCGTCAATTGTACGAACACCGGATGCATAACCGACTTATTGAACAGCGGCTGTCCTTCGGATCTGCGCGTGACGAGCAACACCGGCCAAGGCATCGCGTGTAGGAGCGCGTGCGACGCGCTGCAGAAGGACCAGTACTGCTGTCGCGGAGCGTATGGCACACCGGACGCCTGCAAACCGACGCAGTACTCGCAGGCGTTCAAGAGCGCGTGTCCACACGCGTATAGCTACGCGTACGACGACAGCACCAGCACCTTCACTTGCACTGGGGCCGACTACACCATAACGTTCTGCCCCTCGCCCAACACGAGGTAACTTTACTTTACGCAAAATTCCGTCACGTCGGGTGAATAAATTCACGCCATTTCTGTCAAAATCGAACGTTAACTGATGGATCTCTGACACAAAATGATTAACCTCTTTCAAACCACCATTTTTAAGTTTTAAGTTCTTAAATTTGTATTTGGTGCAGTCAGAAATCATCATCTGGCGGAGGAGCTTCAGAATCGGACGGCAATGGCGGCAGCTCACCTCTTCCTTTAGACGGCAACATGGTATACGAAGGCGCGTTGGAGGCAAGCGCCGCATCATCCACGTGCGGGCACGTGGTGGGCGTTCTTGCCGTCGGCGTTGCGGCCTCAGTATGGCGGTTGTGTCATTTGCTTTGACAATTTTGGAAAGGTAGAGACGGTGGGCCCCCACGTATCTTGTCGGGCTCTAAGTGGGCTTCGTCACGTGTGGGCCACTTTCGGGCCCACGTGGCAGAAGCCCATATGCAGGAAAGGGTAAGGGATATTACGACGAAAATTAAAGTAGTGGTTTGGTCCTTGAAAAGATTAGAAATGTGATTGGGGAATACTATTATCATATTGGCAAGAGGTTTAATTGATTAAAATTGGGGGAGATGGAGACTCATTAGGTAGGTAGGGTTAGGAATATAATAATAATAATAATAATAATAATTTGAAATTATAATTGTTGTTGGTGTCAAGGGATTATTTTACATTTATGCCCTTCTGTTACATGTGCATGTTCTGTTGGATTGTGAGTGTCATTAAAAGGGACAGGGTGAAATGATGGGATAATCATTGATTGTAGATAATATAAAGTAACACAATAATTAATTATTAATGCTAATAAAAGATGTGTATTTATTAATGATGATTTGGTATACAGTCACTCAAAATAAATGCGCTATAGGTGTGTGGATGGTATATCATGGAACGTATCGACAGTCAATTCTTGAAAATGAAATACATTATATATACATATGTGTTTTTGTTTTTCACCATCAACCTTAATTGTATATTTATTGTCCTTTTGCATTCGTCGAATGACAATACTGATTCACTAGGCGGGCCAGATAACTTATTTAATAGGAATTTTTTAAAAAAAAGTTAAAACAAATACCTCATAAAAATAGACTGATAATGCCACGAACTTTGAACTATGTGTATGATTAATGTGGGATTGCAACATTTAGAGTGTGTTCTTTTGCTAGATTTTACTATTTATCAATTTATTTTTTTAAGAACATCAAATTAAATATTTATTTTTTATTTTTTATATTATATTAACAATAAATTTTATATTCAGAATATTACATGAATAATTATTTATATCGCATCATACAATTATTTCAATTCAAAATTTTTACTATTCAAATCCAACTTAAAATCCAGATCGCCAAACAAACACACCCTTAGTATGTCTTCGAGTTATACTATAATAACAAGAATACAAAAATAGTTTTGCAGCGGCTATCCGCTATTGTGCTGAATAATAACATTTGATTTCATAAAAAACTGTATTTATACATCACATTTATAAAATATGAATTGTCAGTTCATACGCTATTAGTAATCCAAATTTTATGTGGCCCTAACCATTTCCATCGAAGTTTCTATCTATATATATATACACACTAGTAGATGATTACACAATAATTAACACAAAGAGGTGAATTTATGAGCATTTACTTATGTGGGGATTAGCCTCTATTTTGATAGTCTTGAGTCTTCTAGCACAACACGACATGAGCCTAGAAATGGGCTTATTTGGATAAAGCCCACTCCAGAGACAGAACCTAACAGACCAATGGATTTTGGGCCCAAATAATTCATTATGGGTTACTCTTAAGTCTTAACCATTATCGAAGACTTTAAAATTACTTACTGTACTTGTTAAGACCTGCAAGTAGTTGCTGAATATATTAATATTAATTTAACAATGTTATTGAGTAAATGGTGTCTGATTCAGACATGAATATTTTAGTATCACTTTTGTAATAACGTAATTAGTCCAAACTTAATTGAGATATATATATGGATAGGATTAATTAGTGGACTCCTAATTGCTATCAACTCACCAATTGATATTTTATTTTCTTAAAGCTACCTCTTAATTATATATATATATAACCTCGTCTTAGTTTTCTTTTCCTTCTCCTATCAAATCCATAGGTATGAATCAAGTGTTCAGTAAGCCAGCATGATGCTGATTCAGTCAAGTCAATGTAGTGCTAATTGGACTATATATATATATATATATTTTATAGGGGTGACTAATATATACATTTATAAATATATATCCATATTTATAATACAATATATATATTAATATATGTTATTTTATTGCATATCATATGTATAAACATATGCTAGTCACGTATATGACATATGTTGATCCGGACAAATCAACACCATGGTGACTTGGCTGGGCTAGTACAGATTTGCAACCCAAGTCCATGCACACACAATTTTATATATATATATATATATATATGTATATGTATTCTTAATGTGTCCTTAAATTGTAATAAGACAAGAAAACTTAGCTAAGAAGAAAGTGTGTGTCTGCATGTGTATAGTGCAATGCTACAATACTTTGTAAAAAAGTTGCCAATTCTTCAGTTTGCTTACGTCCACACACACACCCGCATGTGTGTGTGTGTTCGATGTTCACATAAAAGATACACATTGATCAGTGTTATAGTTTTATTTGATCTCATATTTTATTATTTTAAAATGTTATTATTTTATTTGTATGATAACTACAAGATAGTATGTTAGAAGATTATATATATATATGTGTGTGTAGAACAATCAATATTAGAATGTAGATTGAATTATTTATTTATTTATTTTTATAGTGTAATTGAAAAGCAGACATTTAAAGTACTGTATGAAGTCGATCAGGTCAGTCAACCAAAAGATATATTGTGAGTGGAAGATGATTGTATAATTAATTTAATTTTTATTGAGAAAGAGAAATATATTGTCGTAATAAAAGATGAAAAAGCGAAGAAGAAGAAGAAGAAGATAACGAAAAATTAAAAGTAAAAGTAAATGTAATGGGAAAAGATAGAGATATTGACATACAGATAGATAATTAATTAAATAAATTAAATAGATAAATAGACAGAATTATTATTATCCTAAGGCTACTTTACACAACAGATAACAACATGTATTATCTCATCTCATCTCTTATATATCCCACCTTTCTTAATTTCACACACATTCATATCATTAAAAATTAATATAAATACGGGAGATATTACCTTCGACCGAGAGTTTATATATCTAGTGCGCTACTTTTGGATAACGGATACAGTTCTCACGTCATAAAATATATATATATATATATATAGTAGTGGTGTGTATTTTATGTAATATTATTAATTTAAATAAATGTAAATTTGAAATGATTATACTATTATTTAATAAATAAATAAATGATGAATATTTATTTATTTATTTGGGGGAACTAATTAAAGCATCATACCGAAAGAAAAGAATATTTATATCAAACGACAAACATTCCAAAGGTGATTAGCACAACACCACTATACACGCACATCATTATACGTGCATACATATAGATATTTTTATTTAATTGAATTTGAATATATATATATATATATACATTTGCATGGATATATGCATGCAAGCGGAGTAAGCAGAGGCAACTTTTGCGTCATTCTAACCCACCATTAATTAATAATTTAACATATAAAGAATACCAGATTTGTTGTCCATCGAGCACTTTTTATTTTGTTAAACATCAAATTAAAATAGTATTTAAATTAATATTTAATTTGAAATCAATTTCAAATTATAACAAAAACATATTTATATATCCCCTTATCCAACATATATATATATATATAGATGTATATAATATATACGATGACTATTAGAATGTTGATTTGACCAAATCAACAAATTAATATGAAATAATTATCAAATTATCACACAAACAGATACTATATTATTAAATTAGTACATTACCTTAAAACAATTAGTAAACTTTGAAATAATAAATGTTTTGGCATTATTATATTTTTAATAAACATCTTAATTATTTGCAAAATTCTCTAAACATGGATCTAGTCTAAACTATACTAACATATGCTGATATATACTACTCCCTCCATCCACAAACTAATGTCCTACTTTTCTATTTGGAACGTCAAAAAATAATTGTCCTCTTTCTAGTTTTATAATTAAAATTTACTTTTTTATTCTTACTTTATATATCTTTTTTATATCTATACACAAAATAAAGAACTATTTTGTCAATTTACAATAAAAAAAACTAATTATCTAAAAAAGACGTATAAATATCACTTAGGATATTAGAAAATTGACGGAGGATTGACGGAAGGAGTATATTATAATATCCCTATCAAAGAATCACTCAAATTCCATTCCTTCTTTCATCATACAATTACAATATTGGAAAATATATAATTCACTTTTCATTTCTAGAATTATTATTATTATTTTTTTCACTTTATTCTCTCTCTATATATATGTAGCAATCGAAGCTCAAGAAACCCCCTTCACTCTCACTACATTCAACAGCCAAGTTTATATATCCATGTCCAACTAAGTTTATTTTTCCCCAAATTTAAAACCCTAATTTTGCCCCAGCTAATTATAATTTTTTACTCCCCCAAATGCCCCCTCTTTCTTCTTCTTGTTATGTGTTTCACTTAATAATAATAATCATTCTCACATTTTTTCTCATCACCAAAGGTACGATTTTTACAATAGTCCATCAATTCATTCATGGAATTTTATTCATAAATAAAATTGAGTTACTTACGAAATTATATAATTTATTATTTTTATTCAGTTAGTTTGGGAATTACAATTACGATAGCAAACCAATGCGACTACTCCGTCTGGCCGGGAATTCTCCCCAACGCCGGAAGCTCCGGTCTGGGCACCACAGGTTTCCACCTCCCGGCCCATGATACCCGGTCCTTCCAAGCCGAACCGGGATGGTCCGGCCGGTTCTGGGGACGAACCGCCTGCTCCTTCGATTCCGGCTCCGGCCGGTGCGCCACCGGCGATTGCGGCACCAACCAGATTGAATGCAATGGCGCCGGCGCGGCTCCGCCAGCCACCCTAGCCGAGTTCACAATCGGATCCGGCGCGCCGGATTTTTACGACGTCAGCCTAGTGGACGGCTACAATTTGCCGATGGTGATTGAGCCCGGCGGCGGCGGCTCCGGCGCCTGCGGCTTGACCGGGTGCGTGGCGGATCTGAACCGGATGTGCCCGAACGAGCTGCGGGCAGGGGACGGGCAGGGGTGCAAGAGCGCGTGCGGGGCGTTCGGCCTGCCGGAGTATTGCTGCCGGGAAGAGTACGGATCGCCGGCGACTTGCCGGCCGTCGGCGTATTCGGAGATGTTCAAGAATGCTTGCCCTCGTTCTTACAGCTACGCATTTGACGACGCCACCAGTACATTTACCTGTACTGGATCCGATTATACTCTCATCTTCTGCCCTTCCCTTACAAGGTACTATTATTCATTTATTTAATCAATTAATTAATTAATTATTGACACATCCTTAATCTTCTCAAACACCATTATCTACTAATTAAAATTACAATTTATTTTTTTTTTAAGAAAAAATTAATAAGCTTAATTAGTGCTGTCATTTTCAATAACTACCGTAAGCCTATGTTAACTGAAAAATATAGGAATTAGTATTTGATAGTAATATTTTTTAACAAATATATATTTGATGAGATTTTTTCTTAAAAAGAATTACTGAATAATACTAAAAACTCCATAAATATTTATATTTAACTGTTTACTCATGTATAAACTTTTGAAAGTTTGATATTATTAAAAAAAAAAAGAAAAAAAATCTATGTAGATGAAGCAGAAAAATTGTTATTAATAGAAAAAAATATATATAGTGAAGCATTTATTCATATATTGTAAAAATGTTTTAACAAGAAAAATCAACTAACGGATTGACCCGGGGAGGGTGATTCTTGAGTGAATCCTGACCGTGAATGTAGATTGATTTCTCATGATGAACGGTTCTGATTAACCGGGAGCAGTGGTCCAAGCAGTGCTGGCAAAGGGGGAGAATCTTTTTAAGTGCATTTGCTTTGTGAGTAAATTGTAATATAGAAAGGATCTTTTTTTCTCCCCCTTTTACAAATGTGTATCCAATTTAGCTTTTTCTTGAAGATCACATCTTCGTTTTCCCTTTTTTTTTTTTTTACAATGTCATAATCGACACATTTACAACACATGATTGAGTATTCACTCCACTAATTGGGTGCTTTTATATAAAGATTTCAAGTGTAATTTATAATAATAATAAGAATAATTTTAGTAATGCTGATTTCACTGTAGTTAATTTTTTCTTTGTATTTTTCTGCAGTCAGAAATCTTCAAAAGACTTTCCGGGGACGGCCGGAATTCAGCCGCCGGCGGCGGTGGACGACTCTGATTCAGGGCCGGAAGATGACATCACGTCGTGGCTGTCAAATTTGGTGTCGGGAGGCCCATCGAGATCAAGATTAGGAGAATTGCCATTGGTATTTAAATATTTCACTTTTAATATTTGTACAGGAATAATAGTTTTCACATTACTGTTTCTTCAATTATAGAACGAATGAAGGATTGATTGAATTAGGATTTGTAAGCCACACAACAGATTTGTGATTTATTACATTGCTACATTTATGTGGAATCTTGTGTTTATTGAATATTATTGATTTTGTTTAGATGTAAAAATATCAAGATTCGAGTTTTATGAATGAGTTGGTTGATTGATTGCTTATGGTTGGATTTGATTGTGTTTTGAATTTTTGTTATTTTCTAATTTTTTTAATGAAAATTCAAAGTAATATATATAATGCTTTAGACATAAAATATCTTTTAGGTGTAGTAGTTTTTCTCTAAAAAAAAAAAAAAAAAAGGTTTAATGGAAATTGCATAGTGTAAAAGTGATGATCAAAATATGTGAACAGCAAACCTTTGGTGACGGTGTATCTATAAGTAATTTTTTCTAAAAGGAAAAATAAATAAATAAATCATATCATGCATTTATTTATTTATGTTTTATTCAAAATTTATGTAAATTATATTATATAAACAAAACACTTAAAAATACACTTGTAATTAGTAATAATAATAATAATAATAACTCCATGCAATGAAGTAGCAGGCAGCATCTGGTATCTTGGATAAACCATTTCCTCAAATTTTGAATTCCGTAATAATTTCTATGTAACAAACAAAGTAGTTGCTCTCTAAAGAGGAAATTAGTTCAAAAACTGACTTCTTACCACCACCATTACCAGCACTTGAAAGGATTGAGATTCCATTTCCTAAGCAAATTAGAAAGTAAGTGCAGGGTAGTATGGATATGCAAACAAACCTCAACCTCCAAAGCCTACAACTCATCTTTAAGATCCTCATCAACAGTAGCCTCTTCTGCTGCTTCCTTCCCGCTCTCTTCACTTTCGGGTTGTTCCTCTGCCGTGTCATCTTCCTCCTCCACTGTCGCATCAGGGCTAATCTTGAGGCTGCTTTTAACCGAGCTGTAAATCCGAGACGCAAAATCCTTGGGATCGCTCAGCATAAACCCGCTCTCCATAAGCGCTGTTTGGTACATTAGTTGGGCTGTTTGCTTCACACTCACGTCCTGTGTGGCGTCGTCAACATATTAGTGTCACAATATATATATAATACATATATATATAATGGGTCGAAAATATACCTCGGGGTCTTTGACAACTCTCTCGCGGAGCTCCTTGATGATGGGGTGTCGCGGGTTGATCTCGAGGACCCTCTTCCCGCGCATGTAAGCCTGCTTGTTGGCGTCCGATAGGGTTTGGGACTGCATGATTCTTTCCATGTTTGCGCTCCAACCGTATTTTGAGGTCACAACCACACAAGGGGTGTCGGCCAGACGGTTGCTGATCTTCACCTCGTCGACATTCTCGTTGGCGAGAGCGCCCTTCCACCATTTAGTCAGCTCCTTGAACGACTCCTTGAGTTCCTTGTCTTTAGGATCCTTTCCGAGCTTCAGCCCCTCTTTCGATACATTTTGGAACTTCTTGTCTTCGTAGTCCATCAGATATTGCATCAAGTATTCGTCTACTGGATCGGTGAAGAAAATAACCTGCAAATATAAATTCCGTTCGGTTTTTAAAATATAATTGCAACGGAAAACTTGGGGCCGTTGGAACAATGGGTGGTTTTTGAAATTACCTCGTAACCCTTCTTTGTTAGCCTCTCGAGGAATGGAGACTTCTCCAACTGTTCCTTGCTCGTGCCGGTGATATAAAAGATATCCTTTTGTCCGGATTTCATTCTCGAGATGTATTTGTCCAATGAAGTTAGTTTACCTTCGGATTTAGAGCTGCAGAAGCCGAAGCGCATCAAGATTATCCATTGTAAACTGAAAAGTGTAGCTCATGAGCAAGAAATCATATGTTGTTCTTACGTTTCAAATCGAAGAAGTTTTGCCAGACGGTTTCGGTTGGTTGCATCCTCGATGATACCAAGCTTAATTGATTTGCCGAATTCGTTCCAGAATTTGGCATATTGGCCCTTCTTCTCGTTGCTCTCGTCAGACTCTTCAACGTCTGCAGACACATCAAAGTTCCATATTATTATGTTTAATACTGAATGCATAACATGAAGGCCATAATGTATTAGAAAGACATACCTTTCTTATCTGTGTTCGATTCATCAGGGTCCTCTTCAGCAAGCTTCCGGATCATATCAAGGGCCTTGCGGATGAGTTTCTTTTTGATCGTTTTCAAGCTGTTGTGCTGTTGAAGCATTTCTCTCGAAACATTCAGGGGTAATGTGTCGGAATCAACAAGACCCTGTCATACAGCACAAATAGTTAGAGAACTGTAACTTCATAAGTTAGAATTGGAGGTGTATGTGTTTGGAAAAGGAAAGGTTACCCTCAAGAAGTTCAAATACTTGGGGAGAAGCTCATCGAATTCATCGGAGATGAAGACCCGCCTGACGTATAATTTTAAGTTGGATTTGTTTGAATTGTAGTAGCTTTCATACAAATCGTGAGGAGCCTTGGGCGGGACAAACAGCACAGCCTTGAACTCGACATCACCTTCAGCGGTAAAGTGGCTCCACGACATAGGCTTCTCATCACCAAAGTCCTGCGAGTAGAAAGTATAAACCGTGTTTGATGAAAATTGATGCAAAGCGACAATAAGACGCAGACGTTAGATTAAATAAGGTGTCCACCTTGGCCAAAGAGTGATAGAACTTAATATATTCTTCCTCTGTCACCTCCTTTGGACTCCGAAGCCATATAGCCTTCATATCGTTCAACAGTTCCCATTCATATGTTGTTTTCTTGACTGTCTTTGTCTTTGGCTTCTTTTCCTCATCCTCTTCTTTCTCATCTTCTTCCTCACTTTCTTCAGAAGATTTGTCGGCTGTCAGTGAGATCGATAAGCTGAGAGATGAGTATATGCTAGAAGGCATGCCAGCTTTTTAATTACATGTAGCAAATAATCGACAACTGTACACGCATAATAAGGGAGAGTTAGCATGAGCAGTAGACATACTTGCTTCCTCCTCATCACTAGACTCATCTTCATCGGCAGGAACCTCCTCATCAACTTCTTTGCTAGCCCAGAGGTATATGGGGAAGTTAATAAATTCAGAGTATTTTTTCACCAATTCCTGCACCAAGTTATTTGGGAATTGAAAACATGTTCAAGAACTGAGAGTAAATAGAAACAAAATTAAATTATAGAAAGGAACATAGGAAACTTAAAGTAATCAAAATCCAAGTTCATCAAAGATTCCAACTACTCCGTTGGACATTCAATTGACAACCCCCAAAAACATAGCTCATTAGCTCCGTACATCACCATATATGTGAGTTGTACATGAATTTTAAGTACCAAAGAAGTTAACCAAACAACTAATGACATAATCAACAATACAGTACAATAACTTAAGGAACATCAAGTTATGGAACAGAAGGCATCGTTGCACGTTAAATTAGAGATAGAGAAAATGCCACTAGCAGCAAGAAGTAATAAAAGGAAACGACAGATGAATGCATTCACAATTTCAGTAACAAAGCCAACCTTGAGCCAAATAGAGCAAATGCAGGGTCTCAATAGATTAATTCTTCCTAAATGTTGTAATTGGTAGCATCTCATGCACTGGCTAGGACTATTATGGTATCTCACAGAATAAAACATAGTTATACAAAGAACTGTTAAATAAGATAATGTTCCATTATTAACCAACCTTCAACTTGAATTCATCCAAGTATTCCTGAGCTTCATCTCTGAGATGTAACCTAATTTCAGTTCCCCTGCCAAGTGGCTCATTCCAGTTATCTTCTGAAATGGCAAAAGCTCCATCAGCCTTCGACTCCCATACATACCTGAGGAACAAAAGACACACAGCCATGTTAACAATAAATTAAATCAAGAAACATCCACAGAGAATAATTTTGGCAACATAATTTTGGAAACATACTGTTTATCATCATTATGTTTGCTGATTACTTCAACGTAGTCTGCCACAAGATATACCGAGTAAAATCCAACACCAAACTGCCCAATAAGGTTCAGATCACCACTTGTCTGCATTTTTTCAACAAATGCTGAAATTCACAAGAGCAAACAATCAGCTAAAATTCTCACATAAAGGGCATCCGGTCTGAAAGGTTCAATTGTAACCATCAGATTTGCTGGACATACCTGACGTGCCAGACTTAGCAATGGTTCCCAAATTCTTGATCAAATCCTCCTTTGTCATTCCAATACCTCTATCACGGATAGAAAGTATCTTCTTTTCCTTATCCAATTTGATCTGCATTTATTGAAATAAAGAAAAACAGATATTCAGCTACTAAACTTCCAAACTTCCAGAGAAATTAATGTATTCCGGGAAGAGACTTCCACACTTAATTTTAATCTGTCGAGCATTTTAAGACAGTGATAATAGCGTGCGCTGCTACAACTCTATGTTATCAACAACCAATAGTGTTCAGTTATATTATGGCATTTAGTGTTATCATAACTAAATTGAACAGAATATGTAACTCTAGAAGTGTGAGGCAAAATGCGATGGTCCTAATTTGTAAGAACAGAATAACACCAACCTCTAATGCATCTCAAAACTTCAAAAAGCTAACTCAGGTTATACAGTGTCTCCATACCTGAATTTCGAGCTTTGTATTGTCACCTTCACCCAAAACTTCTTTGTCAGTGAGTGAGAGGAACCTAATCTTGTCCAGCGCCTGTATTAATCACAATACGTAAGCATCTAGCCTCAGATCGTTACTAAATAAAACGCTAATCAATAAAAACTCACATCAGACGCATTGGAAATCAACTCCCTCAAGAAAATATCCTTATTGCTGTAAAGCGAGTTGATAATAATGTCCATCAGCCGTGACACCTCGGCCTGGAACTCGAACTTCTCCGCATTCGCACGGAGCGATTTCCTCGACATCGACTCAGCTTCTCTGAATCACAACAAAACTTAATCAACATAAATTACGGCAGACTACACATTAACCAATCCAAATCAATACAAACACATCTCAAGCACCTCTGGACGACATCAGAATCCGTAGACAGTCCGTGTGAAACGCCGGCGATCTTCTCTTCCACCTTAGGCGGATCTACAGGCGCATCGGAATTCTCCTCCGCATTTGCCTGTATTTTCCTACCTACAAAATCTCATTCCAGAAATATAACAATCAAATTCACCAGAACCTCCACCACAAAGCTCAACAACAGACGAATTCCTCAAAAAAGGTCAGATAACACCAAAAAAAATGCAAACAATCAAACCGCAATCAAATTACCTTGATCTGGAAGAAGAAACAGCAGACATAACAGAAAAAGCACGGAAGGGATCGTCCACTTCCTCATTGATGGCGATTCGGTGATATAACCCTCGCTCAGATCGGCTAAATTCGAATTACTTGAATATCGAGTGAGAGTTAGAGTGGGCGGAGGAGCTGCAGCTTATATAGTGAGATTTTGGCAGACACGAAGAAGAGCGCTTCGATTGGCTAGATCTTGCCAGCGTGGCGAATCGGACGGTCGGATGGAGTATTGGTGCCACGTGGAACAATTTAATTGGGCTTTGTTGGCTCCTGAGACGTGGAGCTGTGAAGGGTTCTGGAAAGCTCTATAGAGAAGACCACGAAGATGACTCGGGTTTTCTACGCTACGGCGGGTCTACGTAGGCCGTAAAAGTCTATGTGCTCCTTTTCGTGGAGGTTACACGTGGCGATAAATGATTGGATTTAGACTTATGACAAAACATTCGTTACGCACCACCGCCGGTTGCATTTAGAGTTTAATCGGATTGTTAGAAATTTTTTTTGTATTATTAAATTATCTATTTCAATAAATTATTAATTATTATTATTATTATTATTATATCAGATTATGTTCACAAATATTTTTCAAACATCATGATCCACTCTATTTAGGAAAATTTAAATATATAAACACTTATAGTATGATTAGTTATACAATGCAAGTACTTTAAAGATAATACAAAATTTGAATGAAAATAAATATTAAATATAATTTAATATGTAATAAATGTTATGTCTTATAAAAAGAATTTTTTAATATAAAAATATATATATATTAAATATGTTTATAATTTTTTTTATTTGAGCACTGTTAACATTTTGGGCTTTAATTTATTTTTGCAAATTTATTGGGCCATTTGAGCCCTGAATAAATTAAAGAAGAACCAACAAATAGCCCAGTCGATTGCTAAAATTTGTAAAATAATAATAATAATGAAAAATAGATTCGCGTTCGCATTATTTTAGTACAAAATAATTTTGTATCATAAAGTGGCTTTTTACCGTTCAAAGTATATTGACTATATTTTTTTGAATTTTGTTTAAAAAAAAAAATTAAATTATATCAAAACATTGCGTAAAACTACATTTTTCAAATTTTTGGCTAAGTTGATTTTTTTTATATAAAAATTTATTTTGTTACTTTTAATCAAGAAAATATTACATCAAAAGTATTATTTAATTTAATTTTTATTATTTTAAAAAACTCACTAGAAAGAAACTTGAAGCCAAAGTAGAAAACTATCACGATTTTAGGCAGTAGTATTATATTAAGTGGTAGTGGGTGGGTGTTTGATTATGTTTCAATTTTTTTTTGATTTTTTCAAATATTTTATAAACAGTGTTTACTTATAATTTTACATTTATATATTTTATTTAATATTTAAAATATTAAAATATTTATATAAATAATATATATTATTTATTTATATTATACTATAAATTTTATTATTTGTTAAATAACATCTTTATTGAAATACATTTACTTAAAATGTATTTTAAATTGATATTGATTAAATATATTATATTATAACTATACTACTAAACAATAATATCAAACATTAGTTTTAATTGGATTGGATTTAAGTTTTTTAGTCAAATTTAATTTAAATATTATTTTGATTTGATAATATATGATTTTTTTTTTTATTTCTTTTTTAACCGTGTTAGCAAAACAGTATAATATTGATTTTGATTTGGACCAAAATCAAACAAATTCATTACAAAAATATATATTGCTAATACGATTTAATGAAAAATACATAGAAATACAAATAATACTCCCTCCGTCCCATAAGCAAGTACTCATTTGTTCTTTTGCACTTAGTTTTTAAAATATTAGTATTATATTGAGATATAGTAGGAATAAAGTAGAAATGACTAAAATAACTTTATTAGTATTAGTATGTGTGATATAAAGGTAATGATATTTGTGTAATATATTGTAAGTTGTAAGGGTATTTTTAATGTTAGACAGACAATACAATTACTTAGGAAATGAATACTTTGTTATGAGATGGACTAAAATAGAAAAATAGATACTTTGTTATGAAAATGAGGGAGTATTCCGCCTCATAAGTAAGTATACTTTTATTTTTTACACGTAGTTTCAAGTATATTAATATTACATTGATATCTAGTATGAATAAAATATAAATGACTAAAATAACTTTATTAGTATTTTTTGACGTAAAGTTAATGACATTTGTGTAATATATTGTAATTTATAAAGGTATTTGTAGTGTTAGGTAAATAGTACAATTACTTAAAAAGAAAATAGATATTTTGTTATTAGACATACTAAAATAGAAAAATAAATACTCTCTCCGTCATCCAATTGTGTGTTTATTTGATCGGGCATGAGTTTTAAGAAAAATATGTAAAAATAGAAATTTTTATTTTTTTGGTAAAGAAAAGTGATACTCCCTCCGTCCAGCTAGAAAGTATATATGTTTCTATTTTGGGACGTCCAATTACAAAGTAAACATTTCATTAAATACCTTACTTTTTTCCACAAATACCCCTATTTTACATCACATCATTACTTTTACACCAAAAAGCAAGGGCAAAAATGTCATTACACTACTTTTAACTACCCACTATAATTAAAATATCATTATTTCTTAAACACAATTGTATACTGTTTTTTGTGGACAGATGGAGTATTTTTTTACTAAAAAATGAAATGGAAATAAATTTAATGACAATAAAAAAATAAAGTAAGAATAGATTTGAACGGGAAAGAAGTAATTTGTTATGGAATAAGGGAATATATAGAAAGTGAAAGGACAAAATGGAAGTAAAAAAGTCCATATGTTTATTTGTGATTTGAATGTTTTGAATTAATTATTTAAATATGATAAACTGATCCAATAATATATGATTCTATATATAAATACATTTAAAAAAAAAAAGTTTGATTTTGAATCGACACTAAATTGACATTATTCAACAAGCATATAGTATTTTTTTTCCTTATAAAAGTAATATCAATGTATTATTTAAACAAAAAAAATTAAAAATAAATTTCAAATTAAAATATTATCTTGATGTTACCAAGTATATATATGTACAAAAAAAATAAATTGTAAGGAATATCTTGGTGGTACGAAAATTTCGTAATCTTGAAGTCAAGATTTAAATCCCGAAGCCTCAAGATATTGTATGTCACACAAATAAGTCCCGTAAAAAATAGTCCGGTGGTATGAAAAGTCAACACGTGATCGTTAGATCATGAGTACTTTCAGGCAGCTATTGTCCATTTTCACATTATAAAAATAAATAAATAAATACTTTGAGTAAGTTGATCAAATAAATTGATGAAATCAACTAAAGCATATAAACATAGAATTTTGAAGGAAAAAAAAAAAAAAAAAAACCACACACTTGCTTAAACACCAAGCAATCGACAGTACAACTCTCAACGGCATAATTAAGATCACTATATAAATTATTTAACCATTACATAAAGTGCTAATTAATACAAAATTAATTAATTAGCCAAATTAAGCCAAAGAAACGTTAGTTAGGTCATATGGACACGTGTCCCAATGACTTTGAACCAAACTCCGCTCTATCCGAGCCAGGGACCAGAACTCCAGATAAATATTCTCCGTTTATTTTGATCTAATAACGGTATCGATTTATTCGAAGTCCCGGTCCAAGGACCAGCTGCAGAATGGCCGGCGGACGAATTAGAGAAGGAAAATAACAATAAAATAAAATAGTGGCTATGGTAAGATGGCGCGTACCTTTCACGCGTCAAGAAGCACAACAAAAATGCAAAGTTAGAAATGATGGGAAAGGAGATAAGCTCAAAGCCACAGAACCCTAAAACCCCCACAGTACTCTTTTCTTATACTCAATCGTTGCTCCCAAGGCACTAATTTCATGTTTCAACGAATTCCAACAGCCGATCCGGTGTGTTTACCGAGTTCCTGCGTGCGCATGTTGATCTAGAAGGTTCGATTTGTATTGAACTGGATTGGATTGGTTTGGATCGATGGCGATTTCCGATGCAGTGGTGGGGAATTTAACGACGATATACCTGGCGGTGATCGCGGCGACTAAGGCGTACGGTTTGGCGGTCGGTCGGAGCTTCAGCGGCGGAGGTGTGCTCGTGCTATCGACGGCGATCGTGGCGGCGATCCTCATCGCGAGTCTCGCTTGGGACGTGTGGCGCAAGGCGGCGCAGGCGCTCTTCGCCGCGCGAGAGCACAGCCACGAGATGTGCCGCGGAGGCATCTGCTGGCACGGCGTCGCCGTCAAGTCGCCGGCGTCTCAGGTCCGTTTCCGCCTCCCTCAGCATCATAATAATCCTTGAATAATCCGATCAACTGGTGATGGTGATGGTGAATTTCGTCGAATCAACGCGACGAAATTCAAGTCGATTATCATTCTCTGAAGTCTCAACTCCTTGGAATCGGTCAAAACATGGAGATTCTCCCAAATTTCTTCTCCTTTCCTTGTATGAACAGCGCCTTTTTCTCTGTTTTTTTGTAGATTTGAAATCAATCTCCGTTTTGCAACACTGCAAAAAACATGCTGCTATGTAGCATATAACTTGCAGCAAAATCTGTGGCTGAATAACGATCCAAGTATATAGCAGAGTTTTGGATTGAGATTTTGAATTTCCAATTCATTCTGTTCCATGAAAAATTCTGTATCACATTTGTATATAAATAAAACGAAATGCATTGTTGTGTGTAGCAAATTAGAAACGCTTATGGATCTCCTCCTCTGCTATTTCAATATTGTAAACTTTTTAACTTGATTTAATAATATATAAAAATAGATTTATTTTTAACTTAGATATTTATATCTTGAAAATTATGGAGGATTGTTGATGTTGATGTTGACCATTTATATTTGACTCATATGTTTATTTCAATTGGGATTTGGAAGTTGGAACCACATTTACATTTGTAGGTTTTGCAATTTAAAGAACCATTCCATCAAATGAAATGATTGCGCCTTAAATCCATGCTGACTAAGTCATAAAGGACAATTAGGAATTTTAATTTGGTCAAAGTAAATTGATCCAACTATTTTACCAGATCCGTATATGGGTAGTAGTAGTAGTGTTGAGTAGATAAATCATAATAAGTAATTAAAAAAAATTTATTAGTAAAAATAATTATTTAAAAAATAATTATAAATTAAGATAAATAAATAGTTTAATTAAAATTAAAAAATTTAAAATTTAAATTATGATTAAAATATAAATTAAGTGAGACTGACAAAAATAAAAAATAGGAACAAATTATATAGACCAAAAGAGTATTAATTATTGAAAATATATAATATAATATATTTTGTTATTATTATATAAATTATTTTTACAAAAATACTTTTTAATAGAATACGAAAATAACAATAATAATCAAAACGAATATATTGAATTGAAATGAGATATAATGAATATGATTCTCTTTTCTTAAAAAATAATACTACATCCGTCTCACAGTAACAATACTGTTTATATTTTATATTATAATTTACTTTACAAATATTATTATATTTTTATTATTAAAAATTAATTTAGATATTTTTGTATTTTTTTATTTATCCTATATATTAATATAATAATTAATATTCAAAATCAATATGCAAAAAGTACATGATAATGTTATTATAAGACGAAGGTAGTATAATATTTTTCCTTCAATATTAAAACTATAAATTTATTTGACGTAAAATTTAAAAGAATAATAATATTTTAATTACAGTGAATAATTAAAAATAATATAAAAATAATTTTATCTTTATTTTTTATTGTAAAAATAATAACGTGATAAAAATATAAGTATTTATAAAAAAATATGATCTATAATTACTAAAAAATAAATAATTATTTTATAATTGAACAACAAAAAATGAAAACATATATACTTTGTGAAGGAGATGAGGCAATGCTACATTTTATTTGGAATATGGCAATATGTTAATAATTTATAAATTATATTTCAAAAAAAAAAAAAAAAACTTGATAATTTCCATCGAATCGAGGACAAAGAAAATTTTAAATGAATCTTACATATAAAATAATAAAAAATTAAATTAATTAATATTACTTAAATATGTTTAAAATTAATAACGTTATCAACAATTATAGAACATGATCAAATGAAAAATATATCTTATCAGGTGGAAGGATTATAAAATTACTACAATTTCGGAAAGCAATAATAAAGAGAAATTGAACAAACAATTGCTTCTGTTTCATATATCCCAAAATTATTATTAATGTAAAAACCTTTTCATTTACACTATTTTCTTTACAATTTTTAATGCAATTTATAAATCATTTCATATAAGAAATATGGGCAAACTGATAAAATAATAGTAATAATAAAACTAGCAAAATTGCACTGTCTAAAATACAAAATAGGACAGTGTTCGTATAATATATGAATAAAATATTTATTATTTTTATTATATCATATATATTAAAAACACTTGGATTACAATCATTAAAACGAATATGGATTGAGTGCCGAATTAATTGTACTGAATTATGCTGAATTTGTCTTTTTATTCCATTTTTTATTATCATGCAATATATTATTTTCCTACAAATGAACATATTTTATTAGTGGGTTTGATATCTATGTATTTCTATATTTACATTGTAAAAAAACATGCTCTTAGTTCCATTAAAAATATCTTTATATTTAAATAATTTACTCTAAAAATTTTGTTGTATTAATATTATAAAAAACTACTAAATATATTTGTCTTTTTTTTTCCTTCAATTTGTAATAAAATAATAACTTACAAATCATTCATTTAATAAATTTTTAGACAAATTATTACCTAAGTTTTATAAAACAAAAAATTATAAAATAATTGATCAATTATTTTATACAAACTAAATTATTTGAGACATTATCTCTTTTATTTGTATAACATTTGTTTACCAAAAAGAATAATATGTATACTTTACTTTAGCATAAGATTCTCACGCTATAAATAATACTCTCTCAGTGGGTGTGTTACCGTAAATACAAAAATCTAAATAAAGTATAATTAATAAGTAAATAAAAAATATATCCGTAAAAATAATTATTATTTAGTAAAAATAATTATAGTAAATAGTTTAATTAAAATTAAAAAAATTATAAAATTTTAAAATATTTTATAATTTATATTAAAAAGTGCAAACAGAGTATTATTCAATTCGCCCTTAAAAGAATCTGGACTCAAAATCCAACGCACCTAATTGGCCATCTCAACCAAACTGCATCCTAATTTGTTGCAGCATGTATGTACTATTAAACCCAATAATCACCTTTTTGATATTCAATACAGATTTATTTTATTTTATTTTTTTTTAAAAAATCAGATCAACATTTCCATTTCACCTCACAACAGACTTCTCCAACTACAGGATATCATTTTTATTACAAACATAATCATCAAAATACCCGCAACCTAGATCATATCCTATAAATTTCTTATGCAATTTATGCATCAATTAAATCCAACACACAAAAAAAAAATAGACACACACATATATATATAATATGAAAATGAATATCAATATATTCCACATATCAAAAACGCCTTATATTTTACCTAAGTGCATAAACTGAAGAATTGAAAGATGCAAACAGCAAATACCCAATTTGATGGTTCAGAAATGACACCTTATTAGCATAAATGGCCATGCATATGTATCCAGTTTCCATGCAAAACAGAAGATAAAAATGATCTGTGGGTGAGGATAGGCAAAAAACTGACTAATGGAGTCAAATATGCATGCTCATACCATTCATATATATACACATCAAATACGAAAAATATGACATAGAGATATTTCTCAGCAACGAAGGTTACCTGTAAGTATATTCAGAAGAGATATGCTGCCCTGTGTCCTGATCTTGTTGTCGTCTGCAGGCACCCTCCTCGCACCCTGAAACCACAAGAATTGGAATGATGCAAACAGGCAAGGCAGAGTTTTGTTGAACTATGAATGGTAGATTTGTTTCACCTTTGGTTTTTCGTTATCATTTATATTCAACATGCTGATATCCTTCAGCAGTAGAGACGAAGCAGGTAGTAGCCTCCTGAATGGTTTCAAACGAGTTAGAAAATTCTATGTGGTGGAAAGATAAGTCATTTATCTTGAAGGCGAATAAAGGACCTTTTTGGTCTGTGTGTGTGCTGGGCACTGCTGCAGTTGGTGACCTTTGGCAAATTTTCGGACATAGTTCTAGAATTTTCTCTTTTGGATGATATGACAGCAACCACCGGCTCAACATACTCCTGCATTAGGAAAAAGTGTTATAGATCACATACAAAATTATTTAGTTGGCTTACCAATTACTATGAATATATGCATATGCAAATAAATTGATCGAATAAACAATGAATTAGTACATAAATGCATATAATAATGGTAAGTTTTCATCACTTCAGCTCCTACTATTCCACTAAATCGAAATAAACATTTTTCAGGTATCAGTAGCAGAAACAGAAGTGGGCATTCAAGGGTATCAAGGAAAAGCCATTACAACCTTCACACACGGGTAAGCAAAGGCCAAGCATCGGTTGTTTCACAGAAGAGACATAAATCCAAAGTATATCTCTTTCAATCATGCCAGATGAGGAATACATGAATACCCAATATCTCAAAGTTTTCTTATAAGTTCTACATGCTTCAAACTAACCTTGTCTTCCTTGTAATTCTGCTTTTCTCCATCCATGTTAAATAATATGTCCTCATTGCCAGAAGATTCAGAAGAGCTAGAAGTAGCAATATGGTCTGCAATCTCTGAATCAGAAAGGTGAGACGGAAGTTGAAAAAAAATAAAAATTCTAATACATCTTAATGTGGTTGTCTTCAAATAATTCATGCGTCAATCAAACTCATGAGTAGATTAAGTATTAAACACAAGCTATCCCGTGTATAACTTCATTTGTGTTTCTATAAATTTCTTAACACGAGACTTTGGAAGCTTTTAAACTCAAATGCATAAGCTTAAGGCGAATCTTATAATCGAACCTGTTGCAATATCTTCAAGCTGAGTTGGCCGTGTTCTGGAATCTTTTAGAATTTCAGCATCATCTTCAGAACTATCACGGCTTACGCACTCCAGTGAAACATTAAGGCATGATTCAGAACTAACATCTGCACCATCCATAGAAGGTTTCTTGTTTCTGGCATACAAATCTGCTGCTGGTGTGAGTTTGGTTTCCTCTGTCTCCGGAACAACATTATCAAACTCCAGGGAAATATCAGAACAAAATCCATGAGCTACAGACTCATTCTTGGTCTCCAAACTCTCTGGACCATCAGCAATGTTCACATGATCTCGTTCATATTCATGGCTTGAGTGTGGACGTGTGTTTGGTAATTGAATGGTTTCTTGAATTCTGGAAGATGTACATGCTCCACCCGTATCTTCAAAGCTGTGCAAAGCCTCACCATAATCAGTACCAGCAGAAAGTTCCTGATTTTTGGAATCCACTGCACAAATGCAATTAGAATTCTTTACAGCTTGAGGATTAGTATTGCTTTCTGACAGGTCTTCAAGCAGCTGATGAAATAAGCAAAATTACAGATTAGTCTCATCCTTTGGACAATTATCACTGTAATGAAGGCCTAATTGCTGCATTAACTTATGGGACAAACAAGCAAAAGGTTGCTTCTTTCTATTTGATACCTGATGACAAGGTTTTTCTGATTCCTCAGAGCATGAAACAAAAGTCTCACTCACATCCGTAAAATGATCCTGAAAATGTAACTTCAATGGCTCAAGTGTCTTTCTAAAATAGAAAATTAAGTTTTAGCAATTGCAAATAGCTCACCAATAAATAAGATGTCTTTTCACTCTGAGTTTGTTCTGGTTCTTTGGAGGAACAAGACGAACCTTCTAAGCTCCCCTGAAGAAATGATGAGAATATTAACAAACCACACTTAGAAACTCTAAGTAAACTACTTAAATCAGAACATTTGACAGCATTGACTACAGCAACTCATCCAAAATGTGTTTGGCACCAAAGACCTACGGAATATTTCAAGGATTTGAGTAATTGTGACTATTCAAGAATTAACAAAATTTGTAGGATCTAGTTATCAAAGCACTGGAACTAATCAAATGTAAACTTCTATTGATATCTTGCTCTGCCACTTTCTTTTAAGTACACAAATAGAAAAGCTATAAAGTAATATTTTGGAAATCACACAGTTTACCTCCTGCAATCCAGCAGCATCACATTGTATAAGAATGGAACTAGCATCTTGCATTGTAAGTTAATATTTTGGAAATAACACAGTTTACCTCCTGCAGTCCAGCAGCATCACATTGTATAAGAATAGAACTAGCATCTTGCACTGTAAGTGGAAGCACGTTTTTAGAAGAAGCTTCTACACTGCAACGACATTGAGATTTCAATTCCTCCAACTTATCTTGGAGAGCACATCCCATCATCTTTTCACTGTTCAGTTCCTTCTCCAGGTTCAGATTTCTTGTCTTTTCAGTGGATAAGCTGTCCCTGAGATGGCCGTTTTCAATTTCCACTGCCTGCGAGTATGAATAAATGAAATAAGTGTTATATCCTAGAGTTATGAATGGATGCACCAGAAGTCCAACATAATAGAACAATAGCTCTGTTTGCAAGGTTATCACATATTACCTCAAGTTTCCTTTTGTATTGTTTCAGAACATTCCATAGAGCCTTTGAAAGCTCTAACATTATTTTGTATTCCCGGTCACTGTAGGTTGTATGTTTACAGCAATTCCCATCCGTGCATGGTTTCTCTTGTTTGCCCAATCCAATAAATCCATCAGATTGGGTAGAAGTCTCATTCAAGTTTTCAACATCACTGCCACTAATGTTCTTTTTAAGGCCATCCTTAATCACTTTTTCAGGTATCTCTGTCCATACAATTAACACCACATGAGAGTTTACAATATGAGGAGAAGAAATTTCTACTTGGGATAACATGGGAATATTTACAAAGTAGACAAAAGAAAAAAAATAATAACAATAATAATTGGGATAAACCTCTACTTGTGTTGCAGTGGAAATCACAGTCAGCTTTTCCTTCATCAATCTACACAATAAGAGATGAATGAATCAACTTCTGCTTGCAATGTTGAAAAATAAACTAAATTGCAATGTGATGGGGTATACTGATTGACTAGCCACCAGAGCATAACGTTGTCCTAAATGAAATTATCCTGAATTTGATAAGTAGTGGTAATCAAGCATGCTTGAGTACAGTAGTTAAACTCTAATGGACCTCACTAGTTAAACTTTTTGAGCTGTTATCAAGTTTGTAGATCTCACTAGTTAAACTCTGATGCTCAAGAATATATAGTGACAAATTTGTTGTTTTAATAATACCGAAGAAGCTTCAGTGGTTCTGTACTTCATTTTCTTAAGTTTCTCCACTCGAGGCAGCACTTGATTTGGTCTCTTGTGGCATGTCGTATTAACAGCCTCTTGTACGGTTTGAAACCTACATCCAATTATAGAAAATACTTCCAATTATTTTGAGAAGGTCCCAGGGGTAATAAATAACAAACTTACACAGATCCTCACTTAATTTTTGTGAATGGTGAAGCCTGCCTCAGCAGAAAGGATGTGTCAAGATAATCATCTACACCCGGTTTAACAGTTAAAATCTGTAGATTTTAGAAATTTATTGGAGTTAACACAGTACCATGAAACAATCCTGAAAATAATATAAACAAATAACCTCGACAAAACAGCACCGAACATACCAACATCATCCTCTTTTTGCCTTCCATGTAGTCTTGCATATATCTTGTTAACTAGTCAAAAAAATCATGTTCAAATGTTCTCTCAGTATGCACAGATAGAATGACAACATGGTAAACATTAGCAATTCAGATTACCATTGAGCTTTTGTAATGCTTTTGCAGTAGCTTACTTCGATTCTTTTGGTGCTCCAACAGGGCCTGAAATTTAAAACATGAAACTAAGTTATCAATAATTGAGTAAAACGAAACAACCGAATGATGTTCATCAATGGCTGTAGCATTAGACATCAAGGAGAAAATCAAAGCAAAGTCATACCCTCAAGCACAGACCAAATACCATTGAGGTGTTGTTGATGAAATTGCTCTCTTGCAATCTAGCCCCCTGGAAAATAGTACTGTCAGCTTTATGGAATAGATGTCTAGAGATCAGTCATCAGTGATCGATCAAGTCAGTAGTATTGTGTGTCTTACTCCATTAAAGAGAACTGCAAATTTTCATAGCACATATACTATATCAAATTTTCTTTATATGTATATGATACATCTGTATGAATGTCATACCTCAGGAGAACCGCCCAATTATTCACATGTATTAGTGGGTGTGTTTGTTTGGGGGATTGGATTAGATTTCCACTATTCATCCCAAATTTTTTCCCCCAAAAACATCAAATCAAACACCTATTTTTCATTTTTTATATTATACTAAAAATAAATTTTACATTCAAAACATCACATCAACACCTATTTATATCACATCATACAACTATTTAAATTCAAAATTTTTACTATTCAAATCCCAACTTAAAATCCAAACCCCCAAACAAACACACCCTAAGCTGAAACTAAAAATCAAATATAATATGTAAGAGGAAACTAATAGTGGTTGCTACTACATATTTGCTGCAATTGAAGCACAAGTTTCTTAAACAAGGTATTTAACTCTTTTTCTTTTTCAAGTCTCTCTCCACAAATTTAAACTAGACATCCTAAAACTAAATCAAACTCAGAAGGTATTTAGCTGTTTTTCTTCTTCACTGCATTTCCTATTCCTAATGTGAACAAGCAAAATAATCTAGCAAAGTAACAACATTCTCATGTTTACCGGAAAAAAAATTAACTATAACATCCAAACATTTTTATAATTTTATTTGCATGGAAATAGACCAAGATGGTAAAGAATCTAACAGGAAGACTTAGTATAGGTCAAAGCTCGTTGCCCAAGCAATTTCTAGTAGAACTCTCAAGAAAAAAAAAAGGCTCAAGTAGTATGTATGGCATGGCCAATAAATATTTGACAAATGCAAAAACATTCTTCATCCCACATATACTCATTGGAGTCGAAGATGGAGGATAAATTGTATATGAAGCAATCAAATGTAAACAAAATTGTATCCATAGGACCACCTGAGTCACATGCATAAAATAGTTCAATTATTGAACTTATACCTGATTTCCAGTTTTCTTCTCTCGCTCAGCTCCAGCAAGGTCTGCAATAGTCAATACAGCATGTTTTCCTTCCTTAGAAATTGCTTCATCACCATCCTCAAAACTACAACGAATGTTTATGATGCACTGGGAGCGACTACAAAAACATGTCGGATATAAGCCCACCATTGAAACCAAAATGTATAATTACTGCTATAACAACAATACAAGTACAAGGAACAAGTAAACACGCATGGAGTCTCAGGAAGAAAATGAATAGAGAAGGGGTAGCTTGCACACGATAACCAATTATAAAAACTAAAAATGAGGATGGTATAACATCAAATTATATTTGCTTACCCTAGAGCAAACTTGGAGAAATAAATGTTTCATTGTAAAATACTGAGATGCCAAGATCCTAACAAATTAACTAAATTACAAGTGAGTTAACAAAACAGGCACTTAGATATACAAATTCTATTACGAAAGCTATAAAAACAATGCGACTTTAACACAAACCTTGATTGACAATTAGAATTCGTCACTGCAGTCGCCCGCCTAAGCATTCCGCTTGCTATTAAGGACTCAGCTTGCAGAGCATCACAAACCATATCCTATTCAAACAAACCAAAACAACAAAAATAATTATAATTGATGTCCTAATCACGACACAAGAGCAAAATACACTGCATCAAAAACAAATATATATATATATATATATACACACATATCACAAAACCTCTTGTAGTCCTTTTAGAACTGTATTCTGCATGTATATGTCAGCCCCTTCATGCAGTAAATCCGTCATTCTCTCGGCCTTTCCTCTTTCCAAAGAGATTTCAAACATAGACAGATAGAATACCCTGTCCAGATGATATTTCAAAGATTTCACAAGCTTGAGCAAACAAATGAAGATCTATAATAAAGAAGAACATAACCTAAATCACAAGAAAACAAATTAACGTTAAAGTGTGTTTATCGGTTGCAGGTACTCAACTCAACTATTTTCTTTTACCTCGACGATTGAGTTTGAGCATTCTCATGCTCACTGAAGATGTGTCTAAGAACAAGAGGTACCATTCCAGGATCTCTTGCACACCCAAAAATTGTGTGCGTCTTCCCGGAACCACTAGGACCCATCGCAGCCAACATTCCACCTTTCCCCTTCAGAAAATCTTCTACTAATGGTCGTACCATTTCGTTATATACATCACTCTGGATATAAATCGAACTTTTAAATCCATTCACGATAGATACACATGAAGAAACATTGATGGCGAAACCTAAATACCTGAGACGCCTCAGAAGCGAACACGCGCGAAAACCCTCCGTACACCTCCGACTTGGTCCTCTTAGTTTCCTGCAACGCTTGAGGAGTCGAAACTGTGACGGAACACGAGTCGTCGTTCACCTGTACGCATATTTCGTCGCTCTTCTTTGCTTTCGTCCTCGAACCTGCCTTGATTTTCGCGTTTTTCGGCCAAGCGTTCTTTGTTTCCGCTGTAGTCTTGGAAGGTTTCTGAATCGTAGGCGGACGTATCCTTAGATACACCTTGAGGCTTTCGGAGAGAACTCTAGGAGAAGGATCTGTGCTCGTAGTGTCTGAGCTGTCGGGGTTTTGTGAAAGCTCGCTGGAGAAAAGGTCTCGTGAGAGAGATGGAGAAACGAGAGGTCCGCGGAGAGGAACTGCCGACGCCGGAGTGGCGCGCGCTCTCCGCGGCGGGTTACGGCGGACGGTGACGGTGGGCGGACACGGCGTAGGAGAATTCATCTCCATATTGGGAGAATCCAGGTAGCCGTTAAAAAGTGAATTCGTTGTTCTTTGTTATGTTTTGAATTTCTGAGAAGGAATTTGCCGCTATAGCTTCCGCAGCAAGCCTCTTAAATAACCACGGGTGACGGGCGTACATATAGCCGTTAAAACGGCGATTAGTCCACAGTCCAAGTCCATCGTATAGGCAATCAAATCCAACTAGCTATGGGTGACGAGCCAAGCCCGGCCCGCTAACCCAGATATTTTTTTATAATATTAAAAATATAATTGTTTATAATTAATATAAAAACAATTATATCATATCCTCCGTGAAAAAGAAAAAGATTGGTGTTTGCTGCATGTTGCGCTTAAAATGGCGTTGTTTTATTTTAGTTTTTAATTTTTTTACATATAATTTTTTTAGAAATAATATTAATTATAAATATAAAAAATAGTTTAAAATAATACATTTTCTCTGTTCCAATACTGTAGTATTGTTTACTATTCCCTTCCTCAGTCAAATTTATTCTCAAGTTTTTTTTCCATTAATTAAATTTATCTTATCACTATTTTTGACAAAGTCAACAAATCAACATTTAATTATTATCGTTTATTCAACACTTATTTACAACAAATACGATTTTATTACATTACTTTACTTTACTCTCATTTACTTTATTTTTTAACTAAATTTTCAAAACTACCTATCACTTTTTCAATAAAATATATTTTTTTTTAATTTTCATGCCGAGCTTAAATTGAATAATTTTAATGGAGAGAGAGGAAGGATTAACAATCATATCACAAGAGAACTACTATTTCTTTTCATTTTTGTTACATTTACTACTACTTTATACATTAATGCATTCACTAAAAAAAACTTATTTCATGTCCAATCCAGTTAAAATTGTAGTTCTTGGAGTATAAAATAAAATATTTGAAAATTATGTTTTTCAAAGTACAAAATAAAATTGTGAATTAAAGTAAATATAACAATTGCATTTTTTAAATTAAAGCAGTATAAATAAATAGAATTTGTGAGTTCAATATAATCTTACTAAGGGTGTGTTTGTTTGGGGGATTTAATTAGATTTTTACTATTCATCCAATTTTTTTCCCCAAAAACATCAAATCAAACACCTATTTTTCATTTTTTATATTATACTAAAAATCAATTTTACATTCAAAACATCACATCAACACCTATTTATATCACATCATAGAACTATTCAAATTCAAAATTTTTACTATTCAAATCCAACTCAAAATCCAAACCCCCGAACAAACACAAATATCACTTCAACGGTTAAACGCAGCACATACAAGAATTGGAATGAAATAGAAGTACTAAAAAAGAATTAATACAATGAACATATCCACATACAAAATTCTCTATTCAAACTAACCAACTTATAGTCACAAATTCACAATATTTCCAGCAAACTACGCAACCCATAAACATATTAATTCACAAACTCCCCACAACACAAAACTCATCAAAACACCAAACAAACTTATTATTATTCACCAAACATTTAAACAACAACAACAACTACTAAATACACACCTCTAATTTATTCCCTCAAAAATTAACACTAAACTAAAATCATAAAATCACAAATTAATAAGGTCAGGAGGCGACGTACCCGTCTGCGAAGGAACAGTAAGCATGTAAACAACTTCCCTCATCGACGGCCGGGCCGAGCTCTCGTCCTCCACGCACATCATCGCAATCCGGAACATGTTCAGCACCCCAGACAGCGGCGGCGCCGCCAGTCGGGAGTCGACGATGGCGAGAGCCGACGCGGCATCGGTGAGGTGAGCAAGTTCCGACGTCGTCTTCCTCACCCACCTCACGATGTCCACGCCCTCCCCGAACTCGCCCACCGGCTTCCGCCCCGTGATCAGCTCCAACAGCACCACGCCGAAGCTGTACACGTCGGTTTTCTGGTCGACCTTCAACGTGTAGGCATACTCTGTTAAACGAAGAAATACCCGGTTAGTTTTATACGGTAAAATATGATCGTAATTGCCGCAAGAATATCAACCTGGTGCGATGTAGCCGTAGGATCCGGCGATGGAGGACATGCACTCGGAAGCGTCGGCGTCGTGGAAGAATTTGGCGAGCCCGAAATCGGCGACATGGGCCTCGTAGTCGGAGTTGAGGAGAATGTTGTTCGACTTCACGTCGCGGTGGATGATCGAGGGCGAGCAGTCGTGGTGCAAGTAGCAGAGTCCCTTTGCCGCCTCGACTGCGATACGGTACCGCGAATCCCATTGCAGATGAGCTCCTTTGGAGCCATGGATCATCTCCCCCAAGCTTCCATGGGACATGTACTCATATAATAACAAGTTCGTATCCTTGTTCGATAAGTACCCCAAGAGGCGGACGATGTTCCTGTGACGGATACTTCCGAGAGTCTGGATTTCTGCCATGAATCCGCGGTCGTTGCAGCTGCTGGCGTGTCCTCGCAGGCGCTTGATCGCAACGTCAATCCCATTAGGCATGGCGCCTCGGTAGACTATCCCGGCTCCACCTTTGCCGATTACGTTCTCGTCTTTTAAGCATTCGAGAATGTCCTCAACTCTGAAATCCAGCTTGTGGAACACTGTGAGCTTCCATGTTCGTGATTTCTCAAGCTGGCGCCTTCGAAGTAAAATCCAGGCTCCGAGAAGCAGAAGCGAGACAGTAACGAGTACTATGGTGATCACAGCAACCTTCGGCGTGTGCTTCTTGTGAGATTCGTGTGGCGGAGTGACAGCAGTCGGGCAGTCTGTGCTGCGAGGCGAGCAGAGCTTAGGATTGCCAACAAAGAAGCGATCATCAAAAGCTTTTAGCAGCCCTGTTATAGGCCTTCTACCCGAGAAATCGTTGTATGAAAGATCCAACACTGTTAAGCTATTCATCTGCCCGATCTCCCCTGGAATTTCGCCCTCCAATCGATTTCTAGACAGGTTAAGAACATTCAGATTCTGTAGCTCAGAAACACTCCTTGGAATTCCACCACACAAGCTGTTCTTGCTCAAATCAATGAATGTCAAATGGGGAGAATTTACAATGGATCCAGGGATTTCACCTGTCAGGGCGTTGTAGCTGAGATTCACCTTCAAAAGCTTCTTCAGATTGAAAACTTCGCCGGGGATCTCTCCAGAGAAACTGTTCATATCGAGTGATAAAATCTCTAGATTTTCAAGCTTCGCAATAGAAGGAGGTATGTTCCCTGTGATCCAATTGTTGGACAGAGTGAGACCTCCCAATTTGGTGGCAGACATCTCCTCCGGCAGCTCTCCAGAGAAATAATTATCATTGAGTTCAAGCAGAACCAACAATGGCAGCCTGAAAAACCCTGCGGGAATACTGCCATTAAAGAAATTCTTCTCTATCCGTATCCTTGTCAGAGACTTGCACTCCCCAATCTCTTCGGGCAAAGGGCCATAAAAGTAGTTCTCCATCAATATCAGAGTTTCCAGTTTCCCTCCTTTGCACAAGTTCATCGGTATCGGCCCTGTCAGATGATTCTTAGTGACGTCAAGCAGCTTCAATCTTCCGCTGCTGCCTAGATTTTCCGGCAGACTGAAGGTGAAATTGTTGTTCCAAATCTGTAAAACCTCAAGGTTCGGAAGGTCGCCTATGAACGACGGGAGAGGACCCTGGAATTTGTTCTGGAACAGATTAATCAACGTCAGGTTCCTCAGTTTTGAAAAATTACCAGGTATTTCTCCACTGAAATTGTTGATGGAAAGGTCTAACGACATCAAACTCGTCATTTCAGATAGCTCCGGCGGGATTTGTCCACTTAGGTTATTTATCTATCAATAGAGAGATAATGAGCATTAACGAACAATTGACTGAAAATGATTTACTCTACGATTTGCTAATTAAGGAAGAATCTAACCTGAAGAAATAGACTATGCAAATGCTTAAGATTCCCGAGAGTAGCCGGAATTTCTCCGTTGAGATTGCACTGGCCGAGATCTAGCAACCGAAGAGTAGATATGAAGCCGAATTCTGGAGGAATACCTCCTTCGTACATGTTGTAATACCCTAGATAGAGCTCTTGAAGGTTCGGAATCTTCGACAATCCTACCGGAATTCTCCCCGTCAAACTGTTTCCACGCAAAGCCAAATGAGTCAAGCTCTCGAACTCGGAATAGATCTCCGGAATTACGCCGGAGAAGTAATTGCCTCCAAGGTTTAGAATCCTCAGCTTCTTCAACAATACAAACTCCGCTGGCAAATTTCCCGTGAAATTGTTGTTATACACATCGAACACTTGGAGCTTGCTGAATTTCATCACCATCGCTCCATCAATCGTCTTATTAATCACGTTCTCGCTGAGATTAAGATACTCCAACGCTGCCAAATCACCTAACTCTACCGGAATAGGTCCGGTCAGATTATCCGAAACCAGCGTCAGGTTCACGAGACTGCTCAGCCGCCCAATCGCCGGCGAAATCGTTCCGAAAAGGCGCTGGTTGGTTATGTTCAGCGACGTCACGCGACCGTTGCCATCACACGTGACACCGGAGAAGACGCAATGCGCATAGGCCGACGGCGACGGCGGAGCAACCCAGTCGTCCAGCCCCGAGCCTGACGGTCCGATCAATGACGCTTTGAGCGTTAATAGAGCTTCGAGATCGTCGGAATATGCATGAAGAAACGCAAACGGACAAAGCATCATCACGAGGAGGAGAAGGAGAGAAAAATCCATGGCGATCGATCGGCGGTGAAGAAGATTTCGGAAGCTGTGAGAAACTGCGTTGAGGAATTCATGGCCGGTATTTGTACGACAGTGGCAGAGCTTTATATAGGCTGGTGTAGAGTGACGATCCTGACGGACCGTTTGTTCTTGCCCAGCCATTGGCGGTTGCCGCCGTTAAGATTATGACGCCGTTAGGAGTTCGTCCGTACTTCCAGCCTCACTCAATTCAGCTATTTTATAATCATTTTAGTAAATACAAAATGACGCTAAATTTATTTTTATTTTTATTCAATAAATAAATATGGACATAAAGCTGCTGGCAACCAGTGATTGGACGGTTTGATTGACGGCTTCATAATAACGTCGCTGACTTCCGCTTACGGCGTCAGTGTCCATTACGTCTCGCGCTTTACCAATAAAGTCCGAAATGACATTTCTACCCCTCCTCTGACTCCTGTTTGGTTTTTTTATACTTTTCCAGTTTCCATCCTCAAAAACTCAAGTCTTCCATAATCTCCAATGGTGGCCATGATTTTCAATCTGAAATGCGATGATGACATTCGATTTAGTTTATTGGATTCTACAAGGAGGAATTACCGCGCAAACCTCGCGATTCTGCACAGCAACTGTTCTATAAAGCAACTTTTGGGTAGGAATAAGTCCTCGAGGGTTTAGATTAATGAAGAGAATTCGGAAGCCGCTGAATTTGTGGAATCAAAAAGGTCAGTATATATTCCATACACTCAAAGATTATCCACTATAGAAAAAAAATAATCATAGAACAGATTCGTATTCGTAGTTAATGGAAAAACTGGAATCCGACGAGAGTGATGTGTGGAATAAAGGTTGATTGATTTTATTTCTTTTCCCCAATTTGGACGATCGGTCTATCCCCTTGCAATTGGGGGAAAATTAATAGGATGCTTCTTTCTAAATAATTTGCAACTACTTCTTACGCAATATTGTAGATGCCGCAAGTTCAAAAGTGTGTCATGTTTTTGGTAGGCAGCATTTCATGTGGTAGCCAGTTGCAATGCTGCAGTATTGGCATAATGGTCAGTTTAGTATAGTCTACTAAAGTCCAGTGGTACTTAGTTGTCAACAGAAAAGTATCTATGGAACTTCTGCAGGTGCATTTATCATGAATAAGAAAGAAACAAAGAATAGGAGGTAGACGACGAAGGAGGGTGGATTAGTACTATAGTAGGTATTATAATAGGTAGGTACGTAGGTACAGTACGTTTGATGAAACTGGCAATGATGACCTACTTTTACTGAAACAAGGGCTAGAAAGGATGGATGGATAGTATCCATCTGTCTTTTCAATCAAAGGTTTTACAGAGATAGGATAAATTGCAGAGCAGATAAATTCACGGCTGTAAATATTGCTGTGTTTCTGTGATGGTTTTGTTCTTGGGATCCAGGTTCCCAGTTCCAGATGGATCTTGACCGTTCATGTCAAGAACCATCTTTGATGGTTTTTATTCTTGGGAGATCTTTAACCATGCTCCACTTCATGAATGGTTTAGATCTTATCTTGTGGATGAGAGACTATGCTTAATCCTCTGTAACCTGTTTCTTGAATTTCACAGGATAAGATAGCCTGTAAATTCTGAGCGCCTACGATGGTTTCTTGTGATTTTGTTTTCAGTTTTGGGATCTATTTTACCAGAAAAGATTATGTTAAAAAGTTTTTTTTTCATATCCTAAGCATTTTATGGTAGATAGAATCTCACTTTATGGGTTACTGCTGATCAAAACAACCTAAAACTCTTTAGAAAATCATGAGACTTTAAAACAGTGATGCAAGTAACATGCTTACGTGTAAAAGATTCTTTATTGTGCTTAGAATGATCTGATTTGATTTTCAGTAGATGAATATGGAAATGTATCAATAATCTAGCTAAACCTAGATATATGTTTCATAAAACTTTCAGGATGCAACTTTATAAACAAGTCAGAGATGACTTATTGGTCTAAATAACACATTAGATCCATGAAAGCAGCAGCTGAAGTCCAAAAACTAATGAATCACACTACCAGAAATAAACAAAATACAAAATTCCAAAGAAAAAGAAGCAAAAATCTCCATAGCTGCTGCTTAAGGTTGAATCACCCTTCCATACAAGGACGGATTTCTTACCGTGGAGAAAAAAAATACCTTTCTTCAAGAAGCAGTTCTCCACTGCATCTCGATCTGAATCCTACCGTTCTTTGAGTCGATCAAATGGTACCTTTCGTTGATCCTCTTGTTGTTCACCACATCCGATAAGTATATATCGACGTAGCCCAGAGATTCCTAATTCAGAAAAGGGTTAGAACTAACAATTGCAACCCACTTTATGCATTCCAAGCATGATTTAGTTACTACCTTAGGATGCAATAGACTTCTTTTCGAAATGCTGATTACTTCGACATGTATTCTGTCATTTGTTGGCGGCTCATCCAACATGAATTGGAACTCCTGGTCCCATCTCGGGTCCCTGTTTTTCTTCAGAACCTGATAACCGACACGATGAACAGCCGAAGGTACGTCAAAGTTCGCACTAGTATATTCATATTCATATTCATATTCATATGTAATACTTACCTTAGTCTTTTTCTCCTCTCCTCTAAACAGGAGACGTACGGATGGATTTGTGTGGTTCTTCCCTTCCAAATCTTGCGCCTCGTGGATATGGATGACGAGCAAGCCTCCACCATCTGGTGTCCCCTCGGGAGCTTTCTCGACTGTCCCCTCCGCATCTTCTACATTCGTTGGCATCTCGCTGTCCTTGAAAGGCTTGTAATTGACTTCCACCACAAGCTGCCCTCGTGACTTCTCGTTCTGTGAATCATCCGGATTCAGAGTTTTGAGAAGGTCGAGAGTCATGGTTTTTGGCTCTTCGGGAGTCAAGTCTTTCAATGGGATCACATTCAACCCCATCTTGTCATGCGACCCGACCTAAGCAAAATGTATGACAAACAAGATTGAGATCACTCGGGGAATCAGCGCAAGGTCTGTACATCTATCCGTGTTTATTATATATTGATGAAATATCGACATACCTGTTCCCAGTCGTAGACAGTGAGCTCTAGGACTTGACCTTCAGGATCCTTGACGACGAATGTAAACTCCTCGTCCCATTCGGGATTCAAATTCTTGTATTTCACCGTGGTTTTCTTGGATGGAAGCTTGTCTTCGGTGAGATTCACCTTCACGTACGGGTCAGACGCCCCTAGAAGGTCTTTCTTCTTCAGTTTTATTGCTCTTACAACCTTAACATGGAGGATTCCGACAGGCTTCTTCATCGCCCTGTTGAATCGCATATTTGAGGTATGATTAAAAAGCCAAGAGGATATATATACACATATATAGCTTTGCGATGGAAACTCAATAGTCGAAAACACTTACTTCGCCGGATCCATAATCTGAACTTCGAGTCTTTTTGGCCATAAATACATGTTGGCTACTTGATCTTTGATAAGCTCCTGACGTATGGAAAAAAAATTAGATCCCGATAGTATAAAGCCGATATTTTGTAAGAGTTTCTTTAAAACGGGCATTTTAGCGTTACCTGAACGAGCCGGTATGCCCCAGGAATCGACATAGCGTCGACACCAACTAGTTTTGCTCCAAAGTCGACATGCGGCTACAATGAAATTTCAACAACAATGTCAAATGAAGGTACCGCGAATTGCACTGATTTTCATGCGAAAAGAGATGGAATCATCGAGGAATTTCTGTCCCTATTCGAGCAAAAGAATCGAACCAATCTTAGGCACTGACCTTCTGCATTAACGACACATATATGTTTGCAAAACAAGGGAAGCTCGGAACCAATGGTTTCAAGGTGATGCGCGGTAGCGCAAATACTTGCAAATCGAGCACCTAAAACACTTAAAAACGCATACTCAGATACAAAAAATTCGATCCAATGACGAGATGATTAATCGATGTAGAAGAACATAAGAAACCTTAGGATTAAACATTGTATCTCAAAGTTCCAATGCCTTACAATTCTAAAAGGATCGCAACCTTTATGTCCCTAACAATGCGTCTCCGTAGTGAAAACAAGAACACTATAGTCATAAAACGCCATAATCTCGATTGAATTAAACATTTACATCGTACCTGAACCGTAGCTTTCAACCCGAATGCCTTGACAGCGACGAGGATGTTAGGATTAGCAGCCCACTTCAAGCCTAGTTCCATAATCAGTTCCTTCTCCTCAGTGTTGTACACTTTCATTCCTAAAACATCGATCAATAGCTCTAAACGCAAGGATTAACCGAAATTCAAGTGCAAGAAACAGTTAGAATTCAAAAAACCTTCAAAAGTAGGTGGTAAGCACCCCAAAGTCAGTGTCTCAAAGTCAATCGAATCGATTTTGTACTTTGGCTTCTGCTCGGCTATTATAGGCTCGGCTATTTTCTTCGCCATCTTGCAAATAGCCTGCAACAAGAAATTAGAACATGAGCATTCTTTCGACAAATTCACAACTAGAGCATTTCTTAAACACACCTTGTCTAAATAAGGCCACATGTATTCGACGAACTTGTTCAACCAATCAACCTACAAACATACACCTCAAGTCATGATCTTTTTAACGTTGTAAATAACACCAACAATGCAAGAAAACTCACCCGGTCGAAATCCGGATTCTTTACCCAAACCGGTATTTCGGGTAGCAGCCGTTGAAGGCTTTTCAAATCTTTCTCGACCAAAGGTCGAATTTCAGGGTCCTGCAAGGATTCACAGCTCAATGTTCTACATAAATTTTTACATGATCAAGATTCTTACCCTATTTCAAGAACCAATTAAGCTTTACCATTTTAACCCTAAAGAATTTAAACCAAAATCATCTAATCTTATCTACCCCAATTTATCTAACCAAACATGATCTTAGTTCAGTTTTCTTCAAAATCATTGAAGCATTTCTCTGTGTTCTTCTTCATCTTCAAAACCTAAGAAAAAAGACTTCCCTAATTTCCAGATCAACACAAAATTCCCCCAAAGAGATGAATAAAAATCAAACTGTTCACAAATGCACCAAAACAATCGATCTAATCTAAGAACAAACAAACAAACAAACAATCCCTAAAATGTTGCAAAAGAAGAGTAGAAAAGTGTAGAAAACCTTGACATCTGTTGGCTGTCGAAAGATGAACAGAAAATACCCAATCACAAGCCCAACAGCAGCTCCAAATCCAAATCCAAAAAAACTCAGAACAGTGCTAACAACACCCATCTCTACACTTCCCCCTCAAAATCAAAGTCCCCAATTCCAAAAAGGTAAAATTCTAAGCAGAAGAATCAACAGAAAGGGCCCTCCTCCTCAAGTCCAGTCGCCATTTCCAGAAACTCTGGATCAGAGCAGCAACTGCAAGTCAAGCTCTGGAAAAACCTCTGATCCCCATAAACCCATCGAGAAAGAATTAAAAAGAAATTGACAATGGATTGAAGAACCAGTTGCGACAAAAGGGTGAAGGAAATCCAGAGGCGTTCGAGATGGAAATTAAATTATCAGAGGAAAAAGGACAATAAAGAAATGCATAAATGCGTGGCCAATCCTCGCAGCCAACGCCACGCATAACGGCTTTAATTATTTATTATATATTATTTATTTTCAAAGCGCGTGAAGCTCCGACGCCATCATCCATGTCGGCAGACGGGGATGAGTGGAGGCTCTCTCTATAACGCCCCCCCACGACTTGGCCGAGTGTATTTCAATCGCCATTGGTGGACCAGACAGACCAGCAGAATGGGGAAGAAAATATCTCTTCGATTCTGTTGGATGAAATGGGGGGTTGGCGGCCCCTCTGGATAAGGAAGAAGACTATTTTTCTGGGATTAGAGACAGCATGTGGAAGGAAACAGAGGGCATTAATAACTGGTTTCAGTTAAGAAAAGATTTTGAAAGAGACTACTGCAGCTGCTTTTGAAAAGAGAAGTGCAGTGAAATTGAAGAAAGAAATTATTAGGGTTTTGATTTTGTTTTGTTTGGTTCGGCTGAATGAAGTGATTAATTTTGATTGAAGGGCCAAGAATGAATGGGGTTGGGTAATCACTTATAATGTATGTATATCTATGGTTGATTGATCATTGATTGACAGAGCTTTGTTTTTAGAGAGAGGTAGTAAAGGGTAGGGAAGGGGAAGAAGGAGTGTAGTGGACTGGAAGAAGACAAGACGGGGGCCATGGCTATGAGTTGGACTCTGTGCTTTCATACGACCTGCAGTTTTCAAGCCTAGTCTGCTTTGTCTCAAACTTGATTTCTTTTTTTACTAATCTATACCAAAAAATAAATAAATAAATAAAAATCAAGTACATTTTTATTATTTTTTAATTTTTTAAACTAATGACTTCATAATTAAACTCCATTTCCCTTGCCAACTCCACAGCCCAAAAGTATATTATTCCTTCTGTCCTGCAAAAAATTGTCATTGGTTGTTTGTATGTTGATTTTGAATATTAATTATGATATCAATGTGTAGTATAAATTAAGAAAAGAAAACAAAAATATATTGATTAGTCTTTTGTAATACATATACAATGATATTTATCCAGTAAATTATTCAAATATAAAAATATTTTTAATATTAAATACAATAACGCAAAAACTAAATTGCAACTTTCTTGCGGGACGGAGGGAGTATTTTATTTTTTCATAAGTTTGATTAATATATACTTCATCAGTTCTATAAAATTTATCCACTTCAATGTACACATAAAAATTAGAAAATATATAATTAGTAAATAATTATGTATAATAAAAATAATTATAAATTAAAATTAAAATTAAAATGACTAAATAATTTAATTAATATTAAATAAATTTAAATTATAAAATTTAAAATATGATTAAAATTTAAAATTATATTTTTTTAAAAAAAATAATTTAAGTGAGACAGACGAAAATAAAAAATATAAACATTTTATGTGAATCTGAGAAAGTAATATAAATTTAATTAAAATTTTAAAAAATATCATAAAGACTATAATAAATATATTCAATACAATAATTGTTATTTTTAAAAATAATAAAATTTTATATAATATAAATAATTAAATAAAATATACTACTATTTATATATAATTAACTTAAATTATAAAATAAGAAAGATAAAATTAATATGAGTATAATTTTTTGAATTTATATAAATAAGATGTTATAAATGAATCTTATTATATAAAAACAAAAAAAAAAACAATAAAATTGAAAAACAATTGAAAGTACATTAGGGATGTTTGAACTCAACCAATCCGACCCCAAGTGCTTAATAATTGGGCCTCCAAATCCATTTTAAGAGTTAATTAGGCCCTAACCAAAAGCCCACTGAAAGGAGAAGAAAAAGTAGCTCAATTTGGAGTTGTATCTCCCAACTTTGAATGATCAGTCCATATGATGGTGTTTATGTGTTTTTCTCACTGTTTTTTTACTCTCGTCTCACATAATTTGTCTTTATTTTTTATTTTTATCCGTTCCATATAATTTGTACTTTCTATTTTTAGAAATATAATTATACACTTTAATCGCATTTTAAATTTCAAATTTTATAATTTTTTTTAATTTTAATTAATCTATTTACTTATCTTAATCTTAATTTATAATTATTTTTACTAATACATTTTTTAATTACTTACTAATTATATTTTACCTAAATTCCGGTGCCTACAGTAATACACCCATATTATATGGGACGGAGGGAATATTTTTTATCATTAAAATTATTAATTTTAAAAATTTATATTAGTTACGTTCAAAATCATATGAATCATTCTTCCATCTCTCTCTCTCTCTCTCTCTCTCTATATGTATATATATATATTTTTTTTTTTTCTTAAAAAAAAGCCATAATGATTGTTTACCACTCAATTTAGTATTAAACCACAAGATTTAGCTTTTGCTTGGATAAAGATATTTTTAATTTTTAATTTTTTTTAAAAAATAATAAATATCTGAATATTTAATTTTATATTTCGAAAAGAATTATATTTTATATGTATGATATTTTAAAATATTATTAGTACAAAATAATTTTAAAGTTTTTTAAAATATGTATATAAATATAGCATTATTTTTGTAATTTAAAATGGAAATCCAAAACATCTAAAAAAAACTAGTAAGTCTTAATAAACACTTGCACAACAAATTGGTTAGAGTTAAGTTTCTATGTGAATTAGTATTCCCCCTATCCCACATAATTTGTCCCTATTTTCTATTTTCGTCTGTCCCACATAACTTGTATTTTCTATTTTCTGAAATATAATTATGCACTTTAATCGTATTTTAAATTTTAAATTTTATAATTTTTTTAATTTTAATTAAACTATTTATTTATCTTAATCTTAATCTATAATTATTTTTACTAATACATTTCTTAATTATTTACTAATTATACTTTACCTAAATTATCGTGTCTACGGTAATACATCCATATTACATGGGACGGAGGGAGTGTCATTTATTGGTAATTTATATTATATTAACATGTAAATATAAATAGTTTTATATATTGTGTAAACTATTAACATGTATCAATTAACCGGTTTTATTATTGTTGTATATCATTCTAACATCACCGCTAAAGAATGTATACATTTTGACTAGTCAAATTAATATAGTACTGATTTGTTCGGATTATCATATATAAAATTGACAAAAATATGTGTTAAATAAAAATATTTGTTGTCAAATCATACTTATAGATATATTGTACAAATATTTTTATTGTAATAAAATCAATAATACGATGTGTTGTGTAGAATATATTATATGATGCATTTGTATTGTGCAAATATAAATAATGTGTGCATTTCTGATGCTAATTAGGTCAGTGTGGTACTAATTTGACATAATTAATCAGCATATAATATATATTTTTACATAAAATAACATATATTGCGTTATAACAAAATATATACTCTTTTTATAACAAAATGTATGATATATTATATTGTATATATATGTCGTATATCTTTATTATATATATGGATTGAATCAAACCAACGCAAATATATAATTTGTCATCATAAATAATATTCCCTCCGTTCAGCTAGAAAGTATACACATTTCTATTTTGGGACGTCCAATTATAAAGTAAACATTTCATTAAATACCTCAATTTTTTCCACAAATACCCTTACTTACATCACATCATTACTTTTATACCAAAAAGCAAGGGTAAAAATGTCATTATACTACTTTTAACTACTCACTATAATTAAAATACTATTATTTCTTAAATACCGCGCCAAAAGTAAATGTATACTTTATCCGTAGACGGAGGGAATATTATATATATACTTTCTATGTTCATTAAAATTAGCATGGAAATTAAAAAAAATGACTATTTTTATTGAAAAAATGATAAGTAGTTTGGGGTATTATTAGAAATTTAGTTAGAAATTAAAATAAATGGAGGCATGGAGATAGAAAATATAATAAAATTAGTTGTATTTATTGTAAATAATTGTTGAATAGAGGATAATAATTAAATATTGTTTTGTTGACTTTGCCAAACTTAATAATGAAATAAATTTAGCGGATAAATTAAAAAATAAACTGGAAATAAATTGGATGGTTTGAGTGAATATATATTTATATTGTATATGTCTATTTCTACCCCATAAGTTATCAATATTGTGTTAAATTTCACTACATCCGTCCGGCTCTAAGGGTCTTATTTATTTTTTTGCGTGTTGATATTTAAATATTAATTATTATATCAAAACGTAGTACAAATTAAGAAAAAAATTGCAAAACTACTTTAATTAGTGTCTTATAATACTAATAGAAGAATATTTGTACAAAAATTATACAAATATAAAGATATTTTTAACGTTAAGTACAATAACGTGACATTAACACCCAACACCACTCTTTTAACTCGAGTGTTGTAGCAAAATATCTTATTCCGCAAATATAATTAATTGGAGGAATAAATTTACGATAAATTTAAAAATAATTAAAGCTTAATTAATTAATATTATTTATATACAAAGTCATTATTATGTCACGGGTGCCGACCAAGATAAAAAAATATATATATATAGTAGTTTATATATAATCAACTATATATGGTTGATGCAGCACGAATCAATGATCCTTCAAATTTCAGGCAACAATTTATGTAAAATACACACTTTATACATGTGCATCAACCAATGATTTGGGAATAATATAAATTATAATTAAATAAGTAAATTTACAAAAAAAAAAAAAAAAAAAAAAACTTAATATAATATCTTCAATGGATTTTTTAATACCAACAAGCACACTCCTAGTCTTGATCCCATCGATTTTTGGACTTTTATACAATAAAATTTTAAGTGAGGGCATATAATATTGTGTTCCTTTAGTGTTTAGATTTTTTATTTTTTATTTTTTATTTTTATATTAATTATTGAGAACTATAAAACTATTATTAATATAATTATTTTATTTTTTAAAAATATTTTGTAAAAAAAATTATATATATATTTTTTATATAAAATCATAAGATTGTATAATAAGTAAATTTTAGAAAAACCAAAAATAGTGTCTTAGCTTGTATTCTTTCATTGTTTAGAAAATTTAAAATTATTTATTATTAGTTACTATTATCCGTAAAAATTTTATTGCTACTTTTAAAATATTTTATTAAAAGTATTAGTATATCATTATTGTTAAAAATAGTGTAAAAATAATATTGTCTTTTTTTTGGATAAAAATGATGCTATAACGGTAAAATAAGGGTATTTGTAAAAGTTTAGATATTTTTGAAATAATTACTTTATAATTAAACTGTCCAAAATAAAAATATATATACTTTTTGGCCAGATAAAAAGAGTAATATTTATTTTTAAGAAATATTAAATTAAAATACTATTTATTTTTTACTATTATTGGTTCAAACTCTTAATGCATTTTTATGGAATACATTGTGGTATGGAGTAAATTCGTAACAGTACTTAAATTTTATTTGTGATATATGATTCTTCTTATGTAATTGTTATATATATGATTCATCTCATGTAACTTTTTTTTTTTTTTTCTAATTTGTGAACTACTATGAGGTTTATCTGCATATTTCATATTATAAAAAAAATATATTAAAAAATACTTTATTTGTCTCATAAGAAAGACTATATTTTTTATTTTCGTCCGTCCGAAAATAAGATATCATTTCATAATTTGGTAATTGTACTACCTACCTAACATAATAAATATCATTCTAACTTATAATATATTATACATATGTCACAACATATTACATAATATTAAAAATATTTGTTATCTTTTTTTTTTTATTATAATATAATATAATATTAATATTAAAAAATATAGGTATAAAAGTTGATAACAAAAATTTCAATGATTTTAATAATTATTTATTTTCACACCTTAATAATATTCCTACCCCAAAATGAGGGCACATGAGTGCAACTCCATCCCAGCGACGTGTATGGCCACGATTTCTCTAAACAGCCACTTCGAGGAAACCCAAGGAAAACGAATCAACGGTCAGCATCTCCCCAACGGCTAGTTTCTAAATATAGTACCGCGATCCAACGGTCACTATGCCTCCGGCGGCTGCCGCCCTTTACCGTTTAATATATCAACCCTCGACCAATCACGGCCCCGAAATCTTGCGACAGCCGACCTTTCTTACCACTGTCGCCTTTTTATTTATTCATTTATTTATTACGACAAAAAAAATCTCTCTCACTCTTAAAGGTGGTACCAACCCACAATATTTATTTATTATTATTATTATTATTTTATGAGGGTAAAAAATCTAGCCGTTGGAGGAATCTCCTGCTATTTAAGGAGCTGCCATGGAAGCTTCAAGAAAGTTGCAGTAGCCATTATCAGAACTTTACCAACACTCAATAAGGAGAAGCTGATCAATTTTGTAATTTTATTTTATTTAAAAATTAGATCAGTTATTTTTATTTTATTTTTTTATCTTGGTAATGGATACGATTTTTCTGAATCGATCTATGGAGCGATCGGTTTCTTCCCAAATCAGAAACCCTAGAAATGTCGGATTGCAGTATTTTCCGTCGATTCATTCGGAAAATTTTTTTCCGGCGCCGGCGCCGGCTTCTTATTCACTGCCGCGGTCTCACCAGCCGCCGCTGCTTCCCCTCCCTCCTACGGCGGCGCCCCGCCGGAGCAACGCCGCGCGCGGCCAATCTTGCCCGCCGGCGAATAAAATCGGCGGCAGAAATAGTCGGGAATGTTCTCTGACCCCGAAGAAATCAAATTCTCCGAATAAAAACCGCAGAATGAAATCGAATTGTGAATCTCCGGTCGCCGGCGCAGAAGATCCTTTGATCGGCGACATGTTTTCCGGGTCGGTGGCGTTCACAATCTCTCCTCCGCCAAGCAGCTTGCCTTTGCCGACTTTTTCTTTGAGGCCGAAGCTCGGCTGCAAGGCCCAGGCCGCCGCCGCCGGAATAGACGCCGGAGCCACAGATAACCTTCGGCGTCTTCTTCGTCTCCGGTGACTGTATATAAAATCTGGTTGGAATATATACAAATATATATATATACATATATAAACACGATCTCATGAATGATGATCTGGCAGGAAACCCTAATCAAATATATCCCTAATTAATTAATATTGAAGTTATTAGATCCCTCCTCCTCCTCTTCTCATGTGTTTTTGGAGTCATGAGATTATTACCTATGCATTGCACTGTATTTTCATGAGTTTATATCTATATATATATGTATAATGATTTGGGTGTTGGGTTGCAGAAGCAGATTAATGTATTATATGACAGTTCTTAAATAAAATATTTCTTCATTTCCAAAACTATAGTTTTATTTTGGTTGGGCACGAGATAAAAATATATTGATATTACAGTGTCATTGTAAGTGTATTAGTGTAAAAAATAGTGGTATTTGTGTAATAATAATGAAAAAATAAAAAATAATCGGACAGTTGATATAAGTATTTATGAAAATAAGATCATGCAATAAAACCAAAACATAAAATTACATTCTATATATGTAGGTAATGTTTTATATAAGAAGGAAAAAGGTTTTGGTTAGAGATGTAATTACTATTGTATTGTACTGATTAACTTTGATCATCAACTTTAATGATTTTAATCAATGCAATAATTAAATGCTATGAGAATTATTATTATACACTGTCAATTTATGACGTCATGTTCTGTCCATTTATACAATGTGTATTTGTGTTGGTAGATTTTGGACTTAATTTATATCACAAATATTCATGTTTTATTTTTGTACATTACACATACATATATATATATATATATATAAATATATAGTTTTAAAAATAATACTAAGGGTGTGTTTGTTTGGGGGTTTGGATTTTGAGTTGGGATTTGAATAGTAAAAATTTTGAATTTGAATAGTTGCATGATGTGATATGAATAGGTGATGATGTGATGTTTTGAATGTAAAATTGATTTTTAGTATAATATAAAAAATAAAAAATAGATGTTTGATTTGATATTTTTGGAGGAAAAAAATTGGATGATTCTTTACAAACTTCCACTTTTTTTTTTGGGGTTTGTTAATCCAATCTACAGTTTTTTGTGGCATGATTCTTTACAAATATTATAAAAATATAATATATATATATATAATATATTCAATTTATTTATAAAGATTTAATAATTTAATACAAAATATTAATTTTTATATTATATATTTTATATTTAAAAATATAAAGTGAACACACCATTGTATTTTTGGATTGATGTATTATTTATAATAAATATGAAAAATTGTATCATTAATATATAAAAAATAATTTTTTTTGTATCGGAGCTAATGTATAAAATACTATATACTCTCTCTGTTATTCAAATCTATTCTCACTTTTATTTTTTGGTTGTCATCCAAATTTATTCTCGTTTCATTTTTTAGTAAAAAAAACCACTTTTTAAAAAAAATAAAAAAAAATAAAAATTTCTATTCTTACATATTTTTCTTAAAATCAGTGTCCGGTCAAATAAGCACACAATTGAATGACGGAGGGAGTATTATATTGTATGTATATATTATATATATATATATATATATAATTTGGGTGAACAATTCATATCATATTAAGTACTAATTACTTTCATTAAACTTTTATGTTTTTCAACGCCAAATCAAATCAAACCCTCAAACTGTATATACATAATATGGAATTCATACATACATTTGAAAATGATTTAGCAGACTTTGGTTTTATCTTTTAGTGTTTATTTGTTTGGTTTTTATTTTTTATTTTTTTAGGAAAAAAATATTTTTTAATACAAAATTATAGAAATGATATAATATTAAATAGTTAATGAAAATTAATGTAGGGTGTTCTCACTTGTGTTTTTAGATTTTGAATGAACGTATATATATATATATATTTATATGTTGAATTGTTAAAAAATTTATAAGTAAAAAAATATATAATATTATATTTAATATGTTATATTTTTTTTAATAATGTTTTGGAGAATCGAGAACAAATCTATGATTCCATTTATATAATCATTTTTCATTTATTTGATATTATTTTTATCCATTTAATAAATTTGACATTTATTTTTTCATATTAATTATTATATCAAAATATAAATGTAAGTATAAATTAAAAAAGAATAATAACTTTTTTTATTAATATCTTATAATACAAATATAATGATACTTGTATAATAAATTATATAAATATAATTATATTTTTAATATTAAATATAATAACGACATAAAACATATATAATTTTATTAAGTGCACGTAGATAATATTATTTATTTATGAAAGATATCACAACAAATATTAATTTATTCTTTTTTAAGAAAAATAAAAATTTAAAACTTCAAAATCTCCAAAAAAAAAAAAAAAAAAAAAAAAAAAAAAAAAATATATATATATATAGATATTTGTCTAAATGAATCATGTAGGTCTCTTTAAACAGGGATGCGGAAAAAGAAAAATGGAATTTGAAATTAGGGTTTGAGTCCAAAACTAAAATAATGATCCAACATTTATCGTTCTGAAATTGGTCCATTACTTGTGCCCCACAAACACATTTGGGCTCAACTCTAGCAATCTATCAACTCATCTACTTTTCCGCTCTCGAGCTATCCATGCTAGGAAAAAATGGCGAACATCCAAGGAATTTCCCGCCGAAATTTGGAATCGAGTAATCAGTTGGAGCAAATTCTAAACGTCAAAATCAAGCATGGAGTTCGATGCACATAAGATGTTCGACGTGTTGTCCCAATGACTCATGCCGACCGATCAATATCCAATTGCCCAAATTTCGCGGTAATTAATGGCGCAGCGAGTCCAGAATCCATGGCTGCGCATTAATCTCGTCCAGAGACGTGCTTCGTGTCTACTGGATTAGGTTTTTAATTTGTTTGTTTCCGCCATGGACAAATTCAAAAGGTGAAGCCGTGGCTGAAAATCCAGCCCCAGGTATGAAATACGCGGCCAAGATTTCCCCAATTGAATTGATTGAAAATGGCCACAAGTTGTGGAATAATGATGGTTAGTTTAATGGAGGCAGTTGGGAGAGATTGAATGCATTCACGTGGGGAGAGTTAAAGCTTTTAGCATTTGCATTTACATTTGCAGTTAGTGAAATTTATGCTCAAAAACACATAGGTGATCTTATCTGAATTAAACTGTAATTGCCTATTGTGAATATGACATTTATTAGCCATTCTGTGTACTTTTCTGATTCTGCAAGTCTTCTGTCTGGTAAAGTTCTTCGATAATTAATGTAGACAACTGGACATTGCCTTTAAGGCTTCACCTGCATCATGTTAGGCTGTTCATGTGACTTTAGTGGTGATATAATGTTATAATGTGTTTGTTTCAGACTTGTCTCATGAGCCATGGAATATATATTAAGTCTTACTTTGGATGATAGGATTATATTGATTAATTATAATTTGCGGGATTATTTTATCCCATTTGTTAGATAGGATGAAATAATTGAAAAATTTAGTATAACAATCATGAATTAAGTATAATAGCATGTTGTAATTCTTCGAAGTAAATATATGATTAGGTGTATAAAAATAATATCATCCTACTTAGAAACAAAACCCAAGACCTCGTTTGGTTGGAGGAATTTGGGTTTAAGGGGTTTCAAAATAACTCCATCAAATTCATTTTGTTTTGTTTGGCAATGCGAGATTTCAATACATTTCCTTTAATATTTCAAATTGTGTCATTTCAAATATTTCTTACAACCAAATGACGATTTTAGTTATGAAGTATTTCAAATTCGAAGTAGCATCAAACAGGGTCTAGAGTGATATGTAGTATGGTGTGGTCCATTAACTGATTTATAGATTCCTTTGGTTAGCTAAATTAGCCTAAAGTGTAAATTCTTTCGTCGAAATTTGTAAGTAGAGTTAATAACAGTTGAAGTCTCAAGACATTGGTATTACTTGAAAATGAAATATGAATGGTGGTCTTGCTTTTCCCTATTTATATTAGTCCTCCTCATTTATGGACGTCGAGATCGACTTGATTCTATGGCTATGATTTAACTCCAGATTTCTGGATATACATGAGAATAGCATAAAGTTCTAGTTAATGTATAAGACTATAATAAATCTTTAATTAGAATTAGAGATTATAATTCTGAGGGAAAGACACTGAAAATGTCACCCAAGCTCTACTAGGACGAAATTTTGTTATAACATATTAAAAAGTTTCACATCTAACACATATTTTCCTAAAAAATATTCCCTCTGTCCCATAATTAAATATCTATTTGCTTTTTGCACGTAGTTTTATAACTTTTAGTATTATATTGCGATGTAGTAGGAATAAAGTAGAAATGACTAAAATAACCTTATTAGTATGTGTGATATAAAGGAATATTTGTATAATATATTGTAAGTTGTAAGAGTATTTGTAATGCTAGGTAGATAGTACAGTTACTAAAAAAAGAAATGAATACTTTGTTATGGGATGGAGTAAAATGGAAAAAATGGATACTTTGTTATGAGATGGAGGGAGTATCAAAGCAAAAAAACAAAAATTGAAAAAAGCACCAAAAGAACATATACCGACCCTTAAAGCCTTTATGTGTAGTGAAAAAGCTTGAAACGTTATAGGACGAGACAATTGATTTAGAATGAATAACTTCAACATCTCATACCCACCTCATTTGATTGTTCTGGATTTCTTGAGGTTGATATTTCAAAATTTGTACACTTTATTCCCTCAAACAAAATAGGAGATATATATATATATATATGTAACTCTTAGTTTGATTGCAGTACTCTTATAGCAAATGTGCACTGTTTTCTGCACTAAATACGATCGACCCGAATTGTCTTGTGGGTTTTCCTATCAGTCATTATCTTGACAGCTGCTGGTATGGCTGCCATGTGCATATTGCTAAGACATTTTCACCCACAAATGGCATTTGGATAAACACACTAGCAAAATAGGACAAGAATTTAGTTAAGATCACTCATAATGTATGAACAAGAATGGAAATTTCCCATGATCAACAATAGGATGATCAATAAAAAGCTATCTTGGTTCTTGGAGGGAATAGTGTACAGGGTATCTATTCATTACATCTCAGAAAGTTATGTTGTAAAACATCTACCCTCAGTTTAAAAAAAAGAGACTAGAGTGGTTGGTTTCTCCAACCACAATTGACCGATGTTTAATGGGGAAGGACTTCTTTCATCTTCCATAATTTCTCCATGAATAAAACAATAAATCATATATAAGGTATTATCTCTCTGCTCTACAACTTGACCTGTTCTTCACCATTGGAGGTCATGGACGAGGTTGAACCTTCAAGAAAGGATAAATTGAATCCCAACAAAGTCGAGGGTACTGAGCCTCAGCCAGATGCTAAGAATCAAGAAACACTTTCATTTCTTAAGTTGTTTGCTGCTGCTGATAGCATTGATTATGTTTTGATGTTTATTGGAAGCATTGGAGCTTCCATACAGGGTGCTACTATTCCTGTGTTTTTCCTAGTGTTTGGTCGTATGATCGATTCCTTGGGAAGCTTATCCTCAGATCCTCATAGATTTTCTTCAGAAGTTTCCAAGGTACATTATAGGAGCATTCTTGGGCATGTGTGGAAGGGAATAGGAAGTAGTTGTATTTACACAATTACCCGAAGCATCGACATTTCTTTTGATCTTGTAAATATTCATGAACTTGTTCATCTAGAAGCTTTTTGGGGATTCAAATTCAAGATGTGCCTCAATATATATATATATATATGTATACATATATTCTTTTTTCTATTATTCTATGGCTTAAAGAAGATGATTTATGCTATTTCTATTGCCCTTGACAAGCCGTAAATAAAATGATCTTGTCGACATTTATGATTTATGCTATTCCTCTTTAACTTCTTGCAGTATGCTCTGTACTTAGTCTATGTTGGTTTGGCTGTTTGGCTGTCATCTTGGATAGGTATGTTTAAGTTCTAATTCTGGCAATTCGAGAGCTTATACAACTCTTTACGGCTATGGGGCATCATTAGAGCAATCCATCATTGTCATCAAAATGTAAAAATTTCAGGGGTTGCTTGTTGGGCTCAGACTGGGGAGAGGCAGACAGGCCGACTACGAGTTAAGTATCTGGAATCAGTTCTAAAAAAGAAAATCGAGTTCTTCGACACAGAAGCAGGAGAACGAAACATTCTTTTTCATATTTCTAGTGACGCCATACTTGTACAGGATGCAATAGGTGATAAGGTAAACGGCGTAATGACTTAAGATGGACTGTTCGATTGTAAAGTTTAAAAGCTGACTTTCTGCTGCATCATGACACAGATATGCCATGGATTATGTTATCTTTCCCAATTCCTGGTTGGATTTACATTAGGCTTTGCATTGGTATGGCAGCTGACACTTCTCACCTTAGCTATAGTTCCCTTAATAGCTGTAGCCGGAGGAGCATACACGGTAATTATATCCAGTCTGTCGAAAAGAGGCGAAGAGGCTTACGCCGAAGCAGGGAAAGTAGCTGAAGAGGTAAACTAAAAAAGCTTCTGTGATTCCTTCATGTTTGTTGCAAAAAACTAACTTAGATGTGCACTCCAATCAGGTTATCTCACAAGTTCGTACGGTTTACGCCTTTTCTGGAGAAAAGACAGCCATTGAAGCATATTCAAGTTCACTGAAAAATGCTCTCAAAGTCGCGAAGAAAACCGGTGTGGCAAAGGGTATCGGAATTGGATTCACTTTCGGCCTTTTATTTTGCTCTTGGGCGTTACTTCTTTGGTACGCGAGTATCCTCGTTAGGCATGGCCACGCGAATGGAGGCAAAGCGTTCACTACAATCATCAATGTGATCTACAGTGGATTGTAAGTATTGCTAATGTCAAGAAGCTTTCATGTTCTGTATAACTCATCGAATAAAACTTCGGAATTCTTTCTCCTGTAGCGCACTCGGTCAGGCTGCGCCTAACCTTGCTGCCATCGCCAAAGGCCGAAGTGCTGTTGCAAATATCATAAGCATGATCCAAGACGATTCTACTACTTCCAAAAGTCTAGATGAGGGGATAGTATTGCCCAAAATAAATGGAAGAATAGACTTTTATGAGGTCTCTTTCGCCTACCCTTCTCGACCAACAATGGTTTTCGAAGATCTGAACTTCTCAGTATGTGCTGGTAAATCCTTGGCAGTTGTTGGTCCGAGTGGCTCTGGGAAGAGCACTATTATCTCCATGATTCTACGGTTCTATAATCCGACTTCAGGTATCGAAGAAGGTCCCTTAGAGCCATTATCTGCTAGTGTTATTACCGGTTGCCATGTTCTTGAGAATGAATACCTTGTGCAATATATCAGGTATGATTTTGTTGGATGGACTTGACCTCAGTACGCTTCAGCTGAAATGGTTAAGATCGCAGATAGGATTGGTTAGCCAAGAACCGGCGCTGTTTGCCACCTCTATAGCTGACAATATCTTGTTCGGTAAAGAAGGCGCAGACATGGATCAAATCATCGAGGCTGCGATAGCTTCAAATGTGCATTCTTTCATTCAAGGTTTACCTGACGGCTATCGTACTCAGGTATGTTTCTTTCGAAGACTTCTTTTTTCATCGATGAATCATGCCAGCTTGATATAATTGTTCGTAACAGGTAGGGGAAGGCGGGACTCAACTTTCAGGAGGTCAAAAGCAGAGAATCGCCATTGCAAGAGCTATATTGAGAAACCCGAAAATACTACTCTTGGATGAGGCGACAAGTGCTCTTGATGCAGGTTCGGAATTCATCGTTCAGCAGTCGCTGAACTCGGTCATGTCGCAGAGGACTACAATTATCGTTGCCCATAGATTATCTACCATCCGAGACATCGACACAATTGTTGTTCTGAACAATGGTCGTGTGATCGAGACGGGAACCCACAGCGACTTGATGTCTAAGGCTGGCGAATATGCATCTCTGGTTAGTTTACAAATATCAGAACACGCAACAGCGCCTACCTTTGACAATGCAGCAAGAACTCCGGTAATTTGTAGTGCTCAAGTGTACCCGTACACTGAAAGCTACCCACAACAGTCGAAGCCAGTCGCCGTTGCAAAGGTGCATAAGAATAATGAAGAGGCTGTGCGGCAAAGCCCGGTTTGGGAATTGATCAAGCTCAATGCCCCCGAGTGGCCCTGTGCATTACTCGGATCGATAGGTGCAATTCTGGCCGGCATGGAAGCTCCTCTCTTCGCACTTGCTATAACACATATCTTAACGGAGTTCTATACCCATGATGATGCTCGAATCCGACGAGAGGTGAGGCAGATCTCCTTCATACTTGTCGGGGCATCAGCAGTGACCGTATTAATCTACTTGCTACAACACTATTTCTATACCTTAATGGGAGAACGCCTCATTGCTCGGGTTCGCCTGCGAATGTTCACAGGTATCCGTCCTTTCCATTTGTTCCATTTCTTGGTCGATAGAAACATTCATTTCATATGTTCACTTAACTCCACACAGCTATCCTCTCGAACGAAATTGGTTGGTTCGACAAAGATGAGAATAGCACTGGTTCGCTGGCATCAAAATTAGCAACAGATGCCACGCTAGTACGCAGCGCTATTGCTGAGCGAATATCGACAGTCGTCCAAAATGTAGCACTGGCTGTGACAGCATTCGTCATAGCCTTTATACTCAGTTGGCGTATTGCAGCTCTCGTCGTTGCAACCTTTCCTCTGCTCATCGCGGCAAACATAGCTCAGGCAAGTTCTTCGACACACATGTACTCTTTGAAACTAACCTTTCGGTTTTTTCTTACCAGAAGCTATATATCTATTTGCAGCAAATATTTCTGAAGGGGTTCGGAGGCGATTATGTCAGGGCATATCACCGAGCTACTGAGGTTGCGCGCGAAGCCATTGCTAATATACATACCGTAGCAGCATTTGGAGCTGAAGAGCAGATAGCTACCAAGTTCGCATCCGAATTAGAGCAGCCGAGAAAGAGAGCCCTTCTCCGTGGACACGTTTTGGGTTTTGGATACGGCATATCACTGCTTTTCGCCTACGCTTCATACGCTCTTGGCCTGTGGTATGCATCTGTCCTGATTCGCGACAAGAAGTCTGAATTTGGTAACATAATGAAGTCCTTCATGGTGTTGATTATAACAGCATTAGCCGTGGCAGAAACGCTGGCGCTCGCGCCTAACCTGGTGAAGGGATCGCAAGTTCTTGAATCAGTCCTCGACATTCTTAGAAGGAAAACAGCCATCGATCCTAACCTGTCGACACCCCCTGTAGCCGATATGCAAGGAGATATTGAGTTCAGGCATGTAAGTTTTCGGTACCCAACCAGGCCTGATGTCACTGTTTTCCAAGATTTGAACCTGAGAATTCCAAAAGGAACAAGCATGGCGATCGTAGGCCAAAGTGGCTCAGGAAAGAGCACCGTGATCTCTCTTCTGTTAAGATTTTACGATCCCAACTCCGGAACAGTCCTGATAGACGGATCCGATATCAAGATGGTGAATCTAAAGTCGCTGCGGTCGAGAATAGGCCTCGTGCAGCAAGAGCCGGTGCTGTTCTCCACGACTATTTACGAAAACATCAAGTACGGGAACATTAACGCCTCAGAAATCGAGATAATGAAGGCAGCTAAAGCAGCAAACGCTCATGGATTCATCAGCAGAATGCCGGAGGGGTACCAAACAAAAGTCGGCGACAGGGGAGCGCAACTGTCAGGAGGACAGAAGCAAAGAGTCGCAATCGCAAGGGCGATACTTAAGGATCCATCGATCCTTCTCCTCGACGAAGCAACAAGCGCTCTTGATGCAGCGTCGGAAATGCAGGTCCAAGAAGCCCTTAACAAGCTCATGGAAGGAAGGACTACCATTCTGATAGCACACCGGCTGTCGACAGTTCAGGACGCAGATGCTGTCGCGGTGCTGCAGGACGGAAGAGCCGCCGAATGCGGCAGCCATGAAGAGCTCCTTAGCAGAGCTGGAAGCATTTATTTTCAGTTAGTACAGCTGCAGCGTAATGAGAGGTGAAGAGATGCTGGAAATTATTTTCAGAACCTGTCACTCAATCCATGTAACTTAAAAAATATACATACATATATATAAAAAAACTTTAAGGCACACTTCTATAAGTAGAATTGAGAGTCAAGCATATGAAATTAAGGCAATATGAATAAAATTTACACAATATTATGGGAGAGTAAGAAGCACAGTAAATGTGTCAAAACCTATGTTAAGAATGGGATGCTAATTGCTAACTACTGTAACTAAACGGAAAGGCAACATAATATATATATTTATATATCACAGATCATAATCGAAGGCTAAATTATCCCATGGAGGTTTAGGAACAATAAATATTAATTGCAGAGACGAGATGTCGTTCGGGAGTCATGGATACATAGGCAAACTTCAATGATTCCAAGGGTGTCATTGGTTTTTTGTTTTTTGGTCAGCCTAATCCTGCAGTTTCTGTATCCCGGAGATTCAGAAGGAACGTGGTGTTAGTCCGTCCAAAGGCTAATCATTCTCCACGAGCCCACGATTAAAAAAGAAGGGTGAAATCGATCACGGCAAAACATGTCATAACTTAATAGGTTCGTATTTCTCACCCATGGCGCCACCCTTTTGTTTCTGGAATTGAATGTATCGTATAGTGCTTGTAAAGAATGCGTCCGAGGTTATATTAGTGGATGCATTGTCACTCTGCATCTCAGTTTTGATCAACTCTATGAGACCCTGGATTGCTGACGCAGTTACCTGAGGATTTCCTTTCTCAAAAAAATAAAGGTACCTAAAGCCACATTCGAGAGAACAAAGATAATAATCAATCAAATGTATAAAATCCAGAAATTAGAAGTGTAATATATGTTGGTAACGAAACATTTAAAGTGACTAACTTGTTGAGTATTTCGACAAAGAGTGTGACAGGACCACTGCTGCCCCGGGTGACGTTTGCCATCTGCTGAGCTGCATTTGCAATCCTTAATGAACGCTTTAGGCAAAGTAGAACCCTACATCACACGAAGGTATATACATGGTTCTGAAATGGAGATTGAGTTGGGTGCTAAGGGAGTATTGGTTAACATGACGAAGAATGCGCAGTTTAATTTCTTCACTATAAGAATTGATGATGGTTTGGAATTATCAGAGAATAATAGTGCTCATGCGCGCACACACTGTACCTTTCTCCATCTTTGATGCCATCTTGATCATCCACCCAGAAAAGATGTGAGCAAGCATACACTGCTCGGCACTGATCTGGCTTCTTTAGAAGTTTGGCAGAGTACTGAAATAAAGAAAATGAATTAAGATGCTGTTTGAAAAAGAGTGGTAAAGAAGGAAAAAGTTACCCCTGTGGCTTTATGAGTCAAGGTATCTCTATTCTCGACCCCAAAGATGTTCATTCTCTGCAGAGTCCCGATTATTAGGTGTATAGCTGTCACCTGGGCTTTAGAATCCTATGTAGCATAAGATAGAATAACATAAATGTACATCTCAATAGAAAATGCTAAATGAAAACAAATTATTTGTGTTAGTGTAGTTGTCCGTACTGCAACTTCCTCCTCATATAGCACGAAAGCTTGTGTGAAAAACTCATAAGCCACTGGTTCAAGATCACAGTCATTAGCGGCCTGTCCATATAAATTTTGAACAAGAAGTCACGAATCAGAAAATTGGTAGGTCAATAATTAGTATTGAAACTACACACGATTGATCACAATTTAATTTTATGTTATTCTAGAGACACCTGTGCGGAAACCCCTGATACAATTTGAGACTATTAATGAAGCCACCGGAAAAGATTAATATCAAGCAATCCAACAAATAGTATTGTAATCCTAAACCAAAGACAACTACATAAAGTTACTATTGTCAAGGCCATTTGGTCAGTAGTTTCTTAAAACAAGAGAATTTAAACTACATAAAATATTGGAGATATCAATAACTATCCTAAATTAATAGAAATCAAGGTTTGATGTAATCACGTGATAGGAGTGGTCTTCTTCTCAGTAGTTTATAAGGGTAGAACACCACTGATATGAGGACCAGTACCGAGTCACTATCCTTCTCTTTCACTATCTGGATTTCCGAATGTTCTACTATGAAATTCCGTAAAAACTACTATTTTTACAAATTTCAAAAGTTACCAACAATGCTAAGGTCAAAAGTTTACCTCTGCACATTGCAAATACAGCCTCAATGCCAGTTCAGGTGATGGAACAGCTGACAGAGCCTCAATAATCTGAAACAAGAAAAAGAAACCTGATTCTGCTCAATACTGATACTTAAGTATGCTGATGAATGGTTCTATAATATCACAAAAGACAACAGAAAGCATAGCTGAGGTTGAAACTCAATACGTTTCATGGCAACAACTTTTTACCTGATTCAGAAGTTGAAATATTTTCTTTGGGGTAGCTGGAACTTCTTCTCCAGTCACATCTCCATCTTGGCCTTGCAATCTCCTAACCAACTACATAAGAAAAAATACATCAATGTATGGAGTTTCTAACCCTCCATCCAGGAAAGGGGTGCTTCAGTTGTCTAACATTCCCTTATTTAACTACTGTGTAAGAATGTCATTGTTGCTAAATGGTTGAAAGAAACTACAATCAACTCAGTGAAAGTGAATATTAGAATACCAGACAAGAAATCCATAATCAACTACCGTGAAGAATCCAACATATACCGAGAGGACTCCAAAGAAGATCACAGAGATCAAACAAATTTATCAAATGGTTTTGAAAAATAGAAAGTTAGATTCAGCATTTTATTTATATCATATCACAAAGAATGGAACATATAGGATGTGGTAAGGTTCAATCTAATAATATCAGTCTATCAGAAGATGTAAAGTACTTGGAAATTGGCATTTCAGCATAAAAAGCTATTAACTAGGAGTTAACAGGTGCCTCAAGTCTTCAAAGTGTTTGCACATTAAAATCATATCTCAAATCACTAATTTCTCCATTTCCGAAACAAAGTATGGCCTACAATATAACTAAGAAAAGAATACAGATATTTTCAATCCCAAAACATCATACCTTGAGTGCAGAAAAAACGATTGGGGGAACTGTGAAAGGTAGGCGCTTTGGACCTCCAGCCATTACGTGTTTCCATACCGTATGTATAATCTGATAAAAAACAGGAGGAACCCCATTGTTACATACACATAAAACATAAAATAAATAAATAAAAATAAAAATGAATACAATATAATAAACTAATTAATAGAAGTGTGTAGCATTGAAGAAGTTCACCATGATAACATAAGCTAACATAGACATAAATCCAGTAATATTTACATTGCATTGTAACATGGAACTGCAGCCATGAGGTATCAAGTAAAATATTCAGAGCCTAATCAACTGTAGCCAGGAACTGCATTGCATTGACGCCCTCTAGAGTATTAAGATTTGTCTGTTAGTTACTCTTCTTAGAGCATCTCTCCACTTGCACAAACTTAGGAAGAGGTTCTGGGTTAGCACTTAGATTGACCAATTTATTTCAGCGTCGGTATTTTTGCAAATAAGTGAGACCTTATGACATTAAGTATGAGAGCAGTGTCAAGATTTGGCAACTTAGACTCGATGTTTGACTCATGAAATGCATACATTTGTGTGCAAGATTGGGAACCATGCATGATGAGAGGCATGTACGGGTGCTTGTAGGGTGTCCCTATGCCGCTCAACGTTGGAAATGGCTGATGCAAAGCCTATTTTAGGTTAAGTGCGAGGTTCCCATTAAAGCATAGGGGATCACATTACATCCATCAAGGGCATGCATGAGATTCAGTTGGGGGAATGTTAGCATCTCCCCCAATTGCCAGAACATAGGGAAAAGTCCCCAGGTTTTGCACAGAGAGGAGAACAACTGCCAGTATTTCAACAGATAATTGATAATGAACTCCATCTCTTGCAGAAAAATGAAGCAGCAAACTGTCTTGGTCACAAAATGGTGACTTAATGTCTCAATATAGAACTAGTTGGCAATCTCTTTGATGCAACTATTATGATCAGTTAAATGAGGATCATGATAGTTGTTGGAACTGTTCGCATAAAACGATTGAAAATGAAAAGAATAATAATGAGCAAGAGCAATTAAATATGGAACACAACACATTACCTTTAGCATTTCTTCTGGGTCATCATTATATAGTATGTGCATGAGGCAAGCCACAGAAGTCTGTTCCTCATTGAAATCCTCTTCATCAAGCTTTTGGTTGAAACACAAAATGTAGCAACATATAGTTATAAGCTTGTACCGAAAGGAATAATGTATCCTTAAATAAGACATATTTTATTCATACCTCATCCATGGAAATTCCTTCCAAATCTGTTATAAGGCCTTTTATCAGTTCAAACAATACTTCTACCTGGAAAGTGAAGGCTGTAACAATTCATGCCAGATAAAATAAAAAGCTAAACTGTTTATGATCGGATACCTTGTCAGAAGTTGAAACACAAGTTTTACTTTTCATAATGCTTCGAATGATGACCATTGCCATGACTTTATTTGTTCCAGCATCAAGGTGATCCATTACACGGGGGTAATTTGAAAGTGTAAGAGCTGTCACTATATCATCATATTTATCTAACGGAGCACTTAGAAGAGCAACAACTTGTTTTGTTGCCCGACTGTCTTCAAGCTTTGGTTTCCCTGATAATATGTTGACACATGCTCCCTGAAAGAGAAGCCAAAACAGAGCAAACGTGCAACTTTGGATTCAGCATTCATTATACAGAGGTAACTTTATATGCCCTTTTTATGAGAATCTGTGAAACTTTAGATTTTGGGTTTATCATAATATACATAAGTAGTGCAACTATTTACAAATGATTTCTTAAACAACATAACTGAATAATTGAATGAAATAAAAGGAATTGAAGTCATGTACAGGCTCGACTATATGAATGGAGAGAGAATTTCTGCATCACCAACTCAAAAGAAGCATACCAGCACAAGATCAACATAATCCAGCCGATCAGGATGGACACGGAGGGTGAACGTCAGAAGAGAAACGTATAAACTAATAGCTCCAACAACAGGCATGTCAACTTGGGCTTCAGTGACCTGCATAAGAAACCATTTCAGAAACCTGATATGTGTGGACTAGGATGCCTCAAAATCATTACACATCATATTTATAAACAAAAATTTCTTTTGAAGATCAATAAATGTTGAGCTATCTGCCTGATTGTAGGTTTTTGGTTTCTTCAATCTTGTTCTGCCAATGTTATCAATTTCTACTTTCCATAATCTTTTCAATATCAATGGTTTCAAAACTTCGAGTATCAATAACTTAACTGCATGGATATAACCAACATGTCAAGTGCACTCGTAAATAATGACAGTACTCTCATATGATTGTAACAATGACTTCTAAAATTTAGAGAAACAGTTTCCAGTAGTCCTTGCAACTTCCAAATAATTCCTAGCAAATATATGGTTTGTAATAAAATATATACCCACATAAACCTTGTCTGTCTCTAGTTACAGTAAAGTAATTGTGCTGGAGTTTAAAAGACATGCATGCTTTGGGCAACATCCCATGGTTTACAGTGTCCAATATCAAAATGAGTATCAAAACTCAGGAAAATAAGTCATATTCATCATGTTTTTGATTAATGGAAAGATTTATATTTATTAATGTCGTGTCAATTTGGGCTTTTCGTTTTCACATTTAGGGAGGACCACATATAACATGTGCATGGCGTAAAAATCGGGTGTAATAATGGGGAGGGAGGGGAAAATCAATTCAGCGATTTAGCATGTCATTTAACAAATAAAGCCATATTTTAATAAACAGCAATTATTTTCTATTTTTAACAGCAGTACAAGGCATGTAAATCCAACAGGTGTGTTCACTTGTATGATTTGATTTTATGTTTTCCTATTCCAATATTTTTTTCCCTCTAAAAACATCACATCAAACACCTATTTTTTATTTATTATATTACACTAAAATTAAATTTTACATTCAAAATATTACATCAATATATATTTATATCATATCAAACAACTATTTCAATTGAAAATTTTACTATTCAAAACCAAAAGTCAAAACCCAAATCTCACAAGTAAACACACCGCATGTTTTCCATCAAGTAATGGAATTTCCTCCTTTTTTTTTTTTTCGTCACCACTATCTAATTATTCTCCATTAATGATATAGAGAAGTAATGCCTATAGCCCCAGAAGGGTTTTGGCTTTCGGTAGAGACCACCCTCAAGATAGGGAATTTTGGAAAGAGTCTCCCCTCTGCTGGTATTAGGTAAAAGAGTTAAAGTAAAAGGTAGATATTCCAAAACCGCTATTGTTCAGCACTTTCCAAAGATACCTATTCAGCACTATTCAAAACACTTAAATTTATTCTAAATTGTGGATTTTAAAAAACTAAAGGCATCATAAACATTAGCACTCTCCAAAGTTTTACTAAGAAAAGCATAAACTTTCAGACACATATCTTGCAAACTTTTCAACAATATCTGCTAGATTTATACACTTGTTTAAGAATTAAAAATAAACAAATAATACCTTTTTGATAGCATTGCTCAGCTTGGAAAATGCTTCAACTTGTAAAAATTCTGGTAACAACTGTATGGGAGAATAAGTCATAAGAAGGTAAACAAGTGAAATCTTAGATTGTAGGGAGCATGCAAATAACTCACTTCAGGACTTGAAGAAGCATAATTGGACAACCTCTCCATCAATTGTGACAACACGGTTTTTAGGTCAACTGTAGGCTGAGAATCAGAAAAGAATGTCAAGTTCCATGTTGAATATTGTTCATTGTGAAATTGATTATCAGCTTGTGATAGCATCTCAAAAGCAAAATCAACATTTGGGTCTCAATAACCATCGATGCATAATAATAAAGTTATGTTACATAATGGCCTTATGCAAAGCAGCATGCATCATGCAACAAAATGATTTTTGTCATAACAATATATTTCTAATGATAATTTGCCATAAACAAAGAAAATACATTGTGTCCTTGCATCCTAAATCATCTCTAAAGTCTAAAATGAGTTCATATTTTATATATTCCATTATAAAAAGCCCCAACTAAGTATAAAAATCTATACTACTATAAAGATGCATTATTCTCACTCTGATGCACCATAATCTAATAGCCAAGGTCAAGAAAAGTTTGTGCATCGAGAGATGGAACACATCTTGTAGTGATTTCCATTATTGCATTCAAGAATCCAGAGCTTAAATCAATATAACTAGCAATACTGGTTTCAAGATTGACCACTCACTTGTAATTGGGGGCAAGCACCTAATAGTGTCTCAAGGGTCTGCAAGTGATATTCATCTGGAAAGACCTGAATTATGCAGTCCATCAAATAATACTGGGAAAGCTCATCCTTACAATTGACAATCTGTCAGGACATTGTAAACTAATGTTTAGAGTAGAGCATATTACATGATTTTAAGATCTTCAAAAGATAGTAAGAAATCAGGTAAACCAACCTGCTCCAAGACTTTAGGAAGAACAGTATCTTTATACATTTCAAGATCAACACCCTCTATCTGACCAAGGACGTGTAGATTTTTACCGACCTAAAAAGTTCAGAAATATGGATGAGAAACACCCTCATCAAAACTAAAGGTTCAAGATTGATTAGGATAAGCAAACTCCTAGGGCACAGAGGCATTACAAGATCACGCAGTTCGTTTCTTTCTTTGTCAAGTTTCTCCTTCTCCCTGATGGGTCCCTGCAGACCGGAAATCCAGAAAGAAGGCTTCAACTCAGGATCACCAAAGCAAATATGAGCATCATAAGCACTATGACTCCTGCATGCCCAAAACATGCCCTCATGATTTATATCACTTTTAAGGCATGCTAGATTTCAGGCACTGTGCATGTCAATAGTTTGAGCTAGGGAAAAACAGTACAAGAGATATCTAAATACCTGGTGCTGCATCCGTACCCAAAGTTTATTCATCTCTGTGAAATTTTGTAGCACAAATTCAACGGCATCCACTACAGTGTCACCTTCCCTTCAAACAGAGAAATGTCTTGATTATTTATATAATTAAAAAACAGAAATCACTGTAGACTTCAACAAGGCGGATTCCCTAGCATAGAAGAGTCCATGGTCTTGGTGAAGGCTGATGGTCCAATCCCTCATGTGTGTGAGTAATAGGAAGTAGTTGCAAAATTAATTTAAGGATCGAAGCCCAAAGTCAAATTTGTTAGATGTAAACACACACACACCATGGAATTCAAATTCAAGCTTAAACTAGCATAGGATATTCAATCCATCATAAGCAAATGTCCTGAGAACCTGTACGGCTTTCCACCAAAAGCAAAAAACAAAAAGGATTGAAAATTAAGAAGTTATCTAAATTTGGATGTGCCATCATATGTGGAGTTGCTGTTTTAGGAAATGGAACATTACTGTTGGGCATCCTAAATAAAATACAAGAGCTAGTGGCGGACACAAGAGTAAATGATATGCTTTCCATGAAACTTGACTTCAGTGATTTTTATATATATATTTATATATATCAGAGACATTATTAAAAGTTGGACGCAAGCAGACACTTTATAACACTACCATATTAAGATCAAACAAACAGCGTGAAACTCAAAAGACGTTACAGGGTAAATGATGATGTGGGGCATTTCTACTGCAACATATGCTTTTAGATTTCAACGGTAAGGAAACAAAGGTCGATTTTCCTATGTGAAATATGATCATGGCAGAAATCCAACGACTATTTTCTTTTATGAAAGAGAAATCAGCTTACCCTTCATACTCTGAGCCAATGTCCGGCAACTTATCTCTACTAATTTGAGCAAGGTAACTCCTCAAAAAGAGCCCACGAACTGGATGTTGAACAGAACGACACATTTCAACAAGGTCTTTGAGAACATCCTTAGCAGGAGCTTCCTTCAACTTTATATAAACAGATCCGACCGTGCAAAGAAGATACCTAATTCGAAAAGGAACTCGTGTTATTTTATTATATATCTACATTGTGTACCTAATTCGAAAATTTCATTGGAACAAAGTAACATCATATTGTAATTTCCACCACAGATATTCAATAATCTTAGGGTCATAATACCGAGTTGAACAAAAAAGCGCCGCAATAGGAGTAATAACTTATTTCGAATTCAAACTACAAGCTGATTTGGCACATTCGAATTCATGACTAGAGGCTGTGCCTTATGCAATTACAAAGTGGTTAATATTTAAAGGATAGAAAGATCAAATCCACTTTTACATTGAAAGAAATTATCAGTCAACACTAAATCTATGGTCAGAACGATAAATTTGTCAATTGATGAATGTTTTGGGCCAGCTGGCAACCCATGGGTATCACCGAGCAAAGAAGACAAGTATCCAGCTACAACTTTTATCATCCATTTCCTGCTAAAGTGTAGTCAGCCAACATATCATAGCCAATCCTTATTAAATGAAAAAAGGCTGCCCTGCAAACAAGGCTCCACGACCTATGCACTATAATTCAAAAGTGAAGCATCTTAATCTACAGCTGAAGCGCAGAAACTCACAATCTAGGCAGGACGTTCCCAGCATGCTGAACCAGTTCATATAGGTCAACCACTGAACAACCGTGCCGATCCTCATCCTTGAAGAACATCTCCAACCTCCTCAATTCATCAAAGGCACGCATATCTGCCGCACAATTAAATACAAAAATAAATAACGTTGAAAACAACTTGCTCTCCAAAAATAGCATTTAATATGCTCGAACCAATTACTTAGAAATGGATCCAAGAGACTTACAGAGCTCATAGTATTTGTGAGGCGACAGTTTCGAAGTACGAAGTTCAGACAACAATTGCGCGGAGTACTTGAGCGCCTCTCGAAGATTATTCGAGTCCTGCATCCCTCAAATAAACCAAATCAATGCGAATCACAATTGAATGGTTTCAATTGAGATGCTAAGGTTACAATTCTTGAAAAAAACATGAAAATTGACGATGGTAGAAACAGCCGAAGTGAGGAGAATCGGATCGGAATATACCAGAGCGCGATGCAAGTAGAATGCATTATGCTGGATTCCTGCGATGCCTTCGGCAAGCCATTTCTCCTCGTCCTCGATTCCGTTGGATATCATCATCTCCCCGTCTTCCTCCCTTCCCTCTCTCTCTCCCACTCCCCCTAAAGCCAACTCAATGAATTTCAGTGGAGCCTCGAGAGCGATGCCAACATCGACGATCCACATGGCGTCAGGTAATTTATACCTTTTCTGGTCTAGCCCCAAAAAATATTACCAAAATTACTGTACTGTTAATTAAAGATGAATAAAAATACTAAGCAAAGGATATGCTTCTTGATTTTGTTTCCAAAATCCAGGATACTCGTTTGATCATTTTCATTTATTTAAAAGAGCAAATTTAATATTTTTTTTTTATTAAAAATATTCTATTAACATTATTTATTTACTATTCCCTCAATCACAAATTAATGTCATTTTTTTTTTTTACTTCAACGTCCAATAACTATTATTTTATTTTTATTTATTTATTTATTTTAAACTAATTTTATTTTTTTACCTTTTATTTATATATAAATTTTAATCTCTGTCTTATCATAATAAAAGATAAATTTGTTAAATTATAAAAAAAAAATAAAAAGGACAATTATGAAAAAATCTTGCAAAGATAATTATAAATGGACGGAATGGAGTATCTTTTAAACCATTCAAAACATCAAATAAATATATTAAAAAAAATCTCTATGAATGTTTTAAAATTTCTTATCTCATACTTTCATATTTATATATATAGATACTTGTGAAATAACAGTAAATATATATTTTTTAATTATTTTACTAAAAATTATATTTTGTTATTGCATTGTTTATATTAAGTGTGTTTTGTTTAGTTTTTTTGGTGTGATATGTATTTTGACGTTACATATTAAAAAGGAAATAACATAACGAATAATATTTTATGTGTAATTATTTATTTTTTAAGTAAATAAAAACTATATATTATATATTATATAAATATATGTATATAATATTTTTTTTCTTTATCTTGTTCCGATTATAATAAAAATAATTTTAAATTAAAATTGAGATAAATAATTAATCTAATTAAAATTAAAAAAATTATAAATTTAAAAATTTAAAACGAAATTAAAGTATATAATTTTTTTTAAAAAAATGACCAATTAAGTGAGACAAACGAAAATGAAAAAGTAAACATGGTAAGTGAGAACGAGGGAATATTACTTTTAATTAGAAAGCATGTCGAAATTTTTTTTGTTGAAAAAACAAAACCATTGTTTATGTTCTCATTCACTACCACAAAAATGACAATTTGTCATGAAAAATTGTCTCGGAATAAAACTTCAAGACAATTTTGTGTCACGGAATCTTTATTTGAGACAAATTAGTGTCTCAATCATAATTCAAGACATCACTTGTGGAAAATTATATTTCGAAAGTAGATTATCTCGAAATAAGTACAGAAAATATTTCGAGAATTTGAATTGTCTTGATATATAAATTACAAAAATATTAGAAGAACATGAATTATCTCAAAATGAATCACAAAAATAACCCGAGGGTATGCGATCTCTCGAAACGAGTCATAAAGTATGTTCCGAAAAGTAAACTATTTTGAGAATTTGTATTGTCTCAAAATAAGTTGCAAAAAAATATATCAATAGTATAAATTGTGTCATAAGAGTCAAGAACGGAAAGTGTATTTTTGTTTGTCATTGAGATCTGTATCAATATTAATTAAACATTATTTTAACGTGGAATAACACAATTTATTATTTATTTATCTATATTAAAAAATAATTATGTATTACCCTATGATTTGAGAGACACCAACTTGATCCGATTTTTTTTTTTTCAATAAAAAAATAAAATCATTGATATTAGCGTATACTATTTTTATTAAAAAGAATTTAAATAGTTGACGCGCTGAATTTAGAGCTAATATTTTTATTTTTATTTTTTTTAAAAAATAGAAGATTCTTCTAGGAAAAATTAAGACAAGTGTGAACTGAATTTGTTAGAAATGGTAACATCATATTTTTTATGGCTAACACAATGAGCAATGTGTGTGCAAAGTTGTTTAAACTTTTTACACGAGATTTACTATTGGGAACATTCTTAATCTTTGCATGATTTTTGTGCCATATTCAACATTTTATATATATTTTTATTTATTTATTTATGACGTGTGAACCCGCTATCCGAGAGTACACACTGGGTAAACTCCCGGCCGAACCATGTGTGGCAGGTGACCGGCCGAACCATGTGTGGCAGATGACCTGAAGCGTGTCGGGGGTTTGAACCCATGACCTCATGGTCACAAGTCCAACCCCTACACCACCAGGCTATCTCGGGTCAAAATTTTTATTTTGATGTTATGGCGTGAAAATTGATGCCAACACAAAAAAGAAAAAGATAATTATTTTTTTTATGGTGTGACACCGGATTCGTTGTGGTGTTACTTTTTGTGCCTTGAAAAATAAAGAAAAATCTTATTGTTGTGTTATTTTGTGCATTTTACGTTAAGTTTTTATTCTTTTTTCTCTCTAAATAAAAATAAAAATAAAAATAAATTTTATAAATATACATAGCATAACCTCCAGCCATTCATATTTATTACAGGGGGTGGCTACAGCTGCTTCCATAGGATAAATGACATCGGCCTTACATCCATGCTATTATAATACGATGACCTGTCATACATCACTTTATTACTAAAAATTGATGTTGATCCCGTAGATTAAATCATGGTTGAAGGAGGAAACATTGATGTTCCACCGATAATCACCATTATGACTTGGAAGTGAAAAGAAGGTTGAGAAAGATTCGTTATTGATGTGTTTGTTTAGGAGATTTTAGAGTATTTTTACCATGCTTTCAAAATATTTTAAAATATATATATATATATCAAATCAAACATTTAATTTTTTATTTTATATTAAAAATAAATTTTATAGTCAAGACTTCGTATCAATATTAAGAAGAGATCCAAGACTTCGACTTAAAACTAATTATTACATGTGGTACATACTTAATACTCTCCATCGACATTATAATTAGAATCAATATTATTTATATCAAGTCAAATAATTATTTCAGAAAAATTCTAATGATTACTATTTATTTATATTGCATCAAATAACTATTTCCAAGAAGGATCCTATCAATATTTATATGTGGTGGGTGTCGAGACTTAGTGGTGGCCGAGTTGTATGTCGAGGATCTAAGCCGAGTACCACCATTTCTTTGCCACTAAAGAAAGAAAATGAAAGAAGAAGGATGAAGACTTGCTGCTCCTGACGATGGAACTGTCGCCGGAGAAGTCGTATCTGGTCGGAGCTGAGTCTGTTGCTGGAAGGAGAAGCTGCCATCATCGGAATCGTCACTATGAACAGCCGGAGATGGAAGTCCAGCTGCCCCTGCAGGAAAAATCTGGAACAGATCGGAGCCGTCTAGAAGCAGAGGACCCGCCGTGTTGCTGCCGGAGCTGAGGCTTTCGAGCCGCTGCCTTTGACTGCCGGTATTGTTATCGAAATTGCATTTGTACGAGTAAGGAAGGGTGGTTCCACTGCCCCAATTGTAACATAATTGGTATTATTATTATTATTATTATTATTATCATCGTTTCCCTGAACATGTGGCAGCATTTCGATGCTCTTGAGAGCCGCCATGCCTACTTGGAGATGGTAATGGTCGGAGGAAGAAGACCGCGGCGGTAGCGGGAATACCTCTAGTTGACGTTGATGTTGATGTTGTCAGAGGTGGTGCAGAACAAGGTGGAGCTCCTCAGCCATTTTAATCTGGTGGGTGAAATGGCGAATGTCGACGAGGCATCCGTAGACGGTATACTTGATGCGGAAGAGGCGATGGATGGATGTTCCGAAGCATTTTCAGCTGATCGGCAGGGAAGAATGAGCCAGAAGGCATTTCGGTGTGCCTGACTGCTATTGCTATTTCAAGTATTATTATTATTATTATTATTATGAGTATTAATCCTATTTAGATTGAAGTCGATGTCTTTCATAAATTAATCTTAATTTCTTACAATTGAATTCCTACTGAATTAAAGTGAAATATTAATAATTGGCTATACATTAAAAACACACACATCTGGCTTTCAACAACAATAAATTTTGAACAAAAAATTCTTTATTGATTTCATTACTACTGATGTATGTGCGGAAATGGAAAAATCTTGGCACTCTACTACAGAAACACTATAAAATTCTTCAGGCAGTAGAAATGTTCTCCATGCTGACTCAGAAGGGTACGGTTAAAGGCAAGGCATGGATACCAACTTCCGGCAAGTATTGCGCACGAGGCCACGACGCCTCTGCATTGCTGGAGCTGGGGATTACAGGTGGATGCCTTTTCTCAGTAGGTATGCATTTCTTTCGTCCAAACAGCCAATCTTGGTCATCCGAATCTTGAGGTACATCTTGCAACGAAGGTGGACACCAATTCTCCAGTATATTCTTCAACTCCAACTCCGTTTTATGTAATTTTGGCATAGCCGTGTTTGTTTCCGGTGAAATTCTCGTTTCCACGGGAGCAAGAGTGCTTGTAATCTGGGAAGTCGAACAAATCGCTTTCTGATCGGATCTTTTTTGCATAAGCCTTTGGGGAATACTATCCGTTTCATTTGCTGTGTTGCGAGAAATTGGCCTCGGACATCTAAAGGCAGTCTTGTTGTTATCGATAGAAATGGATTCGACCTTCGAGCAGAGCCGTTGTTCATTTAAAGATGACACATTCGATTCATTTTGCTTCTTAGAGGACAGTTGAGTGATCTTGCCAGCTACGCAAAGAAAAAGAAAAAGAAAATAACGAATTAATCCTAGAACCAAGAATGGATCAAACATAGGAGATGACAAGTAGGAAAATTTTATTACATCGGACATTCAGGACATCAGTGGGCGAGCTCAGCCTCTTCCTCTTGTTGCTATAGTCCTCAGTTAGAGTGCGTCGCTGGAGTTGCTCGGGTCAGCTGTACTTACTTTCACATTGGCCAAAAGCTTTTTATCAATATGGCTTTGAGGGATATTAGATTTCTCCTCTTTTCCCTTCGTGGAAGTTTTCTTCTCTATTGTCTTCGCCGTAGACCAAGACTGTTGTTCACTTAAGGACAACTCATTCGATTCATTCTGGTTCTTAGAGGACAGTAGAGTCCGGATGATCTTTCCAGCTGCACAAAGAAAAAAAGAAAC